TGTCAGGCTCAAGAGCTGTTCTTGAAGTTCTTATTCTGGCCTTCAAGAGACTTTACGCAGAGCTAGATCACGAGGAACTAACATTTATATGGAGATGTTTGTGTGGCAAAATAACAGATTCAGTGACAATTTCAAGCTCCAGATACCTGAATCACCTTTTGACCCTACTTATATCTGTCGTGCAAAATGGTCATCTGGGGAAAGCTTCTGGTATGTATCAGATGATTTTTTCACTTATTAATTCCCATTTGCACTTGCTTAATCTGATTTGCAAAGCCATGTTTTGCTTCTCAGATTATGAACCCTTGGTCGAAGTAGCTGACCTGCTTGTGCAGAATTTTGTTAATCCTTTTCTTGCCAAGAAGGATGTGGACCCACACCGTGAGGTTATTGATAGTGTCCTGCAACTAATTGTTTGCATCATTGATGGTCTCTCCTCTTCGAAGAACATGCCTGCTCTGCTGCGGGTTTCTTCACAATGGGAGTCAGTATTTGATTTAAGGAGTCATAGGTATTGCTTCCAGTTTAAATTGATTGTGCTACAGTACTCACTGATGGGTCTTCCTTCTGTTCTTTGAGGGTCTCACGTTCTTTTTTGGTTACAGTTTACTGAAATTCATTGAAGATCTTCTGATGAAGGACCCTAGTGTCTTCAATATCTTTGGAATGCATATTATGTGGTAATTTTGAAAATCTAGTTATTGTTGCTTATCCATATCCGAATACCTCCATTTTTTGCTCGATTTTTAGTTTACCTAAAATTTCTTATTTGATTGCAGTGCATTGAATAATTTGGTAGAAAATTCACATGAAGAAGTTTTATATATAATGATAAATTTCTCTGAGAAATTGGAAGGGATGGATTCTAACTTATTGGATGTGAAATCCATGGAAAAGACAAAAAAGATCCATGTTGTCTGGGAAGAGACTCTTAAGTATTGGCATGCGAAGATCAACGAAGCTATAAAAGGAAATTCGTTTCCTATTTCATTTCCAAAAAATAGCTTGGCAATCCTATGGGGCGTTATTCAGTGTTATTCTCGTTTTGATGCCCAAGCAAATCCATCCTTGTTGATGGACTTGATAGATGCAATTGATGAGCTTTTGATAATGGAATCAAGTAAGACATCTTCTGTACCTCAGTTGATATTATGTTTTTGTTCTTTTTCTGTGGGAAATATTAGTTCTGTACCATTTTGGTGAAGATTTCACTCTTGTGTCTAATCGTAAAGCTTTTATGTTATTATGTTTTTATGGTCAAGTACTCTATATCTAATCAGCTATTTTGTGGATAGATTGTCAGATGTTTGGTTCTTTAATCAGGTTGTATTTGTTCTTATAGGAGGACCTTTATGAATGTTTTACATATTTAAATAATTTTCAAGTGTTTGCAGGCTACCAGCAAAACACTTGGCATAGCTTGATTGGTGCAGCTTTGCGTTCTTATCACAAGATAGTTTTTCAAGGAAATTATGTTCGTGAAGAGTCTGCCTTGACCAAATTCTTGGTTCTTGCGAGAAGATATAAGTTGTCTCCTCAAATATTATCTGCCGTAGCCGATATTTTGGATTCTATGTCTTCGTAAGATACTTATTATGTGAAAAAAATATATTTTTTCTGTTGTGAAACCTTTGATTATTTTCTGCTTTGATGTAAGTGCATAACTGGTTCCATTGCACATATGTTGCAGGTCTTTCGTTCAACCAGATAGAAAAGGCAAATTTTATCTTCCAGAACATATAGCTGGAAATGTGTTGGAGGCTCTGGACATATTCGCTGAAAATCTAAGCCACACGAACAAAGAGATCCGCCTTTATAGCTTGCGCATATTGTGCTATTATGAACCCATACATAATAAACAATCCAAGGAAGAAATTCCGGTTGAAAATTATGCAAGAATAGATGATGATGAGAATGTTGACGAATTTTCTAATGATGTAAGCTTGATATAATTTGTATTTTCAGTGCAATTTCATGTCTTTGTTAAGGCTCATTTTGTTCTTTCTGAATCCTAGGTTCTCAACCTTCTCAAATCAATTGAGGAGACCTCCCTTTCGATTGCGACGAGCCGTAAAGTAATTCTACTTATATCTAAAATACAGATGAATCTGAGTGCTCGGAGAATTGCTGATCAGTATATACCTGTTGTTCTGAACGGGATTATTGGCCTATTCCATAACCGGTTTAGCTATTTGTGGAATCCAGCCTTAGAGTGCCTAACTATCCTGATTGGCCAATATTTCCGGTTGGTATGGAGCAGATGTGTTAAGTTTCTTGAAAATTGTCAATCTATTTTTCTAGCATCTCATCATCAGCATGGTGGAGGCGATAGTGATTCTAACAAGGATACTGGTATGTTTTTCTGATGAATAATTTCATTTGTTTGTGGCTCTTCCCCCTTCCACTTCTTCGAGGAACAAACTTTTGTGCCACTTAATTTTTGCCCAAGTGTCTATTTCATGTTTGTCCTATTTCTATGTACAAACATAGATATTGGTAAAACTGTCTCGAAAAAGTTACCTCTGCATGCATATTGGTTCATATGCAACAGCATTGTGCTCATGTCATCACACACCTGTATCTAATTTAGAGCTCTGTGTTAATTTTGTAGGTTTGGTTGGATGCTTCAACTCTGAGATCTCTCCTCTATTTGATAGCACTCCACATGCAACAGTTTTGTCCCTCTTGATTCAATCATTGCAGAAAGTTCCATCTATAGCAGAATCTCACTCTCAGCAAATAGTTCCTCTTTTTCTGCAATTTTTGGGCTACAGCCCTGATGAAACAAGGTGATTTCATATCAAATGTTGTCTCTAACAATACTAATTCTTGTATGAGTTATCAATTTATATTATGGTCTTTAGTTTGACCATGCATATCTATGTTTCAATTTAGCAATGTTGCATCTCATACCTTGGATCATAAAGGAAAAGACTGGAAGGGGGTACTTAAAGAGTGGTTAAGCTTGTTCAGATTGCTGCGAAATCCGGAGGCCTTTCATCGGGGTCTATTCTTAAAGGAGGTTCTTCTATATAGGTTTGTTACCAATGCTTCAGTATTAAATTTATCAAAATTACCCAGTTTTATTTCTTCGTTCTGTCCGAGAATGTGAAATCAAACTTTTCAAGTTTGTTCATTGCTTGTAGCTTCTATTTTCGTTTTCTTTCCATCGTTTCTATTTTTCTAATTTACCTGTTCCTGTTGGTTTGATTGGGTTGGGGGGAGTTGATGTTGCAGACTTCTTGAACAGAATGATGCTGATGTACAGATGAAAGTTCTTGACTGCCTTTTAAATTGGAGAGATGACTTCTTACTTCCATATAGTGAGAATCTGAAAAAATTAATAGATGCAAAATATCTAAGGGAGGAACTTTCAAAGTGGAGCTTATCGAGAAACTATATGGATGCCATCGACGTGCGGCACAGAGCTTACCTTGTACCGATTGTTATAGGTGTGCTAATTCCAAAAGTTCGAAATTTGAAAATGCTTGCTTGCCAGAAGGTACTATTTGTTCGATACTTGGATCTTTTTAGTGATGCTCTTGAACTTCTGTTTATTTTTCATTTCTATCATCTGATATAAAACTCATTATGGCGCCTTTACATTTTCAGGGTGCAGGTGTACATCATCGAAGGGCAGTTCTTGGATTCTTATCTCAGCTTGATCTTGATGAGCTTCCTCTTTTCTTCTGGCTGTTAGTTAAGCCCCTACTTACTAATTCCCAAAGAGATGATGAACCCAGAAAAAGTTTTTTGAATTTAACTCAGGGTCCCAACAATGAAGCTGATATATCTTATTTCTTGAGCCATTTTACCCCAGATTCCGTAAAAGCGCTAACCTGGAAGAAGAAATATGGCTTTCTGCATGTTATTGAAGATATTTTAGCAGTTTTTGACGAATCTCACCTTAATTGTTTTCTTAATCTTCTGATGAACTGCGTTGTCCGGATCTTAGCAAGCTGCACATCATCTATTGGCACTAGAAATAGTGGATTGTCTTCCATAGATAACTGTTCTGGCTTGGATTTGAATGCAGATGACCATGCCGAAGTGGAGGATCAAACCATGGTACGTTCAGATAACGATGTAGCATATTTTCTGTTTATGAATTAAAATTGTTTGGTCAACAAGTTTTTGAATTTCAAGGGTAGAGATGGGGCAAATTTGTATAATCCACAACCACTAAAGTTTCCTTGTCTCTTTCCGATCTTACACTAAGTTATACAGGCCTAGCAAACTAACCATTTATTGAGAAAAAAATTGACATGCCCACCCTGCCTCATATACCTGCACATCCATTTCTGCGGAGAAAATAACCCAGACCAGTGTAAAGATGTGCTAAAGCTAGTCATGTTAAGTTATTTTAACTACGTGGATTCAGTGATTAGTTTCTCCAGGACTGCCCATCATGGCACTACACTGATGCATTTGTAACTCTCTGTTCTTTTTCAAACGTGACAAGCGGTGATGCATGCTTTTCGTATATCATCTGCACAGGGAAGAATGAACAGGGATGCACTTTTTCTCCTTAGATTGATTTTAAGTATAGCTCTCCAGTTTTCATCTGCTTCATGTTGCACTCATTACATTAAGAAGCAAAGTCTGATGTGATTATCACATTCTCATAGTAAGTTGTAGAAGTTCCCTGAAAGTGGTGGAAGGGATCTGGATTACAGAGTTCATTCCAGTGGCTGAAGAATAATAAGTTTCCGTTGACCCTTCATTTCTAGGTTCAATGGATAATATGCTCTAGTTATTGAATAAGTTTATTTTTCTACAGTTCAACATTTATGTTTAAAAGTTATTACTTATTTGGTTTTCGTATATTCTTGTTGATGTCAACTTTTTGAGCCAAATGTTAGTGTCAGTACTTCTACCTTTTTTCTTTTCCTGGACATTATCTAATTTCAAAAAATGAATTAAAAACATTCTAATCAATATACTTTATTTATTTACAGGAGAGAATGGCTGTGAAGCAATTCAGGGACTTGAGATCCTTATGCCTTAAGATCATACATCTTGTTCTTGGTAAATATGCGAGCCATGAGTTTGATGGTGCATTTTGGGACCTTTTTTTCGTATCAATTAAACCCTTAATTGCTAAATTTAAGCAAGAAGGTGCCAGTAGCAAGAAGCCAAGCTCGCTGTTTTATTGCTTTTTAGCAATGAGTAAAAACTACAAACTCGTGCCACTATTATTCAGGGAGAGTAATCTCGTGCCTGATATTTTTTCCATGCTTAACATCCCGTCAGCTTCTGAATGGATTGTGTCCTGTGTTCTGAAGTTCACTAAGAATTTGTTGAAGCTCGACAGCGAACTGGGTAGCGAAGACATTGGTGTCAGAATAGTTTCGCCTTCTCATCTTGATCTGCTCATAACCAACTTGCATAGTTTTTTCACAAATTACAAAGCTACTAAGAGGTATTACTTCTTCTTTTCCTTTTCGTTGAGGAGATGTCTAGCTATATTTTTGTCTCTAAAATGCTTTTGCTTCTATCCGCTGCCTGCTATGCCATCCAAATAATGTGATTGAATCAATCTTATTAAATTGAGCGTATTTTAGGTTCCACCTCAAGTTAGCTTCTATTATGATCGGATTATTTTGTACGACATTTTTACCGTAAGCAGTATAAAATCTATTCTTGAACCCAATAGGATTGTGATGTGAGGCATCTAAACTTCATCACATTAAAAAAAGATAGGGTCTTTGAATATTCGAGTTCTTACTTTGCAATCCAGCATTGAGGATATTGACGTATACTTTTTTTTTTTCTCTTAGGCAGTTAGTCAATTTCCCAGGCAAAAGGGAATTTACTATCTTCAACTTGCTATCAAAGTATGTAAAAGAACCTCCAACAGCCAAAAAATTTGTGGATATATTGCTCCCACTACTTACAAAAAGACACCAGAATTTCGGTTAGCCTCTTAACTATATTGATCACAAGATTAGCTATTTCTTCGATTTCTCACAAATTGGGTTTGTTGCTTATTGTAGATACCTGTGTTGATATATTGCAAATCGTCCGAGAAGTGGTAACGGTGCTGGAGAGTGGGATTAGTGAAAACATTATAAAATCAATTACACCACTTCTTATCTCAGCAGGTTTGCCTGTCCGTAACTCTATATGTGATGTTCTTGATGCTGTCGCAGCAAATGATTCTTCTGTGCTTGTATTGGTAAGCTGGGGCTGGAGAATTCTTTATTAAATGATTTACATGTGTTCAGTGTTTTTTCTTGAAGAAAACAATTAGTTAGCTTTCCTGTATTTCTCTTTCATGCAGGCAAAAATTCTTCGTGAACTAAATGCAACCTCAGAAATGGAGATGGGTGGTCTCGATTATGACAAAATAATCTGTGCTTATGAAAAGGTTAATGTAGAATTCTTTTACACCATTCGGGAAGAACATGTGTGGCCAATCTTGGCTCACTCTGTTCATGGCATGTCATCTGAAGAGTCGACCATACGAAATTGTGCGTTCGGATTGTTGAAATCTTTCATTGCTTTTTCTGATGAGATCCTTAATGGAGCGTCAAAATCTGACCATATGTGGTCTGAAGCAAGCATTCATCGCATAGTGAAAGATTTTCTCTTGAAGCATATGGGAAGTGCAATGGACAAGGAAGGTGCAGTAAAAAAGGTATTAAAGTTGTGTTCGCATTTGTTTTTTAGTTTTTACTGTTGTGTTCTATTTCAACTTGTTCGTGGATCCCTTTTTAGGTCTATTTACTTTCTTATCTGGAGTATGGTTATCTCTATTCACGATCTGTTAGAAATGAGAAGGGAACTGAGATTGGATGCACAATTCTTGATTATTATTTGAGGCGCATAGCTTTGGCAGTAAATTTAGGTTCCGAAGAGTATCTAAGGAGAGAAACATCGGTTTGAAATAGCCACATAAGATATTATATCTATAGATTAATCCAAAGATGGATCTCAACTGGTTTTAATTTTTTAATTCTTACAATTTCAAAGTTCCAGTCAGATGGGGTCATATCAATTTAGATGAAAATTAATTGAATTTCTTATCTCTGATTGTGTTGAATCAGATGCTGAATATACCAGTTGAAGTAGTTTAACTCGTATTTGTGTCATCATTTGTGTGTGCAAGCGATTTAAGTGCATGAAACTTAGATATTTAGCTCAGGGAGATGTGTCCGTAAGTAGGAGTTTCACTTCCTCTTAAGTAGAAGTACTATATGTGGAATGGACAAACTGAGCTTGAACTTTGAGTAGAATAACGCGAAAGTAGGCCCATAACTACTTTCATTGAAGCTCTTGCAATGTGAATGTCATGAAGCAATTTCAGCACTGCGGTTACCAGGATTCAGATGGGCATGTGGTTTGACTTCGCAACGAATTATTTACTGTGTTTGAAGCCAATTTTTTCTTATTCCCCCCCAGTGCTCTCTTCTTGCTTTTCAAGATCTTTTGGCTTCCATATGTGGTTGTGGGGAATTTGGGCTTGGGGTTGGAGCAGGTTGCTGAATGACTTCTGCGATGTCAAAAACTGAAAGCCGACTCTTTTTCACTGAACATGACTGTTGCTTTGTTTTAGGTGTGGTTTGATTTACTTCAAGAAATGGTGTTGAAGCTCCCCAACGTGGCAAACCTTGATTCATACAGGGTTCTATGCAGTGATGATGCAGAACAAGATTTCTTCGGCAACATAGTTCACTTACAGGTAAAGCTCTATTTTGTTTTCCCAGAAGGTCAACTGAAAAAGGACCAGTTCATGTACTTGGTCCCTATCTTATGTCATTTTCCTTCATGTAGAAACACAGGAGAGCAAAGGCTGTGAGACGTCTTAAAAGCTGCGTCTGTTCAGGAACTCTATCAGAGGTATTCCTTTCAGTTTCTGTTAAATCTGTTGAGAAGTTTTATTCTTTGGGTTATATGGCTGATCTGTGGCATTTAACTTGTTAATTTTCTAGGCCATCACCAATGAAGTGTTTGTTCCAATGCTTTTTAGCATGTTGTTTGGTGCGGAAATTGGAAAAGACGAAAATATCATAAGCGCGTGCTTGGAAGCCCTGGGATCAATTTCTGGTTGCTTTAAATGGGATAAGTATTATAAGTTGCTGTTGAGATGCTTCCGTGATTTGCAACGAAAACAAGATAAGCAGAAGATTCTGTTGCGCCTTATGTGTTCTATCCTTGATCATTTCCATTTTTCAGAATCATCTTTGGTCCATGAAGCCAAAGTACCTGCTTGTGATGCTCCTGATCCGTATACCATTGATATGGCTACTTCATTAACATTGAGAAAGTGTACTAGTTCTGCGGAACTTCCTAGGATACAGATGTCGTTGCAGAAAGATCTATTCCCCAAGATTCAAAAGTTGTTGGCATCGGATACTGAAAATGTCAATGTCATTATCAGCCTAGTTGCACTTAAAATTCTAAAATTGCTTCCTGGTGAAATCTTGGACTCACAGCTTCCGACTATTGTTCACCGCATTTCAAACTTTCTAAAACATAAAATGGAAAGTGTACGTAATGAAGCTAGGTCTGCATTGGCTGTTTGCTTGAAGGAATTAGGGATCGAGTACTTGCAATTTATTGTCAAAGTGATGAAGAGCACATTAAAGCGAGGTTCTGAATTGCACATACTAGGATACACTCTCAATTTCTTATTATCAAACTTTCCCGTGAATCAAATAAGTGGAAAGGTGGATTACTGTTTAGATGAACTCCTCTCTGTTGTAGAGAATGATATACTTGGGGATATTTCTGAGCAGAAAGAGGTGGAAAAGTTGGCTTCAAAAATGAAAGAAACTAGAAAGCAAAAGTCTTTTGAAACACTCAAGACGATTGCTCAGAGCATTACTTTCAAGTCTCATGCTCTGAAACTGCTTTCACATGTTACAGTTCACCTGCAGAAGCAGCTTACCCAGAAAGTGAAGCTGAAATTGGAGAATATGTTAAATAACATAGCTGCTGGTATTGAACACAATCCATCTGTGAATCAGACTGAACTCCTTGTATTTGTCAACTGCCTTATTAAAGATGGTGTCTGTGATGAAGGTAATGAATATGGAAATAGTGGTGCTTCGAGGACAGGTAAACCTGACAGATATGATGAAGGTGTCCAAGCAATTCAAACCAACAGATTATTAAATGTTGATCAACGGTTTTCTCATCTGATAACAGCATTTTCTCTTGGAGTCCTTCAGAACCACATGAAAAAACTGAATCTTAAAGGGGTGGATGAACAATTATTATCACTGCTAGACCCTTTTGTCAATTTATTGGGTCAATGCTTGAGTTCCAAGTATGAAAACATTGTAATTGCTGCACTTAGATGCTTGACTCTGCTAGTCAGGTTGCCTTTGCCATCGCTTCAATCCCAAGCGGACAAGATAAAAAGCTCATTGTTCGTGATTGCACAATCTTCAGTAAATGCTAGAAGTCAATTGACAGAGGCATGTATCACGACGTTAACAATGCTTCTGCGAAGTACTAGAGTTACTCTTTCAGCTGATCAGTTGCATATGTTGATCCAGTTCCCTTTGTTTGTTGATTTCGCTAAAAATCCCTCGCACGTTGCTCTTTCACTTCTGAAAGCTATTGTACAGCGAAAGCTAGTAGTTCCCGAGATATATGATATTGTCCAGATTGTCGCAGAATTAATGGTACAAAGCCAACTTGAACCAGTTCGTAAGAAGAGTAGTAAAATCCTACTTCAGTTTTTGCTTGGGTACCATCTTTCTGAGAAGCGATTACAACAACATCTTGATTTCTTGCTTGCGAATTTAAAGTGAGAATATTCAACATTCAGTTATTAGTTTGTTTTTATGTTTTAATTAAGTATGCAGCTATAATTATATGAATTATATTTATTTCAGGTATGAGCATCCCAGTGGAAGAGAAGCTGTTCTTGAGATGCTCCATGCTATTATAAAAAAATTTCCACGGAATGTTGTAGATGCACAATCACAAACAATGTTTGTGCATTTGGTCATGTCCTTGGTGAATGATGATGACAGCAAAGTTCGTTCCATGTCTGCTGCTGCAATAAAGTGTCTTATTGAGCATGTGAGCACGAATTCGCTACACTCCACTCTAGAGTATAGTCTATCCTGGTACCTCGGTGGAAAACAAAATCTATGGGGTGCTGCAGCTCAGGTTAGTAGTAAGAGACCTTGGTTTTCCAATATTGAGTAATGAATGTCAAAAGCTGTATACTTCATGTAGAATGAATATAACTATTTTGAATGGAGTTCATGATGTTGTAACCTGATTTGAAACTGGATCAGAGTGTAAAGAACCCATGGGATGACCTCAATCATTTTTCATTTGGTTCATGAGAAATCTATTAAATTATTCATAATTTCTCATGTCACGGAGAAGTTTATAGAACATTATAATCATTTAGTTGAATCCTAGGACAAGAAGCTATGTACCATTCTATACCTTGTTCTCTTCTGTACTACATGGTTGCGTCTGATAATTACTTTCGTTGTTTATTTTATAGGTTTTGGGTTTACTGGTGGAAGTTATGGGAAAAAGTTTCGAAAAACACCTATGTAGATTGCTCCCAGTAATGAGAAGCATTTTCCAGTCTGCTGTCAGTGCCATTGAATCAAATCAACAAAGTCCATCAGATGAAGCAGTCCTTCCATTCTGGAAGGAGGCTTATTACTCATTGGTGATGCTGGAGAAAATGTTATCTCATTTTCATAACATGTTCTTTGATACGGATCTTGAGGTACAATTTAATGCTATCTTTATATGTACTTCCTGTCCCCTAAATCTCTCTCTCAGTTTAATTGAAGGAATTATTAATGCAATATTTTCATAAATCTTCTTATAGTCTTTGTTATGGACTTTTCATAATGAGGTAAAGTTGTGTGTTTTCTCTTGGATAGCGAAAGTGACTCGACAGTATAAATCACATTCAGTCTGTTTTTTGTGGAAAATTTGCACCATGTGATGGATTGTTCATAAAATTTATAGCAAACCAGATTTTCCTGCCTTGTCACCTTGTGACTTACGTTAAATCGATAGTTTCGCATGGCTACCTCTGAGAAAGAACTTAGGCTCAAAATGTTTTGTAAATCTCTTTAGTGAAGTACATTAGGAAAGATGAGTGAATTCATTTGCTTCTTTAAAAAATATAATATCTCAACTAATTTGCCAACGTCTCTCTCTTTCTCTCGTATACTTTCTTGGATTTATTTTTGGGGTCTTCCTTTTGATGTCTAAGAGAGATCTCCGAGGAATAATGTTTTCCTCTGGCTTTTGCATTGTCGGTTTTGCAAGCAACAGATAAACCTTCTATGGTTTTTGCTCTTCATAAGCTATTGTCATCCTATCTATTTATTTTCTTCAGAATGCTTCTCATATTCGTTTTACTTACCTCTTGCAGGATATATGGCAAACCATTTGTGAATTTCTGTTGCATCCTCACTTGTGGTTGCGCAGCATATCAAACCGAATTTTGTCCAACTACTTTAATGCAGTAACCAAAGCTTGCCAAGACAAGCGTGAAGTGTCAGCAGGAACATTCTTCCTTATGAAACCAAGCATACTTTTCCTTGTAGCTGCTTCTTCATGTCATCAATTGAAGGTACCGCCGGCTGACGATAAAGCTGGCGACATTGTGAAGAAAAACCTCGAGTTTTCAATTTGCGGTCTCCATTCATTTTTAGAAAGGAACGAATGCACAGACATGCATAAGTTCTGGTCCAACCTTGACCAAGTTGAGCAAGACCGTTTTCTTAAAGCTTTTGTTGTTCTTGATCCAAGCAAAGGAAGGAGGACACTTTCGTCTTTCACCTCTGAAGCCAGTGGTCCGCATAGTCAACATCACCATCCATTAATTTCTTTCTTGCTTCAGAGAATGGGAAAGATTTCCATTCAGATGGAAGACACTCAGGTATGTTTTATTATAACTCTTTTAAATTGATAAGATTGTTTCTCTAGTTTTCTAATAAACCGTTTTTTTTTTGTTTTCTTTTATTTCGATTTCTTAAAACTAATGTCATGTAACACCTTTCTTGCAGATGAAAATTGTCTTCAATTGTTTGAAAGAAATTTCACCAAAACTTCTTGGTTGCTATAAAACGTTTTCACCTACTGGCAATGACGATCTCCATAGTTATGCATATCCAGTTTTGTTGCCTCTGTACAGAATCTGTGAAGGTTATACCGGACAAGTTATTTCAGGTAATTCTCATTCCAATTTATATTTCAAACACGGTACCTCATTTTGTTTTCTTTTAATTATTTATGAATTTGTTTAAAATTCGTGACCCTTTTGTCGTGATGAAATGAGCAGAGGATCTGAAACAGTTGGCTGAAAGGGTGAGTGAAAGCATAAGAGACGTAATCGGAGTGCATCATTTTGTTCAAGTTTACAGCCAAATAAGGAAGAATCTGAAAGTGAAGAGGGATAAGAGGAAACAAGGAGAGAAGATAATGGCTGTCGTGAACCCAACACGTAATGCCAAGAGGAAGCTTAGGATTGCAGAAAAGCACCGGGCTCACAAGAAAAGGAAATTCACGACCATGAAAGTCGGGAAATGGAGGCGTTAAGGGCAAAATTGTCCTTTCAGTTTTGATCTGTTTTAATATTTGTTAATAGCCTTTTTTTTTAAATGCTTCGGTAATGATATCATTATTATTATTATTATATTATTTAAGTGGAAATTAGTCTTTGGACCATCAGTACATCCACATTTTGTTGTGAGTTATATAAATGAGGGTCGCATTTGAGCTGATAGATTTAGATTTAGATGAAGAAAATTCATCTTAATAATGATAGTTAAAAAATAAGATAAAATTCGTGTGTAAATTAAGAAAGATTCCATAATCTAAAAGATTCGATTAAATTTGACACCGTAAGGGTGGATGTTTAAGAAAATTCATAATGGGGTGGTTGCAGTTACCTAAACGGGAGGAGTTTTTTTTCGTAATTTGACCTTACTATGGGTGTAATTTACCGTTAAGAGTTAAAAGATCATGCAAATGATGCGTCTTTCCAATGAGATATATAGGCGGACATAATTGAAAGTTGAGGTGCCAAGATGGTGGGATATCTACCCATTCTACAATCAAACTATAAATCACAATGCCATCTCTCCCAATAAAATACACACTTGTGAGAAAATCTAGTAATTATCAATGACATCTACTTCTTATTTGTTGATTCTAAACTACGTTTTATCATTTCTATGCATCTTGTTTACTTGTTATCACATCCTTCAGATCATTGTCTCATGTTTCTCTTTCAAGAATTCCCGACAAGGGACACTCACACTACCCCCCGGCCCTCCCAAATGGCCCATCTTCGGCAACCTTCTCCAATTGGGCCCACTGCCTCATCGGGATTTTGCAGCCCTATGTGAAAAATACGGGCCACTAGTCTACATCCGATTGGGTGGGGTCGACGCCATCACAACCAACGATCCGGATATAATACGCGAGATTCTCAGACAACAAGATGACGTATTTGCCTCTAGACCACGAACCCTGGCGGCCGAGCGTCTGGCTTATGGTTGTGGTGACGTGGCGTTGGCCCCACTAGGCCCGAAATGGAAGCGGTTGAGAAGAATCTGCATGGAGCATTTGCTGACGACGAAGAGGCTTGAGTCTTTCGTGAGCCATAGGGCGGATGAAGCCCAACACTTGGTCAAAGATGTGTGGGCCATGGCTCAGAAAGGGGAGGTAGTGAACTTGAGGGAAGTGTTGGGTGCATTCTCAATGAACAATGTGACTAGGATGTTGCTTGGGAAGCAATACTTTGGGACCGAATCGGCGGGCCCACAAGAAGCGATGGAGTTCATGCACATAACGCATGAACTGTTCTCGCTGTTGGGCTTGATTTATTTAGGGGATTATCTGCCCGTTTGGAGATGGGTCGACCCGTTTGGGTGCGAGAAGAGAATGAAGGAAGTGGAGAAACGGGTGGATGATTTTCATTCGAAGATTATTGAACAACATAAAAAAAGAAGGGAAAATCAAGAAGTTGGTGGTGGTGATGATGAGGAGATGGATTTTGTTGATGTTTTATTGTCTTTGCCGGGTGAAGATGGGAAAGAACACATGGATGATGTAGAGATCAAAGCACTTATTCAGGTCATTTATTTGCTTATTGCTTTTCAAATAATCTATCTCTATTTTCGCACGTATTTCTAGATGTTACGTTCGGTGAAATACAATAAGTAAATTTTCATATTTATTTTAAACACGTAAACATATGAATGTGTATACATATATGTACACGACGAAGTTCACCGAGTGTATTAGCACAAAACAAATCATTTTGGCGCCATTAGGCTTTGTTTTCTTGGAATGTAATTGTTATATATTTTTATCTCAAATATGAAAATGAAAAAATACAAATTAAATGTTGACTTGTCTAATTTCTTCTTTGTTTACAATAGGATATGATAGCTGCGGCCACGGACACGTCAGCAGTGACCAACGAGTGGGCCATGGCGGAAGTAATCAAACACCCACGTGTCCTAAAAAGAGTCCAACAAGAACTCGATTCGGTCGTCGGGCCGAACCGGATGGTCCAGGAACCGGATCTGGTGCACCTCAATTACCTGCGGTGCATCGTGCGCGAAACATTCCGGATGCACCCAGCCGGACCTTTCCTCATCCCTCACGAGTCGACCCGACCCACCACGATCAACGGCTACCACATCCCCAACAAGACACGTGTCTTCATCAACACGCACGCATTGGGCCGCAACACCAAGATATGGGACAGCGTGGATGAGTTCGAGCCAGAGAGGCACCTCCCGGCTGACGGGAGCCGAGTCGAGATAAGCCACGGAGCCGACTTCAAGATACTGCCGTTCAGCGCCGGGAAGAGGAAGTGCCCCGGCGCGCCGCTTGGCGTGACGCTGGTGCTGATGGCTTTGGCTCGGCTCTTCCACTCATTTGAGTGGGGCCCACCTGAGGGTATGGGCCATGAGGATATTGATACGATGGAGGTTTATGGGATGACTATGCCTAAAGCCCAACCTTTAATTGCTATTGCCAGGCCCAGATTAGCGGCCCATTTATATGTTTGACTAAATTATTTTTTTAATTTCTTATTTTCTTTTTATATATATATAATGACAACTATGAAATTATTTTAGCATTTAGAAGATGATATAAATCCGAGCTGCAAAGCGTTAGAAGATCACAGAAAAATTAAGGTTCAGTTTGTTGAATGAATCAAAATTATTTTAGCATTTTGCGCACTGATTACTGATTAGAGCTACTGGTAGTAAATGTAGTTTCTCCAAGTGTTTGTGAATTTGCCTCAACGAGAAAAAAATATATATGGGTTGTGGTAACCGAGAGCTTTTTGCTGTCTAATTTTTCAGTTTTCCACAGCGAATGCATACTGAGAAAGTGATGTTTGAGTTAATTATGTTAAATTGCCTTGGTTTCTCTCGAACTATTTATATTTGTTACAGCTCAAAATGTACGAAATCGCTGAAGAATATGATATAATCCAGGCTTGAAGATGACAGAAATAAAGGTTCAGTTTGTTGTATGAATCAGAATTGTTATTATTACTACTACCTTAGTTAGTAGCATTAATTTTTTTCGCTTGATGGTTAGTACTATTTCTACTGGTAGAATGTTGTTTCTCCAAGTGTTTGTGAAATTGCCTCAATGAAAAAAAATTGTGTGGATTGGTAATTGATCTGTTGGTATCTATTTTTTTGTTTTCTTCCAGTTTTCCACCACGAATGCATGCTCAGAAAGTTATGTTTCTTCGCCGTGTTGCATCGAAACTTACGCCTCTTCAAGGAAGTAGGTTCTTCAGCAGCAGCAATGATCTTTTTAAATCTATTCAAGAACTCAATCAGGTGGTAATTTTGTAGATTGAGGCATTATTTGCCATTATTATTTCATTGTTTATTGTTTGATATGAGTTTTTCATGCTATTGTTTATTATATTTTCATTGAGCGATTTTGCTGTAAACAAAAGTTGCAAAGTGTTGAAGGAGGACACGATCACTATGGAAAGTATATTTATCGAGTAAGCACTTGTTTAGTGGGGGATTAGATTATATAATCATATGTTGACAATTTTACCTTACGAACCAAACGAGGCCTAAAGAGATTAAAGTAGAAACTGAGAAATTCTAGTTATATAACAGTGCCTTCACATTGATTATTCCACCGTTCGAAATGTAGAATTCTACTATGTGTGTTGACATGAGTTTATTTGTATGCTAATCTTGACCGTAGGAAATGGAATCTGTGTTTGGTGAACCCCCTGCATCTTCTGGTCTTGGTGGTTCTTTAGACACTCAAACTATGTCTCAAGAATCCCATGTAGTAACCAATGACGTAACACAAAAAGAATCTTTTCCCGTCTTGACGCATATTGGTAGTAAAGGTGAAGCCCAAATGGTTGATGTCTCCTCAAAGGAGATTACCAAGAGAATTGCTAGTGCAAGCTGCAAAGTTCTTTTAGGACAAAAGGTATTTGATTTAGTCTCGGCCAATCAGATGGAAAAAGGGGATGTTCTTGCTGTTGCTAAAATTGCTGGAATTTGTGGTGCGAAGCAGACAAGCAATCTTATCCCGTTATGCCACAACATCAATTTGTCGAATGTCCATGTGGATTTAACATTGAATCCTCGTGAATTTAGTGTCGAAATAGTAGGGAAAGCTGTCTGCTCAGGGAAAACTGGGGTGGAAATGGAAGCATTGACAGCTGTCACGATTGCTGGTCTTACGGTGTATGATATGTGCAAGGCTGCTTCGAAGGATATTCTTGTTACAGATGTAAGGCTTGAGCATAAAACGGGAGGTAAAAGTGGGGACTGGTACCGCAATAAATGATTTGGTTCTTTCTGTTTTTGGCTGTAATAATTTTAAACTCTCTGCTGTTCGGAAGAATGTGGACTGATATTTGGATACATGGTTTACTTTTTTGGTATTAAATACCATAAATGAAAATGCCGTTCATATTTGAATTTTCTTTGGCTCTTTCTTTTTGGGTGGAATTTCTACTGGATTTTCTTTTCAATCAAAAGCAGCAGTAGACCAACAATGAAGAAATTGGATCACTTAATACAAGAGTCAGGTATTTGTTCCTCCAACTACATTTTTGGCAATCTTTAGCATGAAATATTGTTTTGACGATTTTTCGTAACTTGGATGAAAAATGCAATCGATGCAGGTTCACTTTCTTGCTGGAACTTCCTTTATGTGGAACACATACCGAAGGTGATTTCACCGAGCAAAATTAAACAGGTATGCTTCGACAGGCAAGCTTCCTCACTTTATCTCTTGCTTTAAACTGATATTTTCTTTAGTCAATATTATCATTCTTGATATTGTGTCATCTGCTCTATAAAATAATAGTCGAAACACGAACTGAAAAAATATCTTGCCCGGTAAATAATTTTATCTGGCTCATCTCATTTGAAAATTATCGAATTTTCTTCGCGTGATTGAAGGTTTTTAGTGCATGTTTTGACTTTTGAGTGACTACTAAGGTGGTCTTATCTTTTCCCCACTTCTTGTAATGAGAAGTGTGACACAAGACATCTTGTTTCAAAGCTTATAGACTAAGGTCACTCCAATTCGAATTTTCTTTTGTGATAGAACACTTCTTTAGTCTATAAACCAAATTATCTTTCCAGCAAATTGGCCCCTTTTGCTTTGCTCTTTCAGGCCCACATGTTTTTTGGACATCAATTATGATATTGCACTAAGCCCTTCTTAAAGTATATTGTCTGCTTGTAAAGTGTGTGTTCCCATCTCGACAAGTAACCTCGCTTAATAATTCCTTTCGGTCCCGACTCTGTTAAAACGTATTAAATTATTAGTCCCGACTATATTAATTTATAGATGTTTAAGTGTATTTGAAATATGAACATAAATAAAGGTTGGTTTGGTAGATATAATGTGAGATGAATGATAAAGAATTCCAAGTATTAAAACCAATGTATACCAAACCACTATATTGTATATACCACAAGAATAACTAGGGGCAACAGTTGGCAATAAATGACTAAGTTGAAATTCATGGTCAATTAGTGGCTCTTTTTTATCAGTAGGTCTGGCTGTTCCTAAATGTAGTTGAAAAAGTGAAATAATTTAAGTGATGTAGGTGGGGCAAAGTTAAATGCTTATGTCTTTCTGTATATATTTCCATTAATACGAAAGTAAATTCGTGCTGTGAGAAAATCGGTTGAGGCTTTCATAGATATATCCCAAAAAATAAATAAATAATCATTAATTAAAGGGTAAATTACGGACACCCCTGAGGTAAGATCAAATTACGAAAAATCCCCATTTGTTTGGGTGATTACAACCATCAGTCAATTATGAATCATCTTACTCGTTCACTCTAGCGGTGTTAAATTTAGTGGAATCTTCTAAATTATGTGGAATATCGTGAAGGATCGTGTCCATGTCGTCTCCATTGACCAACATGGGGCTTTAGATTGTCGCGTGAATTGTCAAAGGCTCCCCCTATCCCTTCCAAAATAGGCAACTCATTGGTCCCGATGGAGCTGCTAAGCAGCTTCCACCGATGAAACAGAATCGTCATCTCAGTAAATAATTGGAGTTTTTTAATCACTCTATGGCTGTCCAGGTCCTCATTTTCATCGCTCTTCTTTTTTTCGTTTCGAATTCAGCACCTTGACCATATGTCTCGATAGTAAAAATTCCCTATTTTCCGATTGAACCAACACCGCATTGTTAATCAAGAGCGACTCACCCCACGTTCAGAATTGGTTGGTTTCCCTTTCCCACTCTGGTATTATTCGTTGCAATAACTCGAGTCACCGACAAACGAGAACTCAAATGTGCTGGGCCCATGGGGTGTTTCGAGGTGCTGGTTGTTCATCCCTTTGTTGTTCGCCGACACTTGGAGCTAGCTATCGTACGGTAACTGCTCGCCCGGGTCAATGAAGACCCCCTCGTATCGAAGTTTGCATTCTTCTTCTCCCCGTGCCCAATAGTACCGTATATGAAACAAAAATTGGGAAGACGCCCATAGGTGAAAAACACCCATGTTTTGGTCCCACTCGGATAGTGTATTAAGGGCCTTTATGTTTAGTAAAAAAAGAAAGAAAAAAACAATGAACTCTTAAAACTCCTTGGGTTAAATTTCTAATTTAATTTTTACATTTTCAGTGATTCTAGAGGTAAATATATTTTTTTCAGGTTTTAGTTAAAGCAAAACTATGTTTGATTTTCATATTTCACTGCAAGAAAATGGCTTAATCATGAAATTAAAAAAGAAAATGTTATTTATTCAGTTGTGAGATAACGATGGTACATCTTTTTCTCCTACAGTAAAATACAAACAAATACATACTTCCAAACAAAATCCAGAACGAAATCAACACTTCCAATTCAAATACTTCACACCTTTTCACACTCTGCCCCTCGTTATTTATACTCCCCATAATAAAAAACCTTCGAAACTCCATTTCTCTCTCTTCTCTCTCTCTCTAGAAAACTAGAATGGCCGGAAAACCAGTTTATGTCGCCATTTTTCTTTCATTTTTCCTCACCATTTCTTTCTCCGCTCCTCTTCAGTATCAGACCTTCGTCCTCACATCCCTCCCCCAACCTCAAACAATCTCATGGGTTTCTCAGCAGGAGTCTCAGGTGATAGAAACTCCGTCGGAATCTGAAACCGATTTCTCTTTGAACTTACACCATGTCGACAGTCTGTCTCCTTCTTCAATTTCAACCCCGGAATCCCTCTTCCAACTCCGTCTCCGACGCGACGGTGTTAGGGTCGAAGCACTGTCTACTCTCGCCGCTTCCGCCGCGGCTCCAACCAACGTCTCCGGCAAGCCGCACGGTTTCAGCAGCTCCGTGATTTCCGGACTCGCCCACGGCAGCGGCGAGTACTTCACGCGCCTGGGTGTCGGCACGCCGGCCAAGTACGTGTACATGGTGCTCGACACGGGAAGCGACGTCGTCTGGATCCAGTGCTCACCCTGCAGGAAATGCTACACCCAATCCGACCCGGTTTTCGACCCGAAGAAATCCAAGACATTCTCCGGCGTCGCCTGCGGATCCCCCCTCTGCCGCCGCCTCGACTCCCCCGGCTGCGGCAGCCAGCGGAAATGCCTCTACCAGGTCTCCTACGGAGACGGCTCGTTCACCGTCGGAGATTTTTCCACCGAAACGCTGACGTTTCGTAGGAGGAGGGTGAAAAACATCGCCCTAGGCTGCGGGCACGACAACGAGGGTTTGTTCGTCGGCGCCGGCGGTTTATTAGGCCTCGGCCGGGGTAAATTGTCTTTTCCGTCACAAGCCGGCCGCCGGTTCGGGAAAAAATTCTCCTACTGTTTGGTTGACAGGTCAGCATCTTCCAAACCCTCGTCGCTTCTGTTCGGCGAATCGGCGGTTTCGCGAAAAGCCGTTTTTACCCCTCTGCTAACAAATCCAAAGCTGGACACATTCTACTACGTCGGCTTAAACGGTATGTCCGTCGGCGGGGCCCGCGTCCCGGGTATTACGGCGTCGCTCTTCAAGCTCGACGCCTCCGGCAACGGCGGCGTGATAGTCGATTCAGGCACATCCGTGACCCGATTGAACCGACCCGCCTACGTGGCGCTGAGGGATGCGTTTAGGGCCGGGGCTTCGAATCTGAAGCGGGGTCCGGATTTCTCCCTGTTCGACACGTGTTTCGATCTGTCAGGGAAGACGGAGGTGAAGGTGCCGACGGTGGTGATGCACTTCACCGGGGCTGACGTGTCACTGCCGGCGTCGAATTACTTGATTCCGGTGGATAGTAATGGGAAGTTCTGTTTCGCTTTTGCGGGTACGATGAGCGGGTTATCCATAATTGGGAACATCCAGCAGCAGGGTTTCCGGGTTGTGTTTGATTTGGCTAGTAACCGGGTCGGGTTCACTGCCAATGGATGTGCCTAAATCATGTTTTTCTTTTAAATATAATGTCTTTAATATTTTTCATTATTTTTTTTTGTTGGATATTCTGACATAGGCAGATAAAAAAAAATTGAAAAATACAAGGTCAGATGTTGTCTGTTGAACTATGTCCTATAAATTGGTTTATCATGTGTGCTTCAAAATTGATCACATTTTAGGACATATAAATAAAATTAAAATGAATTAAATTCATAGAATTAGCATGATAAATCTGGGAAGTGACAAAATCAGGGGCGCGAGTTGCGGTGATTCAACACAGAGAGAGCGTGGGATGGGGGCCTGCATCCACATGCTTGTTGCAGTAGTCTCTCTCTCACGCGCGCACACATTATTTTGTTCCCCTGCATTTATCTTTCGGCGCCTTCTCCATATTTTCTACTTTTTTTTTGTTTTTTTTTTTTTTTTTTTTTTTTTTTTTTTTTTTTTTTTTATAATTATGAATACATTAATTGTTTTTCTTTTAATATCACGTGTGAACAAAAATACTAAGAAGAAAAATTATGGGGTCTAGGGTAAGGTTAAATTATAAAAAAAACCCTCACGTTTGGGTAATTACGACTATTTCTCAATTATAAATTTTGTACACATCTATCATTCTGATGTCAAATTCAACATAATTTTACAAATTGGATAATATTCGTGGAATATTATCTACTTTGTACTCGTTTTGAGTTTATATATACAAGCCAAAAAATATATTTTATAATCATCTTGCTTTAAAATGCGGAGCTCGACAAACTTGAGAATATTTCACATAATGTAGAAGATTTCACTAAATTCGACACCACAAGGGTGGACATGTAAAAAGTTCATAGTTGTAATTATCAAAACATGAGGGGGAGTTTCGTAATTTGACATTAGTTTAGGGGTGGCAGTAATTTACCCATAATTCATATGTGATAATTCTAATTTGTCTACCATGTGGCAGCATGCATGTCCCGCATTACATGTGCAAATCTGCACAATTCATTGAAACACATATATAATATGAACCCAACTAATTAACCACTTTTAAAAGAAAATGATTAAATTTATTCTTTAAGACACCACATCATCATCTCGCCTGTAAAGTTCATTAACGTTGTACAACAACCCACCGGAAAAGGCTCCATTTACAACATGTCTAAAAAAACATTCCTGGCTTAGCTAGACACCTAATCTAAATTAATTCTTATATTAATTAATTGATATGGAAAAATATATATTAAACTCGTTTACTAAATTCTAAGTGGTTAATTACAAATTAGCCCATTTATTTACGAGATGCAGCCCAGTAAGAAGCCCAAAGCTGCAAAATACACCAATCAAAATGAAGCATCTGTGGCTTTCACGTTTCACAGGCCTATGCTTATCCGCACACATGAAATTACATTAATCGCCTTGATACAATAAACATATTGTTCCGAAACTTGCTAAGGACGTTATTGTAATTTCAGGTCGAGCTAAGCCAAAGTCAAAAAAAACAGAAACCCAGAAAAGCTTGTTTAAATCGGGGAGAGTGATAATGGAGGAAGAAAGGGAGAAGAAGGTGGTGGTGGTGGGTTTAATAGAAAAGGCCGTCGACTCCACGGCGGCGGAGGTGGATCCTCGCCTCCTCAAGGCGATTAAATTCACGGTTCGTTACTCCGATTCGGAGCTCCGGTTGGCCGCCCAAACCCTAACGTCTCTCATGAAACGTGACCATTCTCAGGTTTGTTCGATACTCTGATTACGAACATTCGATTTTAATTTCTGTTCTGTTTTGCACTCGATATTTTTTGGTTCCTAAAGCACCATGGAATTTAGGTTTTAAGATTGGTGCAGAATGTTACCGTTAACTGTATGTTTGATGTAGGATTTGGGACCTTTTAGAATCATGATAAATTGATAATCATCATAACTGGCACCTAACAATAATCACCATCAAACACAATAACTAAGGATAAACTATTATCATTTGGCCTATAGAATTTCTGAGTGATTATCTAAAAATCAAAGTTAATTTCCAGAAGCTTGATTAAGTCGATAATGAATTAATCAAACACATTCAATTTCAGTATCAAACAGTTTTTCTCAATGAAAGGCTGGCCAATTTTAATGCTATAATGAATTGTTGATATAACATTGCTTATATTAGTACAATGGTTTTTTTTTTCTTGGAAAAAATCAAGGCTTTATTATGTAGAATGCTCATGTGGATGCCTAAGTGTATAGAATTGATTTATTATTGCTTCTTTCTCAAACGGAGATATTTCCTTGTGATTTCTAGATGGTCTTTTATTTTCGAATCGTGCAAATGTTCTTCTCTTGCTGCTGTGTGGGATTTTTTTATCTTTTATCTTAGTTCTGTCAATAAATTGAGGCTGATGGTACAATACTTGTTGAACTATGTTTTGTAGGTAAGGTATCTTGCACTTCTCATAATAGATGAACTTTTCATGCGCTCAAAGCTTTTCAGAAGTCTTCTTGTTGAGAACCTAGACCAGTTACTTAGCTTAAGTATTGGGTTTAGAAGAACTCATCCGCTCCCTGCTCCTGCTTCTGTTGCATCCGTTCTGCGTTCAAAGGCAATCGAGTTTTTAGAAAAATGGAATGAATCATTTGGTATTCATTACAGACAGCTCCGATTAGGGTATGACTACCTCAAGAACACCCTTCGTTTCCAGTTTCCTAACCTACAAGCCAATGCAGCCCGTGCTCAACAAGAGAGAAGGGAAAGAGAGATGAGAACAAAAGAGATCTTGCTGAAAAAATTTGAATTCTTGAAGGCAAATTTTTCGTCTATAAAAGAGGAAATACAGACAAACACTGATGAAATTGACGAATGTCTAGAAATACTTAGGACCAATGATGAGGATATGCCACTGGTTCCTGTTGATAACGAAGATATGGAAGAGTTTCGTAACTCAGAATTAAGACAGATCCGTCTTGATTCTTTGAAAGAAGGGGAAAAGGTTCGAGAAAACAGCGAAAACAAAGTTGTTTTTGATGCTCTGAGGGAGTTTTACAAGGTTCTAGTCACTAGACATCTTGCTGCAGTACAGGAATGGATTTCTGTTCTTATAAGGGTCGATGCGACCGATAACAGATTCAGGGACTCTGCTTTGAAAAATCTCATAGACATAAGAAATCTCATTCAATCAACAAGAGTCAAATGTGAAGAATCAGGTTGTGATCTTCCTAATATTGCAAGTGCTGATGAAGAAAATACATGGGAAGATGGTATTGTAGAAACATTCGAAAAAGGAAAATCTAGTCCAACATGTTCGAAAACCAGCGATGCACCGTCTGCATCGACTGACAATAATCCGATAAACACAGAGGAACGTATTAGTAGTTTGCCGAAAGGAAAAGAGAAAAAGAATAATCATAGTGGAAGTAAATCAAACCCATTACGGAGTAAGCTTATGACTGAAGCTCCACTTCTTAACTGGGGTTCTTTCCTAGACAACTGGGGTTCAAAAAGGGATGTTTTGGCTAACCAGAGAGGATTGGATCTCGATGCTCACTGGGGTAGAGTTGACCAAGATGCGGTTATACCAGCAGACAAAATCGCGGAACTGAATGTTCGAGCATCTGTTTACGAAGAAGATCCTGTTGAAATTAAGCCATGTAGAGCACCTTTGAGAAAAGGCGGGCTTTGCCAAAGAAAAGATTTAAGAGTTTGTCCATTTCACGGCCTCATTGTACCGAGGGATGAAGAAGGAAACCCAATTAACGAAAGCTCCACAACAGAAGAGACAGCTCTGCAGAACCTCGTTGAAGAACCGAGTCAAGATTCGGACAGTCGTGTAATGGATCAGCTACTAAAGCAAGCTGTTAAGAATGTTCGAGGAAGAGACAGCGAAGAAGCAAAGAAGAGAGAATTGGACAAACAGGCCTTGAAGAAAGCAAGGCTTGCAAAAGTACGCGAACACAACGTAGCTGTAATGAGAGATGCAGCTATAGCTTCGACTTCGAGATCGTCTCATATTGGGGAAGATACGCAAATGGGTGACGTGGCGAGATCTTCTTCTTCGAGTAGTAAAAGCAAGAAACAAACACTTGCATCAATGCTGAAGAAGAAAGAAACTGCTAAAGACAGATTAAGTCAGAGGCTATTGAACTCTCATGCAAGGGATGCTACCATTAGACAGTTGACAGTTGCAGAGGAGGCCAATTACAGGGAAGCATTTCCAAATCAATGGTAGATTATATTATTACATGAAAAAAAAAAGACACGTGTCAGTAACAAAGGAACCAACTCTTTTGAGTCTTATCTGAGAATATTAAAATGTTTGTGGGACTAAAGAATGATGCCTTATACTATTTGATGAATATATAAAACAATTTTAATACTTATATTCTTTCGACTAATAAAGGTGATGGCCACATATGTTTGCTCTGTGTTGATTAATAATTTATAATTTAATATAGAATTACATTTTTCATCCCCAAAAAAACAAAAAAAAAACTCTATTATAATTTAAATATTCAGTTAATTTACATATTTATAAATTATAGCTCAACCACTAATATGAATTGCAATTAATCTTCAATATGGAAATGGAATTTATTGATGGCCAGCTACGTAGTACCGACATGGAAACGGCGATACGGCATATTCGAAAAATGGGGATACGGGAACTTGGGGGAAACGTATAAATACTAAAGTATATTATATTTATAATTGTGTTATATAAACATATATAAGTTTTTATTTATATATGATTTTTTTTTTAATTCCATACAAATATATTCAAAATTATTATTATTATCAACTATCAATTCTTAGTTGATCAATAAATCATGTAATTAATTAGGGAAGTAATGAAAATATCTAAAGATTTACTATTAAAAAATGTTCCTAATTTATCAAAAATTATAAAATAGCCCATAAAACGTCTGACATGTGTACTAAAGTCTCGGATACGAAAGGGCTCGAAAAATACAGAAACGTGAAGAAATTGAAGCTTCCATATTACATAATACTATGGTGTGAAAAGAAAAGAAGGTCCCTAATCTATCTACTCCTAGTTCCTACACATCCTCTCTCTCCACTATTAAAGGAATATATAAATTTAAATAAAAAAAGAAGAAAAAAAAGGTAAAAAAAAAAAAAAAAAAAAAAAAAAAAAAAAAAAAAAAAAAAAGAATCATCACGAAAGAAAAGAGAAAAGGCTCCCATCAAGAAAAGCACCTTCATTTGAGAACCCTCTTTTCTCCCTGTTCACCTTCCACAATCATTTAAATTAAAAAAAAAAAAAAAAATCCAGAAAAAATTCTTTGAAATTCATTGAGGAAAATTCCTCATAATTTCTCCCTCACAAACCTCCAAAACACAAACAACATTAGGTACAGAAAAATCAGGAAGCAAGGAAGGAAGGAAGGAAGAGAAATATATATATATCCTATTTTTTTAATAATTTAATTTAATATTTATTGAAGAATGGAATCCAGCATTGAATGTGTATCATCAACTGATGGTATGGACGATGAAGAGATCTCTCACCCAAATCCATTTTCTCAATTTTCATCTTCAACAAAATCATCTCATAATAATATTAACACCAATAATCCCACCACAAGTGTTCATGAGCTTCTAGAATGCCCTGTTTGTACCAATTCTATGTACCCTCCCATCCATCAGGTTTTCTTCTCTCTCTCTCTCTCTCCTCTTTTTTTTTTTTTTTTGGACAAATGGGTGTCAAGATCCCATCTTTAGGGTTTGTTTGTTTGTTTGTTCAAAGGTTGTACCTTTTCATCAGTAGTTTATTTTGTTCTACTTATTTTTAGGTTGAATTTTTATTTTGGGCAAGTGCTGATGAAGTAATTGGGATTTGAGGAATTGTTATTTGTAGCTATTTTACCCTAATTTGTATGGTTGACCAAATTATCCTTTTTTTTCCCCCTTTTCTGTTTCTTTGATTTTACTAAATAGCTGCAAATATAGAAACTTACCTTTACATATTATTGTTTTCTCACTGACTGATTCTTCTAAATTGGCATTTGGATAAACCCTTTACAAAGGCATTGTCATTGTGTGGTATAATATACAAAATAATTAGTTTGATCAATGAAAATGCTTTCGAAACTTTGCTGTATTTCATATTTTCTGTTTCTGGTCTAACATAAAAAAGGTTAATTACGACAGTGCCACAACGGGCATACACTATGTTCTACATGCAAAGTGAGGGTCCACAACAGATGTCCGACATGCAGACAAGAACTCGGTGACATACGGTGTTTAGCCCTAGAAAAAGTGGCCGAGTCACTCGAACTCCCGTGCAAGTATTGCTCCCTTGGATGCCCAGAGATATTCCCTTATTACAGCAAGTTGAAACACGAGGCGGCTTGTAATTTTAGGCCGTACAGCTGTCCCTATGCTGGCTCGGAGTGCTCGGTTGTTGGAGATATTCCATACTTAGTTGCTCACTTGAGAGATGATCACAAAGTGGACATGCATTCTGGATGCACTTTTAATCATCGCTATGTTAAATCGAACCCACGAGATGTGGAGAATGCCACATGGATGCTAACTGTGAGTATTTTTTTCCTTTTCTTTTTTCGTATATTAATATTAGCTCAATCTTGAAATGTTCTAGAGCATTTTTAGTTATCTTTTTAAGGCCTTGTTTGGTTGGGGAGATTAGCCATGATTAATTAAGTAACTTGAACTTTGTTTCATAAACCCAATAGTTTTCTGGGTCGACCCGGAAGTGTGATTTTATCTTGGCTGACTTATCTTTCCTTTTAGGGAGATTATTTATTGGACCTTCCATGGTTTGGGTTTTCATTAAATTCTTTAATTTTATCTTGGCAACCAAATAAGGCATTGATAGACAATATAATCAAGTTTTGTCAAATATACGAGGTTTATGTTTCAAGCCCATGATTAAAAATTAAAAAATAAGTCATTCATATGCTTGATTAAATTCCGAGCCGTTTTTTAATCACGGGCCTGAAAACAAAACTCCAAACATTTGATACATCTTGATTATAGTCCTATCAAGTTATATCAATGTTCCCAAACGAGGCCTAGGAAGTATATATTGCTGGATATCTTACTATTCCCTTTTTCCTCTCATGGGAGGAGTTAGGTGATCACCAAATGCTTGTTGTTTACTTTAAGGCCACGTTTGGTTCCTAAGATAAGATTAGCCATGATAAGAGTATGCAATCTTACGAGAACCAATAAAATAATCTCCCTAAAAGTCATGGCTAATCTCCCCAACGAAACGAGGCCTAGTTATCTTATTCAGTCTTCACCATTCACATGCTCAAGATATCTACTACAACTATGTATAAATGCTATAATTTTTGCTATGTACAGGTGTTCCATTGCTTTGGGCAGTATTTTTGCCTGCACTTCGAAGCTTTCCAACTCGGAATGGCCCCCGTTTATATGGCGTTTCTTCGGTTCATGGGAGACGAAATGGATGCTCGTAATTACAGCTACAGTTTGGAAGTAGGTGGAAACGGAAGGAAACTTATATGGGAAGGTACGCCTCGAAGCGTTAGAGATAGTCACAGAAAAGTTAGAGATAGCCACGATGGACTTATTATACAGAGAAATATGGCTCTCTTCTTTTCCGGCGGAGATAGGAAAGAGCTTAAGCTTAGAGTGACGGGCCGAATCTGGAAGGAACAACAAAACCCTGATGGCGGAGCTTGCATACCCAATTTCTGCAGCTAACGCTTTGCTTCTTCGGGTTTTTTTTCGTTTTCGAGATTCTTTTTTTTTTTCCTTTTCGGGGTGATGTAATTTTTTTATGGAAAAAAAGGAAATGTGTGATTAGTTAGTAACGATAAGGTTCAGACATTGTTGAAGTGTATGTGTGGAGCTTATGATCAAATTTGTGAGCTTATATTCATTTGTAGTGCTGATAATGTAAGAACAAATTGTATGTAATCAATCGTACTCTCATAGCTACTTTTCTAAGATTTTCTTGATCTTTTAAGGTTCTCTGGTAATAATATCCATGACTCGGTGATCTGTTTCTTCCTCTTCTCCTCTCTTTTTATTATACGAGAAACGTAAACTACACTAGATTAATTATGTGTGATTGATTCTATTAGCGGATTTAGATTTTTAAGTCTGGGATGGCCGAATGGATTGAAAAAATTCTAGAGGGGGCCGTTAATGTTATTATGCGATTTGTTTTTAATATTTTTATTTAAAATAATAGGGATTTATGAAATGTTTGGGGGCCATGGCCCCCTTGGCCCTATGCTGGCTCTGCCATTGACAAACTCGATCGCGTGACCATTACGAACACAGACTCACTTGCTGCAACCGCCTCTTCACTTATAGGATCACTTATAGGAGTGGAAACTGACCAATCAAAATTTCAGTGGAATTTGTACTGATCCATCGGGTTTATCAAAATTTTGGGAAATTTCTAATTATTTTCGGAAACGAAACACTAATTCCAGTTTCGTTTTCGAAAATCCGGAATGAAAAATTAGAAATCGGAAGTGTCGAAAGTATAGTAGTTGTAAGAGATTTACGAGCTAAAACCCGAATATTATTATAAGCATATATAAATGCAAAATTCGGAACTATGAGTTATCAGCGTCTTCTCCAGGGCCAAGGCCAAAGGGGTTTTAGGCTAGCTACCAAACCACCGCTTAACCCCTCTCTCTCTCTCTCTTCTTTCTCTCTCTCCTCTCTCTTCTCCTCTCTTCTCTCTCTGTGTTTGCTCCTGCATGTGAATACCTTTGCTGTAAGCTTCGTAGCGATGGAGTTTTTGAGCTCCACAATCTCAACCAATCCTCAGATTTCTCCTGCAATTCAGTTTCTTACATGGAAAAGCCCTTCGAGGCTAACTATACCCAAATCAGGAAACCCTCGTTCCCATCCCCAATTTTCTCGCTATTTATTCCGCTCTATTCCGTCCAGGAATTTCCAAATTTCAGCTCATTCTCGCAGACCTACTAACCGCCAGAATTATCTGAGGAAGAAACTCAGTCAACAACACCACCAGCAGGTGAGGGACCTTCAAACCTCTAATTTTGATAAAGTTGATTCAAACGTTGATATTTCTGATGAAATGAACTCGAATCTCGATAAAATTAGGGTTGATAATGATTCAAATTTTGATAGTTCTAGTGGAGATATGAAGAAGAATCTCGAGGGGAGCAGTATTGATAATGATTGTAGCGATGGTGTTGAGGAATCCGAAATGGATTTGAGGAAAAGGAAATTTGGTGAATCTGTTATGTGGAATAAGTTGGAGAGTTGGGTTGACCAGTATAAGAAAGATTCTGAATTTTGGGGGATAGGGAGTGGCCCTATATTTACTGTGTTTCAGGACAGTGAAGGTAAGGTGGAAAGAGTAGTTGTCAACGAGGATGAAATTCTGAGGCGAACTCGAGTTGATCCACAGTCGAGTAACGAGTCTGAGGACTTGTCTGAATTTAATTTTAAGACATCTTTTGCGAAAGACTTGGCAAGAGAAATGGAGAGTGGGAGTAATGTGATTCCGAAGAACAGTTCCGTAGCCAAGTTTTTGCCGTCTGGTGGTGAAACTGAATCGCGTCTTACAAAGGCAATTCGGGGTGTCACGATAAAACCAGGTTTATTACCAAGAATGTCGAAAGTCGGGGTCTTAGTTTTATGTGGCTTAGTTATGGTTTGGTCATTTAGGGGGCTGTTCAATATTGGCAAAGATAGTAAAGAAGAGTACACAAGTTTGGAGAAGGAGATGCTGAGAAGGAAAATAAAAGCTAGAAAGGAGAAAGAGAAGGTAGTGAAAGGTAGTGTGGAAGTGGTTCAGGATCCGGTCGAGCCGAAAATTATGCCTTTTAAGAGGCCTCAGCTTGATAAGGAAGAACTTGTGAGTACCATTTTTAAGGCCAAGGGGTCGAAAAGTGAACTGGAAACGGTGGAGTATAGTGGTGAGCAAACTAAGGAATTCAAAGAGAAAATCGAAGAAATCAGGGCAATGGCTAGGCTTGCACGAGAAAGTGAGAAAAGAGATGTTTTGTCTGATGATAGCGATGGTGATTATAGTGATGGCGAGGATTCTCAAGCGTTGAAAGAGTTGTCTACACATAGTGAAAGTCCACAAAACGACTTTCTTTTTCAGAAAGAGATATCTAGTAGTGATTCTGATGAAACGAATGATGATATTGGACAGTCTGAGAACGAAGCTTTACATGAGAAAAGTGAGACATCGTTTCATGACATTCCTGACAGTACTGAAAACTGGAGACCGGAAGTTAACACAAAATTGGTTTCAAAATCCTCGGATTTGAGTGAAGCTAACCTACACTCGGAAGGTCCTGGCAGTCAATCGGGCCCATATGAAAATTCTTCGAGAAAAAAGTTAAGAATCATAAAATCAGCTAAGGAAGCCAGGGAGTATCTCTCGAGTAAGCATGACAAACTGGAGGTGAACCAAAAGCATGAAGTTAGAAATAATGAACTGACTGATTTTGCTGTTACCATGCCCAGTACAAATGGAGCATCTGGTACCACAAATCAGATCTTAGATTCAACTAACGAGACATATGAATCTTCCTCGATAAGTGGAATACATGATCTTTCAGATCCTTCTGAAAATTACCGTGGAACAACGGAAGGAAATGCTGATTTGGATAAAGATGCTGGAATATCGGAACTCAAGATTCGTGAGATAAAAGAAACAGATATTAGTGCAAGCCAGGAGAACTTTAATTACAAAAATGAAATATCTTCTTCTGTACGGGGCAAGCCAGAGTCTATATCTACTGAATTTGACGAAGGCTTGATTCAGAAAGAAGAAGTATCGACTCCACTTAAGAAGCATAATTCTGAAGTTACTGAAAAAGAAGAAGTATTGATAGGTCTTCAAGTGCCTGAAAGTACATCTGTTGACGAAGTTAAGGATAGAACTGCAGATCTAGGGGCGTCGGTGAAAAAGGAAAACTGGATAGAAAAGAATTTTCATGAATTTGAACCCATTATGGAGAAGATGGGAGTGGGCTTCAGAAACAATTACCTAGTTGCAAGGGAGAAAGCAGATCAAGAAACTGAATTGATGATTGCATCTGATGGTGCTGAAAGTGAACTTGATTGGATGAAAGATGAAAAGCTCAGAGAGATAGTATTCAAAGTGAGAGACAATGAGCTGTCGGGAAGAGATCCGTTTCATCTTATGGACGAAGAAGATAAATGTGCATTCTTTAGTGGCCTTGAGAAGAAAGTTGATCAAGAAAATCAAAAGCTGCAGAACTTGCATGAATATCTTCATTCCAACATCGAAAACCTTGATTACGGAGCAGGTAAAAAAGATTTTCCTCATGGATTAATTCGTTTTACGAATGATCAAACCAATTAAATGTTTCTGTCAAGTATATCAAATAATAAGGTTAAAATCTACATTTACATATTAGAGTCTCTTGGCTTTGATTCCTTCAATCAGTATATAAGTTCAAAATTCTTATTCACTATTCATGCTCTACAGATGGCATTAGCTTGTTTGATGCTCCCGAGAAAGTCATGCCTCGGTGGAAAGTCCCGCCTGCAGAAAAGAATCCCGAATTTCTGAACAACTTTATGGAACAAAGAAAGGCAAATGTAGCTGAAGGCCTTAAGAAATCATTTACCTCAAATAAAACTGGAAAAGATTCCGTTCATGAATCAAAAGATTCTTCTTCCAACGGGAATATTCCTGCCGCCACAGATGCCACTACAAGTAAAGAACTTCACAAAGATAATTTAGCATCTTCAAAGACCGTTATACAAGGTAGTGATGGCTCTCTTAGGGCAGGCAAAAAATCAGGAAGGGAGTACTGGCAGCACACAAAGAAATGGTCACAAGGGTTCGTCGAATCTTATAATGCAGAAACAGATCCAGAAGTCAAATCCGTAATGAAGGATATGGGGAAGGATTTGGACCGTTGGATCACAGAGAAAGAAATACAAGAAGCTGCTGATCTAATGAACAGAGTCCCCGAAAAGGGTCAAAAGTTCATCAAACAAAAACTCGAAAAAGTGAAAAGGGAAATGGAACTGTATGGACCCCAAGCTGTTGTGAGCAAGTACAGTGAATACACAGACGAAAAGGAAGAAGATTATTTATGGTGGCTAGACCTTCCCTTTGTACTGGTATACAATGAACTGTAGACTTAATTTTTATCTCATTTCCGTATCTTGAAAGTATTGTTGAGTATCTTGTTTTATGGCTTTTTCAGTGTATAGAATTGTACACGGTCGAAAACGGGGAGCAGAAAGTCGGTTTCTATTCATTAGAGATGGCTTCTGATCTTGAATTGGATCCAAAGCAATACCATGTAGTTGCTTTTGAAGATGCTAGTGAGTGCAAGAACTTTTGCTACATCGTACAAGCTCACATGGAAATGCTGGGAATCGGAAACGCCTTTGTTGTTGCTCGACCACCCAAGGTGATGATTTGATTAGTCCATAATTATTGTATTTTGTCTCTCATATACTATGTTATTAATCCGAAATATTCATTGGTCTAAGGTATCAGTAGTGAATCGTTTTTCAGAATGAGTATGATTTATGTCCTAATCCACAATTTGAAGTACTGTTTATATATCGTTTGATTGTGATTGTAGGATGCTTTCCGCGAAGCAAAAGCAAATGGGTTCAGTGTGACTGTTATAAGAAAGGGTCAAGTGAAGCTCAATATAGACTAGACATTGGAAGAAGTAGAAGAATCTATTGAAGAAATAGGTAGTAAGATATACCATGATAAAATCACCAAGGGCCGTTCGGTTAATATAGATGCATTGATGAAGGGAGTATTCGGCGTCAGCAAATCGACCAAGAGGTAAAATTCGATTTTTTTTTTTTTTCCGTTTTGACTGGTAATATTGTTTTCTTTAATAATAAATGGTGGGTTTTTCAATTTCTGTTGCAGGAAGAGGCGAAAATCGAAGAAAAAACGTATTACACCGTGAAAAAGTGCTGCTTGAAACACAATTTTTGAGCTCACTTGTCTACATTCTTGGTCAATCATTTTTGGTGAAACTAGTAGTATCATTACATTGAAATATATTCCTTAAATCAAGTGCAAAGAACAACACTTGTACAGATTGAAATGGCACGTAGTAATTAAATTTTTTTTTTTTCCGTGCGCTTTAACAATCTCTTAAATCGGACTTGAAAATTTATATACACAATCTATTTTCATTAGAAAATTAACTAAGGCGTTGATTAATTAATGAGCAACGTCATTATGACGGTATCAGCATCGGAAACCCAAAACAGTACCGCGCGTGACCTCAATCGACACCCCGCACTTGACTCTAGTCTCCACTCGGTGCATGAACACCTTCAGCACCCTAACCCTCCCCACCAGCTTCATCCGCGTCTCTATCTCCATCGTGTCCGCCGGCGCCACGCCGCCGACGGTCGATCCGTCATTTACGCCGCCGATCGCGGCTCTCTCCGGCGCCGGCAGGGGGTACTTCTGCAAATCGAACTTCGCGGACATTTTCTGCCTGGCGCCGCCTCCGATTCTCCCGGCGGGGATGAAGACGGTCCCGACCGGTTCGCCGGAGTAGACCAGCTGCAGCGAGCTGTCGTAGTGCGAGAACTCGTCGCGGTTAGGGTTCGTCACGGTGACGTACTGGAAGAACTCGAAGTCGACGGTGCCGTTTGTGACGGAGAATGTCGGGAACTGGACGGCGTTGACGGCGATTACAGGAGGTTTGGGCTTGAAGAGGAAGAAGTAGACGGCGACTGCGGCGACGGCGACGGCGAGCAGGAACACGGTGGCCACCACGCACGAAGCTAAATTAGTACGGCCGCTCCTGGATTTGGTTTTGTAAGCGTAGGGATGGCGATCGTCAGATCTGTGAAGAAATTGGGGTTCGTTCATTTCTTCAGCAAAGGTAACACAACCAGAGAGAGAGAGAGAGAGAGAGAGAGAGAGAGATAGAGAGAGAAACAAAAAGACAGAAATTGTTAGTGGGTTTTGGTATCAACTCCAATTTTACTCATTTGCTGCTACTTTTTATCAACAAAAGAAGAAAAAGAAGCGCATGATAGTATTTTGCCACGTCATCTTTATTGGTCCTTTTGGTGAGAGAATCCTGAAATTGAACCCAGTTTTTTGGTCAAGTGTTTTCTAATGAAATCATGGTTTTGTTATATGCCAGACCAAATAATTTCATCATAGTTAATGATAATAAATAATTGAGCATGTGGTATAATTGCATTTGAAGTGAATTAAGCATCAAGTTATATATATATTTATATAGTTTGCTTTAAGACTGTCATTAGATGTCTTTAAATTGTTTCAAAAGAGTAAGGCCCCGTTTGGTTGGCAAAATAAGATTAGCCAAGATAAGATTAAATAATCTAATGAAACCCAATTATTTTATTGGAGCTTGTAACGTCCAACAAAAAAAACACATTAGAAGGCAAGATAAACCATGATTATATAATTTTGGCGGGTCGACCCGGCAATTTATTGAGGATACCAAACATCAAATTAAGTCCAACTATTTAGTTAATCATGGCTTATCTTGGCAACCAAACGAGGCCTAAATATATTATTGCATTACACTGTGTCATTTAACCTTATTTCCCACTTCTTGCAGCTCAAATCAACCCTGTTCTTGAGGAGGAAAGTAGACTGAACAATTCTAAAAATAAAAGGTCAACAACAAAATACAAACTGGAGTTTCAGAATTTACTCAAGGATCTGAAAAGAACAAAGTCATTATCCAGTTCAAAATGCTGAACAAGTTGGAAATTAAAAAAAAATCCGGTGGAAACTATCCCCGAAGACTGAAGAATGAAATAAATGGACACACATTCACAAACCAACAATATGCGCATATGTACTAAAACATATGTACCAAGTTTTTTTTACGAGGGTTAGATCAGATTAGACCATCTCCTTAAGACGGCGATCGATAATGGTGGAGACAGAGTCGAGGAATGCAGCTTCACTTGTACCAGGTAGCACAGATTCCTGAGCTTCTAGAACAATCTCTTCAACCACAGATTCCTTCCTCACTGTCTCTCTGCAAAGCATATTGCCTATGGCAAACGGTGTAAGCCCCTTCTCTGCACCTTTCTTTAGAAGCATGGTTGAGATGCGAAGTACACGGGCACATTCAGGTGGTAGGTCCCACCCATAGAACTTGAGCAATGCAATGTCCTTTTCGGCATCCAGTGACCTTATGTAATCGATGGTGTCATCGCTGAAAGGCTGGCGAGCTTGAGGCCAGTATAGCCAGTCAAATGTGCAGTCTTCGAACTATAGGGATAAGAGAATGAAGAGGTCGTAAAGTGAGATTCAGCTTCGACAAAAGAGGAAGAAAATCAGTCAACTAGTATGATTACTTTTTTGTTTCATATGCTGAAGTGAATATTCCATCTCCATCCAAATTAAAGAATGCCAAAAGTTACTAGACTAAGTAATGGTTGTAAGGTGCATATGATCGCATTCTCAAACAAGGCTACATGAGAGTTCTTGCAAAGTTATTTCACATGTAAAAGAACACCCATGCAGGCATGCACAACTAGTGACACAACAAAAGAGGGTGTATATATACACACACACAAACACACAGAAGGTAAGATTTCTTTCAATTAAAAACCCTATCCGCGTAAACCAGTAATCTTGGTAACAAGAAATATTGATCTAGAATTGGTCCATAGTCACTCGAACTATCCTGTCTTTAGCCATCATGATTACGAAATTCAATTGCATGGTAAAAAAGTTGAACCACAGCAGTTCAAATGCCTGAAATATAACCGAAGTTTTATCTGATAATGGAGAGGCTATGGTAATGCTGCAAACAACAATCAGCATAGTATCACATAGTTAAAACAACAATAAAGCCAAAAATCTCAGCAAAGATACATGCATATATCTTTTGCGGAAACAAGTAAAACTGGCAATTAAGAATCACAAAGCCAAAACAGAATAAAGACTTACACTATAAGGCAAGCAGTAGCCATGATCAATTGGGATAAGCACAGTCTGACCATCTTCGCCCTTACTCACTAATATATTCCCGGCATGCCTATCTGCATTCGCCATCCTCATATCCAACACAGCAATCTTGTGCACCTCCTGAACCGGAAAAGCACCGGGCCCCATATCTTCACAGCTCCCGTTGTTCTCCATGAACATTTGCAACGACCCTGTCTTAACAGAAACACCGTCTGGATGATTAAATCCTCTGTGAAGGCACTTCACATAAACAGTTGGAGGAACCCCTGCAAATCCGTCGGCATCGCCATGCAAAGAACGCCAACCACTCTTTGGATGATCCAGTAAATAAACAGCACACTCTCTCACAGCACCTTCCCCAACTCTAGTCCCCTTCTTCAATCCTTCTCCATCCTCCGACAATGGCAGCCCTCGAGGGTTGTTCACAGCCATAGGCTCCTCATCTGCCGGCTTAAAAACAGATAAATATTTATTCCCCGATTTGTCCAGCATAAAATATGCACCCCCAGTACCCTCTGATGATCTAATTGGATAATTCCCATTATCCAATCCTTCCAATGTGGAATTAATCAAATTGATGATCTCTGGAGGCAATTCGATCTTCGGGTTAACAATTACAGGCTCCAATGATGTCTCCCTCTCCGGTGGTTTCCTCGGTACAAAAAGATTGTGCTCACTCTTTGAATCACCCTCATACCCTGTTTCCCTTTCCACGTCATCATACTCTCTTGCGTCGTTCTGCTGTGGTGCAACTATAGACAATTCAAAGTTCTTTCCGACTGGTGAGACCTTTATTTTCGCGGATTTTCTCACAAACAAATGAATCACAGCATCTGCATCGTTCTTGGAGAGATCGGTTATCAGCCTCTGATCCTCGATCGGCTTGCCATTAAGCAACACCTCTTGATCCTCAACGAACTCTGTTTCTCTATTTGCTATCTGACGTTTGACATAACCGACATCCCTGCTCCTTTCCACGTGAAAAGTGAACTCTTTTCCGCCACAAGTCCTCACATTAATGACCTGAAGGTCAGATAAACGGAGGACCAAATGCATAATATTCCCATCGCTCAAACCATAGTCGCGCACGAGGGAATTGCTACGAGCTAATTCCCTACCCCTACAAACCAATTTTTGTTTCCTAGTGACAATCCCTTTACAGTTCTGAATCCGGATCTTCACGGATTCGATTGAATCCGAATCCAGAACCCGCATTGGGACCATTGAACCCGTGGACATAGCTACGTATATTAAGATGGATTCTTGACTATGTTCAGGCGATGGAGGAGGCAAAAAGGTCATGCTCCTCTCACGAACTGGGACAATGGAAACCATACCGGCGGAAGACATTTCTACAATTGACCCCTCAAATCCCAAACCCTAAAAAAACTATATACCACACCTTTGTTAAAGAACAAATTATCACCAAATCTATATATACATGGTGTTAATCGTCATACACAAAAGCTACACCAAATTATCCAAGACTAAAAACTACACCAAATTGACAGCAAACGCAGCCCACAAACCCTATAAAAAGGATTCGTGATTGGCCATTATATCAATCGGGGACAAAATATTTCCTAAAACGAAATAGAAAATTAAAAAAAAAAAAAACGAAAGATTTTTTTTTATTTTGTGATTCGAGCTGTGAGGGATTCAATTAAAACAGAGGGATGAATGCGTTGGGCGAAAGAGGAAATCAGCTGATTAGAAATAGGGCTTCTTACCAGAGAGCAATAACCGAGGAAAATCGGTGCCCTCGGCAGAGGTGAACGAAGGAAGACGAGCTAAAATCTGCGATGAATCAGACTGTAATTATTGTTGTGGTTTGAACAGGGGAAAAATTCAGAGGAGAGAGAGAAATGAATTTGGCTGTTTTTTCTGGGTGTAGAGAGAGAAATAATTGGGTTTGGTTGGAGAAGAAGAAAGCCAACACGGTTAAGCGTCGTATTTTCCGTATGGAGCGTTGAATTTCTACTTTGACGGGGAATATTTACACCGCTCTCACGCCGTTAACATTTTCTATATGGGCCGTTTCTAGCCCGATAAATCAAATTAGGCCCATTAGTTGTTCGTGCATAATAAAAACTATCCGTTTTCTTTCCGTTACGGAATATCCAGTGTCAGTGACTGTTCAAAAGAGAAAAGTAGACTTTGTACCCTTCAACAATTTAAAAAACTCCTTCTAGGGAAAAAAAAAAATAAAATTTTTTTTAAAGAGTCTGCTTTTGACCACCTTCATCTTTTTTTCCTTTATTTTGTTTTTATTATTATTATTTTTTTTCTTTTTTTCTTTTTGGTAGTGTTTCCCTGTATGAGGAAACTGCAATGAAGTTTCTTTTGGTTCATTCCCCATTATATGCTTTACATTACAATTCTTGATTATAGTAAATAATATATTGATCATTTTTATCTTCTCAAATACAACAACAATAAACCATAAAATTGCCAAGAAAAATCATGAAATAAAACACAATTATCCAATAGAAATAGTAATTTCCAATTAAATTCGAAATATTTGTTTCCACGGTGGCCGAAGAGCTTTCATACAAATCGTGGGCTATAAAAATGATAACAGTCCTGACAACATAAAACCGCACGTGCGATACAAGAAAAAATGTACTTAGTACACTACCATCGATCTTCACGAGTAGTGAACTCGGTTCATCTTAATTCAAGATATACACGGAAAAACGCGACCACGAGAACAAGCCCAAGCAATAACAATCCCGAGAAGAGCTCCAACGAAGACTTGTGAAGGAGTGTGACCGAGAAGTTCCTTTAGCTTCCTTTTGCTTATCGGATGCCCTTGAAACAAGTCCTCCACAATCAGATTCAACACCTATATATATGGATTGCAAAGTTTCTTTTCGTCTTAGAATCGAATTGACTAATATGTTCTAACGAAGCACAGCAAAATCATATTTGTCGCTAAGTTGGCAAACAAGTGAACTTTCGTGTCGGGTCGAATTCATTTACAAGAAATGACTGTTTTTTTTATTGTAGATCTAAATACTTGCACTACCCCAAGATCGATGAAAAGGGTGTGTTTTCAATAGGAAGTATTAGATGAATTTATAATTAATAATAAAAATAAAAATCAATAGGGCCCGTAGTTCGGTACAAATGGTTGGTTACCATTGAAGACCAACAATTGAAAAGGGCGTATTAAATTTAATTCTCACATTGCAAAGTTCAAGTTGAAACATCGAAAAACAAATCCGTAGTCTAAGTCAAGAAAAGTCGTCTCATAGGCATTGTACATTAACAAAAGGGAATCGTTTTCGTAAAATCATGAAAAATCGTCAAGACTTCTTACAGTTTTGCAGAAAATTGGCTTCGACATAGTAAGTTTACCTTTTATCGGTACGAAAATAATCGCAAGACTAAGTATTTACAATATCAAACACCTACACTTTCCTATACCGAACTTAAGCACGTCGTTTAAACTATAATTGTCGGAAATATTTTTAGTCGAAATCCCCTAAACCATAAGTTATCGAAATCGAAGTCATTACGAGCAATACAAATCAATTCCTATTTCCCCATCAAACTTTTCACACATGCTAAACATTCACAAAACGAACAATACTCGCAAAACAACGTTAATCAACAACATAAGTGAAGCAAAGAAATAAGTTACCTCAGCCTGCATTCCAGCATGTCGCCTCACACCAATAGCATCATACATAACAATCAAACTAAACCCCAAACAAACCGGAAATAACGAATCCGCCACTCCATGGCAAATAGCAACCGAGGTAGTCAAAGCAGTGCACAATGCAGAATGCGAAGAAGGCATCCCACCAGAAGCAAAAATAACCCTAAAATCCCATTTCCTCTCCACATAAAAATTCAAGAAAATCTTCGTCGATTGCGCAACCGCCCAAGCGCATAAACCCGATACGAACGTCGGGTTCGCAGCTAAAGTGGACAAAATAGGGCTGATTTTAACCTTCGCCGTAGCTGTCACACTCATCAGCGCTGTTCCAAAAGCCCCATTCTGCAAATATCCAGATTCTTCGGCGCAGTAATCTCGAAAAGCAGCGGCCCATTTGTTCTTCGCAGATTTTGCCGCGAAATCCCTCGCTTTCTCGATCAAATACGGGAAGGATTTGATCGGATTTTGATGGTTTAAACAGTTAACAGTGATCAATGACTTGTTGAATTTTTTGCGACCGTTGAATTTGAAGAGGGAAAAAGAGGAGTAATTAACAGAGGTGAAAGTGGGAAACGTGAAAATGGTTGAGGGTTTGAATTGAGGATGATTTATTGTGACGAGAGATTCCATGAAAATCGTAGTGAAATTTGGATCGTGTGTGTTTGTATACGCAATCGGTTGGGCGGAAGTTCAGGAATGTTCTTCAGAATCTTCTTCACCTGATTAGCCTATCAAATTAAAATTAATTTTTGCGGTAATTAAAATTGGATTCGAGCATATTCCAAAATTTGAATTTCAGGAATTTGGAATATAAAAAAGATTGGGAAAATTACAATTGCAGTCCCTAAAATTTGCACCAATTTTATATTTGACCCTCTATGTTCACAAAAAATATATTTGGTCCATGATGTTTCCAAAATCGAACGTTTTTTGTCTTTTTCATCAATTTTTGGTTAGTACTAACGGAATGTGTGTATGTCCGTCACTGCTTTAACTGACGGACTAACCTTGAATTGACATAAATGACAAAAAATGTTAAATTATTCAAACACGAGGGACCAATGTGTTTTTGATGAACATGAGGTACCAAATATGAAATCAATCCAAACTTGAGGGGTAAAAACTGTTATTTTCCCAAACAATATTATTAGAAAAAATAGATATTAACATGGCCCATGGGCCAAAAATACATTTTCGGATTCAGGGATACGGCCCAATACCAGGCCCAAATTACTTTTTCTATTGGGATGAAACGACACCGTTTGACGGTTTTTGAATTTGAAATACAGCAGAACGAAGTAAAATGTAGTCCCCACCAGAGAACTGTCACCCACCGACGACGTCGTCGTTTAAACTCCCCCAACCCCTTCAATTTCAAAATTCAATATCTTCTTCTTCCTCTCTCTCTCTCTCTCTCTCTCTCTCTCTCTTCTTTCTCTCTCTACAAGTCTGAGATCGAACGGTAGCTTCGTTGTTTGGAGTTGTTCGTTGTCATTTGCCGTTGTTGCCGAGTCAACTCGCGAATCCTTGACTCGTAGCTGACTTGGAGATATGGAGAATCTGATATCTTTGGTGAATCGTCTGCAGAGAGCGTGCACGGCGCTTGGTGATAACGGCGAGGACAGCGCGTTGCCTACTCTGTGGGACGCTTTGCCGTCTATTGCCGTTGTCGGCGGCCAGGTCTGATTATTTTCTCTTTTCTTTTACATCTCTCTGTTTTTAATTTCTTAGAAATATATGTGTTTCAACTGTGATGCTGATCTATGGCATCTGAGAGCTTTGGGATTTTTACTGGTTTCTGTAGATCGTGGTGAATGTTGATTTGATTGGTAAATTCAAGTGTTTTCATTATGGATTGGAGTGTAGATCTGCTTCTGATTGTTGTGAATTTGAATTTTCTTTTGTCTTATATTATTCTCTCACCTTATTTAGTGTTGTTTTCATATTAATATTGGCTTTTAGGATGAATTAGGATTTGATTTTCTAGCATCTCAAAACTAATTCAACCGTATCTTTACATTGGTGATGGAATTTAAAACTTGATTAAATATGTTGGAAGATTACTGTTCATGCCTAATGACCGTGTGTCAGTACTTGAAGTTGATTTTGATTTTAACAAGTAGATGATGTTATTGATATATTGTTATTGAATCGGTCGTGCAACTATTGCTGTCCAGTTGATTGATTCACTTTTTTGCTTTATAGAGTTCTGGGAAGTCGTCAGTACTTGAAAGTATTGTTGGGAAGGACTTTTTACCCCGTGGATCTGGTAATGACTGTTTTTGGTGTTCATAAACTTGAATTCACCTTCCTATTTTGGATATGGATGCCAAATTGTACAAGGATTTATTTTAATGTATGAAACACAGGTATTGTTACTCGACGTCCACTTGTTCTTCAGCTTCATCGACTAGATGAAGGTAGAGAATATGCAGAATTTGGACATCTTCCTAGGAAGAGATTCACTGATTTTGGTAAGTTAATTTTGTCAATTAACTGGTCTGGAAGTTAATCTGCTATTTAGCTATGCTGTGTTATCTATGATTCTACGATGATACTCTCGAATGATGATTCCGAAATATTTCCTTTCATTTGTTGTCCGTGCTTGATTGCTAGTTTCACAAAACCATCTCATTTCTTTCCTATATTACACACTCCTTGCCTACATATATTTTCTTTCTAACTATGAATGTTTCACATATTATTATAATTTTGGATGCTGAATATTTGTCATATTTTGCGCAGCTGCTGTGAGAAAGGAGATCTCTGATGAAACGGATAGAGAGACAGGACGTGGAGGCAGAACTATTTCCACTGTCCCGATTTATCTTAGTATCTATTCACCCAATGGTGAGTCAAAATTGTCTCTGCTCTGTTTTTTATTTTACAAATTGAAAATATCGTATGGGTTTGATAAAATTATATCGTTGGATGTTTTCATGATAATTGTTAATTATTTTTTTATAAAAATCTTTTGATATTGATGAAAGTGGATTAGGAATCATATGAATATCTTTGACCTAGCAATGATAATTATATATGATTTCAATCTAGAGCAGAAACCCTCACCCATAGCTTCTTCCAAATGTCAATCCAAAGTGAAAGATATAAGAATTTTGATTATATTGCATGTTGAATAAAGGTGAAGTCAGTAAACTATGCATCAGAGCAGGTATATGCCTGACATTATTTCATAGCCATTTTTAGTGGTCCTCGTTCTTCTTTGATGGTATTGCCACTAAAAAAAGAATCATATATAACATCTCTTCTGTGCATTCGCTTTCTGCCTAGGGTCTCACGTATATATACACATATGTATGCTATTTTTGGCTTATGAAGTTAAGTTATCGTTTAATTCTCTAATTCAGGTGTTAGCTAACCTGTATCTCTAGATTTAAATGAACTTTAAATTAATCTAGTACAACTTTAAAATCCGTTTTGATGTTTAGAAACCGCAGCTAATGATTAAACTTCTTGTAATTGCAGTTGTTAATTTAACGTTGATCGATCTTCCTGGGCTTACAAAGGTGGCTGTTGGTGAGTAAATCATCCCCTTAACTTTTTCATCAATTGATAGAGGGTGCCCCAGATTTAAGCTAACTGATTTATCTGTTGCTTTATCATAGAGGGTCAGCCAGAAAGCATTGTGATCGAAATTGAGGACATGGTGCGGTCATATATTGAGAAGGTATTGTATGATCTTGGTAATCCGTTGATCATAAGTTCTTACCTAGAAAGTGTTTCATGCATTCAGCCACATATTCTAAATGTCCGAGACATTATAAAAAATCGATGGCCCATTATTAACAAATATTGAGATCTATGTTCACTTCTAAAAATTCAGAATTGTAATCATGATTATGATCAGTTCTATTGAATTTTATTTTAAGTTGAACGTGTTTATATATTTGTGCCTAATTGATTATTTTCAGCCGAACTGTATTATTTTGGCAATTTCTCCCGCCAATCAAGATCTTGCAACATCTGATGCGATTAAGATTTCGCGCGAAGTGGACCCAAAAGGTCTAAAAATTCAGAATTGTAATCATGATTATGATCAGTTCTATTGAATTTTATTTTAAGTTGAACGTGTTTATATATTTTTGTTTTCCCATTACCCTTTTAACTATATTATTACAATAATATTCTAGTTTCTGGTGATTTTTCGTTTTTGCCCTTTCTGTTTTTTTACAATCAACTTTTCAGGAGAGAGAACGTTTGGAGTTTTGACGAAGATTGATCTTATGGACAAGGGTACCGACGCCGTGGAGGTAAGTTTATAACTCTTGATCTTTGGTCTCAAAATACATTATAGAAAAAGAAAAGTAGTAACACATTTTATCTAAAATCGTTAAAATGCCCAATTTAGTTTTGTAATTGATTTTTTAACACCCAAAATTATAGTATGGAAGATCGTTATCCATAAGTAGTGAAGAAATAATTCATCTAAATTTTATTTTGCCAATTTTGTAACGTCGAGCAAAATCACAAAAAATCCGCATACTATATAATATAGCACACACGTTTTGCTACAAAATTTTTAAATGATTTTTTTTTAATATTTTTTAACACTCAAATATATTGTATGGAAGATGGGTATTCATAAGTAGTCAAGAAATTATTCATCTAAAATTTATTTCACCAATTTTGAAATATGAAGCAAAATCACAAAAAGTCGCATACAAAAAATCACAATATAGCACACACATTTTGCTCAAAAACTTTGAAATGTCAATTTTTTTTTAATATTTTGTAACACTCAAATATGTAGTTGGGAAGGTGGTTATACATAAATAGTGAAGAAATAATTCATCTAAAATTTATTTCATCAATTTTGAAATATCTAGCAAAATCGTATACTATAGCACACACATTTTGCTAAAAAACTTTGAAATATTTTAATATTTTGTACCACTCAAATATATAGTGTGGAAGATGGTTATCTACGAGAAGTCAAGAAATGATTCATTTAAAATTTATTTCATCAATTTTGAAATATCGAGCAAAATCGCATACTAATAGCACACACATTTTTGCTAAAAAACTTTGAAATGTCAATTTTTTTTTTTAATATTTTGTAACACCCAAATATATAGTATGGAAGATGGTTATGTATACGTAGTCAAAAAATGATTCATCTAAAATTTATTTCACCAATTTTGAAATGTCAAGCAAAATCACAAAAAAACGCATAGTATAGCACACACATTTTGCTAAGAAACTTTGAAATGTCGAAATCTTTTCTTAATATTTTTTAACACTCAAATATATAGTATGGAAGATGGTTATCCATAAGTAGTCAAGGATTCAGTTCACCAATTTTAAAATGTTGATCAAAATCATAAAAAAACGTATACTATAGCACACATGTTTTGCTAAAAACTTTGAAATGTCAAAATATTGTTTTAGTATTTAACACTCAAATATATAGTATGAGAGATGGTTATCCATAAGTAGTCAAGAAATAATTCATCTACAAATTGTATCACCAATTTTGATAGTTGAGCAAATCACAAATGGCGTTTACATTCCTGAATATTGATTGTGTTTGCTGACGTATCTGTGTTTTACCAATTTATAATTGCCTCTTTGATGTTCATTGGGATTTTTTGGTCACGAACGATTTGCACAACTTTACCTAATACTGTGTTTCTCTTACTGGAACTGAAATGTCGAATTTCTCAGTACTTGCTTAGTTATATTGATTTTTTGGATTTTGTTGATGCTAGTTCTTTATCTTTTTTCTTTGGTCAAGTTGCTGAAGGATGAAAGTATACATGTTCTGACTATTGTTTATCTGGATTTTAGATCCTGGAAGGAAAAGCATTTAAGCTGCAGTTCCCTTGGATAGGTGTTGTTAATCGCTCTCAACAAGACATTAACAAAAATGTCGACATGATTGCTGCTAGGCGTAGAGAGCGGGATTATTTTGCTCAAACTCCAGAGTACCGACATCTCGTTTCCAGGATGGGTTCTGAGCATCTAGGAAAAGTCTTATCCAAAGTAAGCAAAAAAAAAATCCTCTGAGATTACCACATAATATTTGGTTTGACTAGAAACTTGCAAAACTGAGTCTATCTTGTTAGTTTGCAACTAAGATAATTTTTGAAGAATATGCAAACTGGCATTTGTTTGCATAATTTTTCATGTGTATCTGGTCATGGATGGATAAGAAAAGCAACCTAGCTTTTAGAGTAAAACATTCTTTACTTAATTGACTAAATTGAGCAATAGATACTCTGGTGTTGTACTATTTTTATTTTTCTATTTTTGTGAATGGCTGTTGTCTTTTATTGGGTATTTTATTCAATGCTCTCTCCATAGTTGACAGTTTACAGTTTTTGATACCTTAATTTTCTCTCTGTTTAATTTCCTAGCATTTGGAAGCTGTTATCAAATCACGAATTCCAGGCCTTCAGTCACTGATCAACAAAACTATTATTGAGCTGGAATCTGAGTTAAGTCGTTTGGGAAAGCCCATTGCAACTGATGCTGGAGTAAGCTTTTGCCTGAATTCCCTGTTCAAAACTTATATTTGTTACCATTTAATCTATCAGTTCTAGTGTAATTTGTACTTATGCTTTCTTGTTGTTCTCTCTCTCTCTCTCTGTAAACATCCTTTATTTTTTTTGGGATGTGGATGGGGGAGGGGGTAACAATACACTATTTAGTCTGCATCATTCGCCTACTACGTATTCAATTAATGCTGATACTTATGCAGGGAAAGTTGTACATGATCATGGAGATCTGCCGTACATTCGACGGAATATTCAAAGAGCATCTTGATGGAGTGTATGTATCCGTGATTTCTTGTCGTTGTTTTTGTAGTGTTTCATTCGGCTTTAGTTTTATTACTTACTGTGATTTGTTTTGCAGTCGACCAGGTGGTGATAAGATATATAATGTCTTTGATAACCAATTGCCTGCTGCATTGAAGCGCCTGCAGTTTGACAAACATCTCGCTATGGAAAATGTACGGAAATTGATAACCGAAGCTGATGGATATCAGCCTCATCTTATAGCACCCGAACAGGGTTATCGTCGTCTCATTGAAACTGCCTTAATTACTATTAAAGGCCCCGCTGAAGCAGCAGTTGATGCGGTATGTGGTTTCATGTTATTATAAACAATTTAATTTTGGATCATTTTGGGTTTTCCCAATTAGTCGTTCTTCTGATGGATATGCACTTGTTTATAGCAACTGCATTTGAGCTGCAGCTTTTCATCTATTATTTGGTCAAGCTTCTGAATTCAATGATCTTTTGTCTTTCCAGGTTCATGGGGTATTGAAGGAATTAGTTCACAAATCAATTAATGAGACTGTGGTAAGTTTCTAATTATATTCGACTCTATACAATAATGATCAATTACATTATATGTGGAAATAATTTTGTCGCCTAGGACATGACAAACATTACGCCTTTTCTAGTCTGTTTCCATTTTGCTCTGACAATTTTTTTAGCTTGATCTTCATCAATAATTTGTTTTGCTGTGGGACAACAAATAGACATAGGAAGCTATTGTAATAAAACAGCTTCAGGATAAATGATTTTACATAAATAGTCGATTGAGTTCAGATAATAGTCGATTTTTTTCTCTGTGATTGCAGGAGCTGAAGCAGTACCCCTCTCTCAGAGTGGAGGTCGGAAATGCAGCTGTTGAATCACTTGATAGGATGAAGGAAGAAAGCAAGAAAGCTACTCTACAGTTGGTAGAAATGGAAAATAGTTACTTGACTGTAGATTTCTTCCGTAAGCTTCCTCAAGATGTTGAGAAGGGAGGCAATCCAACACATTCAATATTCGATAGATACAATGACTCCTATCTTCGCAGAATTGGTGAGTTGTTAGACTGTTCTGCCACTCAATGATTTTTCGATATTATAATGTTGTACTAATTATCATTAAATTTGCCAAAAAATGTGTTACCCAGGATCAACTGTCTTGTCTTATGTCAATATGGTGTGTGGAAGTTTGAGGAACTCTATTCCAAAATCTATCGTTTATTGTCAAGTACGCGAGGCAAAGCGCAGCTTGCTCGATCATTTCTTTGCCGACTTGGGCAAAAAGGAGGTATTAATTTATGCCATTTCTTTTCTCTCTTGTCTCCTTATTAATCATACTTAAAAATCAATTATCCATGTGGCTCTACAGGCGAGACAGTTGGGAAAATTGTTGGATGAGGATCCGACAATAATGCAACGAAGAGTCTCTCTTGCAAAGAGATTGGAGTTGTACAGAGCGGCTCAAGCAGAGATTGATTCAGTTGCCTGGTCGAAATAGGGAGTTTTGGCTGACTCTCTTAGTTCTTGATATGTTTGTTGTACTATTTGCCTTTATTACCCCCTTTGTCTAATGATAGGAGAGCTTTATTTCTTGTTGTGATGCTATTCTTTGGACACTTGTGAAAGTTTTTGGCTACATACTTGTTTGCTGAAATTTTTACGCGCAGACATTTGGTTACTACGTGTAATTACTTACGTCTTTTAATTTTGCACCTCGGACACTGTTGTTTAAGCATCACTGGTAAACTGGGATTGCGTTATATGATCAGTTTACAGTTCAATCACTATACTAAAAGATTCTGTTTTTTTCTTCTTTGGACCGTGTAATATAGTAGTATGCATTAATTATTGTATTTATGCTGGAAGTCGACGACGTAAGGTGGCTTAATACATGTCCAAGAGTCTGCTTGTCAATTGGTCATGGGAATACACATATGGTAGATAAACTCTTGTATGAGTAAAAGGATTGTTTGGTAATTTTGTTGTGTCTACCTACAGTTGTATCTTAAGCTGAGAGAATGTTTGCTTGCATCTAACCGCGTTTGGTCTTACCGTGTGTAAAAAACACTCATCATACATAGATAGATGCTGGAAAACATTAAAACAAAATTGTCTGTCTGATTCTTCTTGATTATGTTTGTTGCAAACGATATAAAAAAGTTAATAAGTTGGAGGTGCGGGGAATCGAACCCCGTGCCTCTCGCATGCGAAGCGAGCGCTCTACCATATGAGCTACACCCCCTTGTTGAATATTATCAAATGTTTCGTTATTTATTCAGTCGTTTCATTATTATGTTTTTGGGCTTGATAATGGGCGTGAGCTATTTTGGGCTTTGATAATGGGCCTGTCTTATTTTAGGCTTTGATAACGGGCCTCAGCTATTTGGGCCTTCATAATGGGCCTGAACTCTTTTGGGCTTTGATAATGGGCCTGAGCTCTTTTGGGCTTAATACATGGATTATGTAGGGCTTATTGTAATGGTCTACGGACCGCTTCTTGGGCTTATTTTAATGGGTTATATGGACTACTATTCTGAAACAGGCCTCTTTTGGACTTGCAATACAGACTACGGGTATTGTAATGGACCGTGATTCTGAGCGAATAGTGTATCTATAAGTAAAAATTAAATTTACTAATTTTTTAATGGTCGAGCAAAATTACCAAAAATTGTATATAACAATACCATCATACATTTTATCGAAAACATGGTACAGACATGCAAGAAAGATGGTCCAGCAAATCCAAATATACCTCATCTAGATGCTACCGACAAAAGTTAACATGAGAATAAACGTATTATTTCCAATGCAGAATCAAAAGAATAGTCATTGCTTATTTTATCGAATGACATTTGCCAAAAATTTGACCTAGAAAGTTTATTTCAAACTCACCTTCTATAAAAAAGAATCAATTGGAAAGGACTTCAAATATATCCTATTATCATGGTCAAAATTTATATCCTCAAATAAAGGAAAGAATGAATGCATCAAAAAAGTTCAAATTCCTCTGCTGAAAAGGTGTGTGAGAATGATATTCCAAGACACAGAGAGGCCTCCACAGACCAAAAAGTGAATTTCCAAAGATAACCTGCATATTGAAAGATCGAACCATAAGATAAGTGTTTAAATGTACTTCCGATTTTAGTCCAGGAAATATTTTTACAACTCAATTTATTTTAGTCGACCGAATCTGAAATATAAACAGTAGCAATCACAGGGTGGTGATGGTAAATTTAATAGTGAAACATTAATTAATATTTTGATGCCGAGAAATAATTTTACCCGCCATGGGACTCATATTATATTTAAGCAGCTGACCTAACAACCACTGTCTGAAGAAGATAGTAGATTTGACATTAATCAGAGAAATTAAATCCAGAAATCCCGCTGAAACAGAATAACTAATAAAGAGAGAGAATTTAAGGGACTAACCTGCACGTATTGAGCTAACTACTGAGGCATCTAGCAAACCTCCACACAGCATAGATATCATTGAAGTCACTTTTGTATGTTACGTACGTAATACAACTTTAACATCTTCTCAATCATCTCGCTGTAGCATTTGAATAAAGTTATACATCTCCTTGTGTAGCATTAGCCGTGGTGCTCGGTTCTCTGGATTCAAAACTTGTGGAAGTAGGAAGTTCCGTTTCCCTCACAACTCTACTATATACAACTTTGAAAGACTGAGAACTATATGGTTTCTTGAGCATACTTAATGGCATTCGCAGCATCTGCTTTCGGTTCCTTCTCCCTCTAACTAAAATATTGAAGGTTTTTTCATTCTCATCCTTCTCTGGCTGTCTGTGTACATGATAGTCACTGTACCTATGAGCTTCTTCATTTGGACTGTTGCTGCTGTTTAACAGGTTAACCGCAATCGATACACCATGAAAGTTAGAACCAGTAATTTCTTCCCCATCCCCTGATTGAACTACATTTATATCATTTAAGTTCTCCACTGCTTCCGATGCTGGAAGATCAATTTCTTTCTTAGACTCATTCCCACTGTCAAGATCCACAGATAAACTAGGTGGCAGATTTAGGTTATCTGCGTTAATAGAGTGTTCCTTCGTCTCCAAAATGGGTTTACCAATTGGTTCAACGACCGTCGGTGAGGGAAATTCTATCGGGTGGCAGCCAGGCCAAATAGTGACTGGAATGTACTCTGGCTTGTTAGCACGTATGTTGCATTGCCAGGCGAACTGACCGGGATGAAATGGGCTGTTAGTCATTTGGAAAGTGGTAGGTGGTATTGATTGGGCTTGTGAGTATGGAGGATACATAAACGGCAAGGGGTGGATCATGTTTGGTGTTGTTGGGGGTGATGGATATGGATGGTGTTGACTTGGATGAAGACCCATATTCATTGGCCAAGGGCCGATTGGGGGAATAGTTCCTGGACTGATAGGCAATGGTGGCACACGTGGAGAAACTACTGATGGATTGTATGGAGCTGCTGATGCAGATAATTTCTTGCCGGAAATTTCTCTAGAGTCATTAGGACCTATCATTGAAGGTTTTACCTGTAGTTCTTCAACCCCAATCAAAGCTGATTCAGAGTCCTCGTTGAGTCCAGCAGACTCCAATGAATCCGCAGTGAACGCACCCATTTCTAGAGAATGTGTGTAACCTTGCTCATCCATTTGATTTGACTCCTTGATGCTCTCAGATGTCACCTCATCATTTTTTGCATTATCCGAGTGAATTGCTTCTTTCTTATCGGAAGCCTCGTTTTCATATCTTACAGCGGAAGCCATAATTAAATCCAAAACATTCACTTCCTTGTCATTTTCTGCATTCAATACCGTGGACCCAGATTCTTCCTTGGCTTCAATGTGCTGTTCTTCAGATTCCTTATCGTAATGGACATCATTCTCGGGAAGTCTCACCTGCAACATAGGTATGGTACCAGGTGGTGCTACAGCTACTTCCTTATATGAAGGAGATTTACCCAAACTTACAATTGAGCTTCTCTTTGGTACTGCTACAATCTCTTTCGGTACATAAACCGGCCCTTGGTCTGATGGAGAGTTTAATCTCTTATCTTCATTCTTAGAGCTCTCCACTGCAGCATCTGTGGTGGATGAAGGCACCGACTTCACTCTGTATGCCACAGTTTTGACTACTTTCCGTCCAAATTTGGTGGCTGGTGATGGATTCTTCGCTACATAATATTCCGCAAACCTGCCTGGGGACACTGCCCGTTTCTTCACCACATAAAATTTACCACTTTGATGGTTATTCTTCAGAATAGCATGATCCACTTCAACGACAAAATCTTTTTTCTGATTATTAAAAATCTTATTTCCATGCTGACGTCTCTGCCTCTGTCGTTTCCCAAACGAGCCAGCTGATCTTGGTCTTTGAACTGACTGCCATCCATCTTCTCCTTCAGCATGTGTTTCAAATGTAACATCATTGGAAACTGGAGGTGTTTCAACTATAGGTTCCTCTGGCAGAGGTTCGTCAGGCTGAACGGCTTTCGCCTCATTGGATACTTCTACATTTTCTTCAGACTGAACTGGCGGAGAGGAAGATTGATGGTTCAGGGAGGACTCAACATCAGAGTCAGATACTTGTTTGTCTTCGTGCTCCTCGCCCTTCAGGAAGTCTATTGGAAGCACTTCTGAATCTGAGGTGGCTAGATTGTTTTGAACAGATTTTCCTTTTGCCTAAGAATGAAGGCGTAAAAAAGATCTTAATAATTAAGAAAATATATCTTATTCCTATTTCTTATACCATTAATAATAAATAACAGTATTTAAAGTAAGAATGTTATATGTTTCTTACTTTTTTTGTGATACCTATTGTACCTACTAAGTTAAAGTATGAATTAATTATGGTTAATTAGGTCAAATACAACTGATGTCACAATTAATGCATTCAATGTACTATACTCTTCATCTTCCTTGTCATCATTTTAATACCATTCCCTTTTGTTTTGTTTTTTTCATCATAGTTGTTGGAAGATACATTTTGTTTCGGTGATAAATTTCAGCAACAACTTTTAGCATTCCAAAGAACGAGAAATATCTAATTGCCTGTTAATAGTGGCAATCTAACCCTATATGTTAGGTACATAATTGATAAGGGAAACAAGAAATACCTTTGCAATGTAATTTCTTCTCTTTGATCCCACAGCATCTTTCCCTTTAGCATCATGACTTGGATTAATGTAATCAAGCAAATCCGATACACTGTCAATAACATATATCAGTAAATACGAAATTCCCCTAGATTTCTAATTATGAGATTGTCAAGAAACATATAGAATTTCACAAGTATCACACATTCTCCAAGTATCACATCAAAAAGACATCCATATGGATCATATGTATAAAAATCATCACTTCCGATTTCCTTTTTCTTAACCCCTAAAAGTTGCACTTATGAGGATCTTTATACAGTAGAATATCAGTCAGCTTGCAAGTGCAACTGCAAATCACTGAATCAGGAATCTAAGAATCTGAAATGCTGAAAAGCTAAAACCACTACAAGGATGCACTTGACATGATTATACCCCGTAAAGTTAAACTAGAACACCTCCAGTTATTGTGCAATCACAATGAAACAAATATAGAACATGAGCCATATCCCCAAGGCTGGGAATCCTCTGAGAAACGTATCTCTAATTATGCTCAATAAGGATAAATAACGCAGCCCTAACAAACAGAAATAGAAATTGCAACAAGATCAAATGCATATACCAGGTCACCAGAAAAATGATGTTGTACCTTAAGTGGCCCTTGCTAGCTATAGATGCATCTGGCTTCCGAGTCCCATTCCGAGCAGCTTCTTGCTGTTCAAAAGCCTTGGATTCAAAGTATTCAAGCCATGCAGCGGCATCCTGCAGCATAGTACGTAAAAAATAATGGGGTTGGTCAAAAAAGACCTCATTAAACTTTAAAGTTCTCCAGAGCAGCCTTAACAACCCTGCATAAAAATATAGGGATGGAATCGTCTACTAGGATAACAGGAACATTGTGACGAACAGTATCATTTGCAAAATTAATAAAGAATCAAACACTTTCCTTCCCCCAACCCCAACATTGAGCTGCAGTACAAGAAACCAAAAAGGCATTTCTAAATTTTAAGAAGTCAGAAAATATTAAATACCTGTGTTCGAAGGTCATCTGGTCCCAGCTTAGACCGAAGAATTTGTAAGGTGGTTTGTTCATGCTGAACACTCAAAGGATATGCTTCCATCAATGAGAGGGCAATTGCAATAGCATGATAACTCGCAGCGGTCTGAAAGCATTAAAAGGATAAGCATACTTTTTTTTCTGAAACATGTAAGACCAGGTTTATAAAGATGACTGAAACACACTTAATTTCTGAACCATTCAAATCCAAGCTTACAGAGATGATTGATACATAGTTTAGGTGTATGTTCAGAACAAGCGACAAAACACCAAGGACTTCTATTTGACAAAATATACAGTTACAATGAAGTTAGCACTGCAAAAATAATCTAATCCATTTTCTTTGTATACTTGGAAAAATAAAGAAACGCATCTAACACCTAGTGGCATCCGCAAAAGATACTACATGAAATAGTATCATATGAAAACAGGAAGATTCTTCATTCTGAGTATGGTTCTTTTATGTATGCTAGAGAAATAAAAATAATAACTCTAAAAGAATAATGTAATAGTAAGATTATCAGTGGAGGTAGCAAGGAACCTGAATATGATCTGGTCCAAGAAGCCTTTGGTTGCACTTCAGAGCTTTATGAAGATACCTTAAAGCAACATGCACGTTACCCAGCCCTTCCTCCATCATAGCCACATTTATGTATGTTGCAGCAGTGTTTGGATGTGATGGGCCACATGTCAGATGTAACAAATATAACGCTCTCTTTACGTACCTAAATGATGGAAAATGAAATCACCTCTTGAAAGAAAATGTTAACTAAGTACGTAATAAGGCAATCTTCTACTATGATACATACTTGAGAGCCAATTCTGTGTGTTGCAGTCTGTAATAGAAAACAGCAAGATCCCCATAACTTTTCATGGTATCTGGATGATCAAGACCTAGCTCTCGTTCATTAATATCCAATGCTTTTTGCTGATATATTGTGGCCTATAAATAAAGAACATCATAGATAAGATGCAGTGATACTGAAATAGACATTTGTGAATTTATGCACGTCCAACAGAAGATGATCTACATATACTTATTGGCATTGATAAGGATAACTTATCATCTGTGATGGATGAAGGTGCAATAGAATGAAAAGGATTGAACAAGGACCTGATTGAAATCTCCTGTGTGATATAAAACAACTGCAAGAAGGCTGTAAGCACCAGCTGTCATTCTATGATAGGGGCCACACACTGCTACCAACTTCGCAAGGGCCTGAGATTGTGAGAAAATTTCAGTGATTTAACTCATTATTGACCACAAGAGATGGTTCACTGGGAATTAATGTATAATACTTGTTCAGATCTCGTGTTTTTGGAGCTATAGAATAAAAGATAAGATAAGAAATGCCACTTTGAGGTTCTAGACCGAACTGCTGATCTGATATCCAGACATAAAACATTCACAAGGAAGGTAACTAAACTGTCTTGTCACTGAGAGGATTTATTATCAACACCATTAATGAATCACCTTTGTTCCATAGCTGACAGCTTCTTCAAGTTTTCCTTTATCCAGGGCTGTTTTAGAAGATTCCAAGAGCTGCCGTCCATCCGCAGAAGAGCATGCAGCTTGCTATAAGAAACCAATCACATTTTGCATGAGAAAAACATATATTTCAAAAGGCATGACTAAAATGCATGTCGCTATTGGGCAAAAAGCAATCCAAGTTCACCTTATGTACTGGTACAAGGCTGACAATGTCCTCTTTCCGGAAAGGTTGTACAGATTGCATATCGAAGTCTCTTGGTACAAGCTCAATACCCACCTAGAAACCAAGCAAGGACTTTAAATCATTCTTATACCTTGAGATTCGTAACGTATATCATGTAAAGCAAGCAATAAAACCTAAGTATCTCTACTTCTGCCTGTTAGAAGGGGAAGGGTAGCTCATATAACTTCTGACACTGAATATGTATATCATGTAAAGTAAGCAATAAAACTTAAGTATCTCTACTTCTGCCTGTTAGAAGGGGAGAGGGGTCGTTCATATGACTTCTGACACTGAATATGTACGTACGTGTTTACAACACACGTGATGCTTTGAAATGTGTAGGTCGGTAAAAAATAAAAAGAGACTATCCATGTAATCTCAGATTTGAATCTAGGGGAAAACTAAATGATAAAACCGGAGCAGTAGTTGACCAAAAATCTAGCTAGCACGAACTTTTGCTAATTACATGTTCCTAGAGAATTGTGGACATATGTGTTGCATTCGTGATTACGTTAGACTGGGAGTTGAATACTTTCAATCGTACCATTATGTTTATTTATTTGTCTTCTGCTAGTTATATTCAGTATGTACCATGATAGGTAAAAGCAAAATGACAGGAAATGGATTCACCACTGAAATTAGAAGGCACAGGGCGTAGCCAGTCTTCTGTAACTTAACTCAACATACCTTATGGCATAAACCACGAAGAACTGCGAATTTTCTCACATCCTCGTAGTTTGCATTGTTCAAATGCCATTCATATCTCTTCTTAAGAAACACTTCGAGCCATCTCCAGACAATGGAATTTACACCATGCGGCTGATCTGATTGTCCATTTTCAGCAACTCCAAGCATCAAATTCAGCGCAGCTGCAATTGCTGCTGCCAGTTTCTCGGGCTTCTCAACAGCAGATATCACTGCCTGCAGAATATGCTTAAAAGCTCGTACTATCATCTCATGGATGCATAGAGATTGCACATGGGATAATTTTTCTGAAAGCTTAACCTGTTAAAAACAGGAATTTATTAGCAGTACTCGGTAGGTGTACTCACGCAGGATAAGAAATGAGGTTTTTATACCCAATTGCAAGTTAAATGTCAATAACATCATCCAACACAACAATAAATATACCCAAACATCAAATTGAACACTATGTATGGATTATCTGAACTTATTTTGTTGATTCTCAGGTGTCTAAGAATAAAATTACCAAAAAGTAACTAATTGAAAAGGATAGGGCTGTCTTATAATTTAACCACTCTAGTTGCACTTGGGTGTATATGGGATTATTCAGGTCTCCAATTTAAAACCTTTATAGTTCCCATTTGTGTCAAAACAAAAAATGTCCTACGATGTGTTAATAGCATGTTATGTAATAAGATGAGTCCGTATCACCGTGAGGAACATACAACTTGTCCAAGGGAACGCATCCGAAGACCTCTAGTATGCATGAAATCTGTTAACGTCCGCCCATCCACTGGTGAGAGTTCTAATGAACCAAAATCTGCAACCTGTAGCACACGATGAACGTTAAATGAACTAGAGATGCCACTTCTACTGAGATTTATAAAAAATGAAATTTTTCTTATTACCAGTTTTGGCAGAGCCACTTCATCATAATATTTTTGTGACAGCTCAATTAGTTCTTGCAGCGACTGTCAAGATAAGAAAAATCAGTAAGCTTAATTAACATTAAAAGTAAACATTTATTGAACAAAAAATATATAATACTACCTTTGTGTGAAGTCCTGTCTCTGACTCTTTTAATCGAGTAAAAGCAGCATCAGACAATAATTTTTTTAGCATAAGCTCGTCTTCACTTGCACCAGTATCAAGCTGAGATTCTGACACATTTATGGTTTTTGCAGCCTCATCCTTCACTTCATCTACGGCAGACCTAATGTTTTCATTTGGTAGTTCCGCAGTACTTCCATCTGAGTTCTTCTTTCTATTTTTAAGGGATTTAAGAGGTGTTCCTAGACCCTCAACCTTCAATTCATTTTTGGCTTTCTCATTAGATGGTTTCTTCTCTTTTTCTGTTTTTTTCTGATCTTGTAAATGTTGTATCCAGCAGGCCCCAAGCTCCCATCTCACAAAAGCATCCTTATCAGTTTCTTCTTCCTTAAGCTTGACAAGACTGTCTTCAAACAATCTCTCAACAAAAGCTTGTGAGGAATCAAGTTCTTCACTCTCTAACAATTGGGAATGCGGTATTTGTTTATTCAGTTCAGCAGTTGCATTTTCATGAAGAACTAGCCTCAAACTGCAAATTACAAGGTGAAAGTGAGAACCAGCAAAAATAAAGATAAAAGTAAGAGATGTAGTAGATCATATCCTATAAGATATACGTAAACCACTAAATTGTAAGTATACATAGTTGCATGAGAAACTACTTGTTCTGGGGGTGGGGGTGGATGTGGAGGTGCCAGTTGTATGGAGAGAAAGAAGTAATGAATCTCATTCCATAATAACTAATGTGTTATCAAGCATAACATAATTGCAAGTTTGGCATCTAGACCTGTTAATATTGAGGGCATTAGCACCACCATCTGACTGGTCAAGAAGTTCTTGGCTTTGCAATGCAGGATTCACATTGTCATTGTCAATGTCAATCCCTTGAACTTTCACGCTTGCAATATAACCACAGTATCTTACGTTCACAATACCTAGGGTTGCAATATCCTGTGTGAAAATGAAAAATTTTCTCCATTAAGAAATCTGTCAAACAATAAGCAATACGGTATTGAATAACAGCAATATTTGCCCATATCCTTGAGTTTCTTACATGAGCTGCAGTATTTTCATCAGCAGTGATCCCCTTGAGCAGGTTTCTTTCACCCAGTCTTTTAGTATCTAGTCCAATAGCTTGTTGTCCATCAATCTTAGTATCAAATTTGCAGCTAGCATTAGAAGCATCTTTCATGACAGCTATGGTCAAGTCCCCGACATTTTCTGAGTAGATAATATCAGTGCTCAAAGCAGCATGAGCTAACTCCGGATTTCCTAATACATGTTGCACGGCAGCAAAGGCTTTGAAAATGGCAACGTCGACAAATAAACTGTGAAGAAGAAATGCTTTTCTATCTCGAATTTGCCTCTCCTCGGCTGTTTTGCATGGCATAGATGCAAGAAACAGAAGTTCATTTGCATAAGGTAGCAGATCACTTTTTCCATCTCTGCCCAGACCACCTCCATTTCCACCCCATTTTTCATCTTCTATGGGTAGAGGAGGAAATGTAGATGGTGATTGTGCAGCTACAGGTGGAATAAGCCATGTGTTAGCCCTGAAGCCAAAAGGGAGGTTCCCAAACTGCAGTAAGAAAATATAAATTAGATGTCAAACAGACTAGAGACCTGTACAAAATAAGGATGTGGCATGACATTTTTTAAACAAAAAAGGGAGGGGGTGGGAGTGTTCAGATAAGAGAGTGGAGCAAGTAGAGTTCAGGTTTACTGCTCTACCTTATTCCTCTCTGAGAATGCTTTCATGAGATCGTCATAAGCCTGAAATGGAAAGATTAAGGTTGTCAGATATTACAAATACTTTCATATCTTTGAAGGGCAGCACAGTAAGAACACAACACTATTAATTAGTAAGAATAGATTTAGCCACCTTCAAATATCAACCTTAACAAGAATGTACCAGCTAGTTAAGAAAACTGTTAAGATGGTCCATGTCTATAAATCCATACTGGAAAATCTAAAGTTAATAGGAGCTACGCAACTGAAAACCTTTATTTCATTGTAAACATTTTGATGGACATGACCAACAATTTCTACATCAAATTTGGAACGTTTGGTTAAGAATTCCAGCAATCGAGTTTACAGAACTAACATTATCGAAGGCTCTACTGAGCTGTCTCAACAGGTCGACCAGATTGTGACAGAGAATTTGCTGCTTTCCGGTATCACAGAAACCTTTCCTGGAAGCTTCTATAATAACCAATTTACCATTGCACAATTTCACCTGCAAAGATCCAATGAGCACAATTAGTTATTATTATATCTTCGGGAGTTCATTCAAGTAAAAATGCAGACAATGTCTTACTTCGAGAGTGAAAAGATGATCAGCTCCACAAACTCCACTGCCGGACTTCTTCGTTGCCCTCCTTATAACTGACATTATAAGCCGAAATTTCATGAGTGTACACCTCAAACACGTATAGCACCTCTAAAACAAGTTATTTCAGACAAATAATTTACGAATAGTATACTTTTGAACAGTTCAAGTACCTAGTTTATTTTTCTCTAAATTAACTTCCAGTTAATGCATTAAAAAAATCCAGATAATGCATGAACATAAAATTCATTTTATTTAAATATCTTTAACATGTTTATAGTTTTATTAATTATTGATAACATCAATTTCAAAATAAGGCTGGACTAACAGCGAGAAGAGAGGGGTTTTTACATTGAAGAGGAGGCGTGAGATGCGAGAGAGAAAAGAACTCGTAGAAACTCCCCAATTTCGGTGAAGTGTTATTCATCTCCCCTTCTCCGTCAATCGCCACCGACGATCCGTCCTTTCCCTCGGAATCCGACACCGGTAACGCCGGCGGAGGAGAATTCTCTTTCTTACTCTTTGCGCGGGGAGATTTGCTTGATTTCTTGGAAGTCTTGGTATCCTGCGCTCCACGCACATCCTTGACCACATCTCCGCCCGAGGCGGCGGCGGCGGCGGAGGAGGCATCCTTGTTCGCCGACGGCCCGAACGACGTCGTACAGGCGACGATATCGAGCAACCTTCTAACGTGCGCCGTGGCGCTCTCTTCATCATAGTCCTCTGCATCGTAAATGAAATTGAATTTTAGAAGGCGAAAAAGGTAATTACGCACCTTTTAGTTGATACGGCGTCGTATCATATTTTTTTATTTCGTTTTCCTTATTTTCTTTTCTTTACCTTCCACGAGTGTGAGGGTGCAGGGTTTCAGTGCGGAGACGTCCACCGTATCTTTTAACCGTGGGCCCCTCACCTGTTTAAAAGCAGAGGGTAAATTAATAAATATGGCAATTTGTAGCAAAATCCAAATTATTTCGAAAATGAGAATAACTTTTTAGCTTTCTTCAAGAAAAAAAAAAATCTAACTTGGGATTTTCATGAATATGACTTATGTTATTTTATATTTTAATTATTAACATTTTTAAATAGAAAAAAATAATATTTAAACAAAAAAAAAAAAACACTTACCTCATGTGATAAGGAGAAGTTGGTAAGGTTACACGTTTGTGTATTAACCGATAACAAACGACGAATATCAATAATTCTATCCGTAGATATTCCCTGCTTCAAATACAAATAAATAAATAAATAAATAGTCAGAATTAAATATTATTTTATAATTAAAATATTATCTAAAAAAAATAAGGTGATTTTTGCACATTATCATCAAAACGATGATTGTATAAACATCTACGCAAAGTGTGACGACCGCAAAAAATACACTAATTTATTTGTATTTATTCATAAGTCCAGATTGTGATTGTATAAACATCTAAGCAACCTTTCACGACCACTATAATTTCATTTTAGTCTTTAATTTCTTTTAATTAATTGAAAATATTCCAATAATTATTTATCTATAAAAATTTTAAAAAATAAGACCAATAAATAAATATACACACACACTCATGCACATATATTCTCATGCAATGTATACCTTCAAAACAACACAAGTCTCGTCCGGAAGATTCACGTTTATATCCACCACAACTGGAAGAACTGCACAAAATAATATAATCAAAAAAAAAATTTAAAAATAGAAACGGTGAACAATTTCATTAGTGAAATTAATTAATTAATTAAAATATAATATTCAATTAAAAAAAAATATTTCAAAGAAGACATATATACCCTTCTCTTCTTTCTTCTTCTTGTCGCCCTTTGTCTTTCCACGACCGTTCTTCGGTGCCATTTTTCAAACTCGAGCTCGAGCTCTGGTCGATAAGTCGAAAACTCGAAAATTCAACTGCCAAAATTTTGTAGAGCATATATATATATATAAGAAGAAAATCTAGCCAACCAAATGAAATATGGTAGGCACATTATTGCTATGAGCCCAGTTATAATTCAGACAGACGAGAATCTTAGTATCAATCAAGTTACAATCATTGCCTATTTAATTCAGCCAAATATTTATTATTTAAATACAAGTTAGAAAAAAAAAATGAATATTAAGTAACCAATAACAGCTAACCTACTAAAAATTCAAGAATTGGTGGAAAATGGTCTTTAATGCTGCATTTAATATCCAATTGAAAAAAAAACATAAATGAATAATACATACATACTGACCAATAACAGTATTAAGAGGTTGTACTCTGCGGTGTAGAAGGTTGTACTTTAGGATATTGAAGGTTTATGAGAGGTTAAAGAGATAAGAGTAGTGCAGGAATTCTCTCTCAAAATTATAACAGGCAAAAACAGAGTGTAGCTAGAGAAATATTTAGAGAGAGAAGAAAGAAGAGAGAGAGAGAGAGTAGAGAGAGAGAGAGAGATGTAGAGAGAGAGAGGTGTGATAAGGAAGGAAGGGTTGAGATTTAACAGTCAGAATTATAGTGGCATTATATGGGCAGCCCTCTGGCCATTGTCCAGTGTGAGATTATCATTTTTTTTTTTTTTGGTTTAGATATTTTTTTCTTTATTACTTAAAATTTAATTTCTTCAATATTACAAAGTTTGTATTTCGTACATACAAACCCTAATAATATATTTGTATTATTATATATATGAAAATGAAATGAAAAAATAAAATGACTTTTTGTGCAAATTACAGTGTAGAGAGAGAGGCAGGAGATAACCGTTTAGCAGGGTTCACAGGGACAGCCAAAGGGACCACTTTTGTTAGTCGACCCTTCACATGGGCCAGCTCGATCCACTTGTTGAATTAAGCTCGGTTTAATTAGTTGGTAATATAAGTTAATTATAATTAATTAAATTAATTGGATTTTGTAATTGGTTTAATTTTGGGGAAAAATAAATATCTATCGGTAGTTGTTTTTTTTTTTTTTTATTGACGAGAGAATTTGCAGTTGCTCGAAGTTCATTGAGTAAACTATGTTATTGTGCGATTATAGATGCTAATCGCATGAAAAAAATGAGCGATTTTCATCTTGATTTTATCATGAAGTTGTATTAGATCTCTTAGTCGAATATAATTGGATAATCTTAGTTAATGCCTCTATTTGGTTTTCATATTTTGTATCCTAAAATTTGGTAATTAATACTGAATTAAGAGGATGTTTTGCTAAGATTATAAGTTGTTGAGAAGAGCTTATAAACTCTTCGAAAGTGTTTGATAATTTTATTTAAAAAAATATTAAAAATTCAAAAATTTAAAATCTTATAATTTGTAAACACATTAAAAATTAATTACTAAAATAAGACGGAACTACTTATCAGATCTTAAAATAATTTATTAAATGTAAAAGTTTTTCAACTGTTTAAAATAAATTTATTCACAACGCCCCTAAGGTTGAAACTATCAAACCGCCTATGAATTTTAGGGCCTTATTTTGTGACATTTTACAAGTTAGATAACCCAACACCATATACATATATATTGTGAAAATGATGCCTTGTGGATAGTACATTATGCACCACCCATTTCATTTTTCTTATTACTAGAATTTCAAAAATTAGTCACAAACCAAAAATTGACTAAATGATGAGTAAACTCTAAAAGACAAAATGGAATCAACTCGAATTTTCTTACAAACTTGTGAATATTATATTCGATGAAATACAAATTCGAGACCTGCACGCATTTACTTCTCAATATTTTTAAACTCCCACTCAAATTCGAGGTCTCGTAAATATTATATTCGATGAAATAAACAATTGGGTAATTTTCGATCTTTAATTTACAAACAATTACTCACATATACTCATATACATATAAGTAAAACACATATGGTTAAAATACAAAATAAATTAAGCAATATTCTAAAATCACAAATAAGGTTGAGCAACAAAATTTGATTATAAAATGTTAAAAGGAGCTTATAAGATGTTTTAGAGCTTATAAGCTCTTTCAAAGTGTTTGGTAAATTAAAAAAAAATCTTATTTTTTGTTAAAATAAGCATTTATATAGCAAATAAAATCTTTTAAATAAGTACATATACCCCACATTTTTATTTAATATCTTATAATGAGTGAAAATATGAAACTCATTATCCAAACACACTAAAAATTAATCATAAAAATAAGATGTAACAGTTTATCAGCTCTTTAAAACATCTTATCAGATGTAAGAGCTTATCAGTTGTTTAAAATAAGTTTAGCCAAACACCCTCTTAGTTGCGTAATGTTTGATAAACTCCACGTTATTACAATCATTAACACAAATAATGTTTGAGTTAGATACTAATTCTAGAAATTCCATGTCACAATCCGACATTTTATTTAAATCACAAAAATTTGTCTGCACTTTTTTTGGAGGAAAAAAGTAAAATTTGTTAATTAGTCACGAGGCACGTTTCGAACCCTCGTTAATTTTTCTCAATCTCGACTTTATCTAGAATTTCAATAAACTTTTGAATTTAAATTTTTAATTAATTAATAATTTTATTTTATTAATATGGTCTATATATATCAAAATAATATTCATCTTGGGTATTATATTGAAGTTCGATATACGATCTTTCAAAAAGTATATTTTTTTAGTAAAACAAATCTAGTACCATTTCAATATAATATTTTGTACTATCAACTACTCTAAAAGTGCAATCTATTTAATTTAAAATAATTAAAAAGAGTATGAATAAAACGAACCTACTCTTCCATATCGTGACATGTGTAACTCATAAACGCGATTTATCTCACGTAAAATCGCACTATCAAAACATTAGTGATCACTAATACGTGATTAAAATTTAAAACCATTTGATCATCACTTATTAAGCATATGAGTGGGGCGGTAGTGTTTTATGTCGTTGGTCTCTATAATTCAATTTATTTTGTTTTTAGTTGAATTATTTGCATGAGAAATAAATTGAGTAATTATTGGATTCACCACGTAACATCAAAATTAACTTGAAATTGAGAAAAAGTCAAACATTTGTAAGTTTGACTTTGTTCATTTGTAAGTTAAAAATAAAGATGTTAATGGGTACGGTTTTGGTGGGTTTTGGACTTAAAACCAACATATTTGGGAGATAAGATAAATAGTTCTTGATCGAATAATGAGTTTAAATGTTAGTTTGGTTGATATTAAATCGTAATTGATTAAGTTACGAAAAAATAGGACACGAATTATATAAATGTTTTTTTTTAATCATTTTTTCTTTTTTGCAAATGAAATTGAATTCAAGTCGAATTTTACATTGGACGAAAAAAATAATTTTAAATTTGATCTAATTTTAAATTTGATCCATTGTGAAATGATGTTGGATTGAAAACCGTGATTGGAGAAGATAAACCAATTGGATTAGAGCTTTAATTAATTCCTAAAGTTTTTGAAGATTAGTGTATTGTTGATGAAAGGGCTTAATTAACAAATAAGCTAAGATTATGGGGTGGATGTGGAATTCGACCAATCATGTATTTTTCCAAATAAATTAAGACTTTAGTAATCAAACCCACTCAGGGCGTGTGCCTAGGGCGTGAACGAGCCGAGCTCGACTCTTTTGGCAGGCTTGAGCTCGAGCTCGAGTCTAGTTTGTCGAGCTCGAGCTCGAGTCTAGTTTGTCGAGCTCGAGCTCGAGTCTAGTTTGTCAAGCTCGAACTCGTCGAGTTCCTTTTTTTTTGCTCGAGCTCGAGCTCGTGTTCATTTTGTCGAGCTCGAGCCCATGCTCATTTTTGTTGTAGTTGTTTTTTTTTTATAAATATTTTTTTAATTACTATTAAAAATTATTTTTTTAAAATTACATATTTCTATAAAATTATTTTTATAAATATTTTTTTAATTATTATATTTTTTAATATTTATATTTTATTTTTATTTATTTCTATAATATTTTATATTATTATACATTATTTTAATAAAAAATAATATAAAAAAAATAAAAAAATATTAAAATAATAAATAAGGTTCGCGAGCCGGCTCGTGAGCTCATGAACAACTAAGAACTGGCTCGAGCTCGAAAAACTCGAGTCCGAGTTCGAGCTTTTTTCGAGCCGACTCATCGAACTCACGAGTCGGCTCGGCTTGTTTATCACCCATGCGTGTGCCCGATAAATACGAACATATTAATTACTTTATTACTTACTAGGAACCGAAGAATTACCTGATTATGTCGGGATTTTTAAGATAATTAATTATCATAAAATTAAAATATAGGGTCAATATAAATACACAAGTATCTTGTGATTTGATATATTATTTTATCTGAAATGTTAAATGTCGTTTCGATTTTATTAATGTCGTTTTGACTTCGAACCTGATTTTGATATTTTTTCTATTTTGATTTTGGCAAAATTTGAAACACGAAAACTGTAGTCCTTGGGGTTAGCTTTCTAATCCAACTTAAATCGGCTAGATTGGATGTCGTGTGACAAAGTTACGTACGAATGAGTTACATTTTGAATTTTAGATACCTCAATACATCAAAGTTGTGGGCAGTATCCATTGATTCATGTATATCTTTCTCGTCCGACATCTAATTTTGGTGATTCAAGTTGGATTAGAAAACTAACTCAGAATACTACAAATTCTATTTTTCAAGTTTTGCAAATTTTGGAATTACAAATGATTAAAATTACGTTTGAAGTTGAAACGATATTATTAAAGCTCGAACGACATTTATCACATCCCTTATTTTATTTATTGTTTTTAAAATTTATTTTACCTAAAATACCCTTCATCTATAGAAGGACTAGACTAGAGGACCCACACGAAAGGTTTTTACTCTAACAATTAAAATATTCTCTATGTTAATTTATTTGCAAAACCCCCCTTATAATTCCCTCTTCTACTGAATTGTTCCCTAATAATTCACCATTTAGGGGTTGTGTGCTAAGAAAATGAATTATAGGGGACTTTAGTAAATATTAACAATTTAGGGAGTGGTTTAGCAATTTCAAATAACACATGGGATTTGTGACAATTCACTCCGAATTTAAATTCATTTCTTTCCCGCGACTATAAATACGCCTCCTGCAGTTCAAATGAAATCTCACCCAGACCGTTTCGTCGTTCAGCTCTTCACACATTTCATGCACTGTAGAGGAAAAACCGATAAAATCTACAAATCGGTGGGAATATACAGAAATTCAAGCAGCGAAAAATGGGGAAGCGATTGAGGAAAGCGAGACCGATGTGCTACTGTGTTTCTCCGCGATCATCGTCCCTTCACGCGATTTTCAGCTGGTATATACGTAATTTACAATTCTCAATTTTGAATTTCTGCGACGATGAGTTTTTGCGTTCGTGAATTTGTTTTCGTTCAGAGCTCAAAAACATAACGGTCGATTTGAATTTTGTTTTTGGCCGATCGGGTGGACTGGGGATTTAGATGTGAAATTAAACTCGATTTACATTATTTGGGGTGTTAGTTGGTGATCAAGTATTGCCCAATTAGATTCGAAAATTCGAGTTCAAAGTTTTATAAACTGAATTGTTTAAATTGCGTGATGATTCAGCAGGAATTTGAGTTCAATTTTGACGTTGTTATGTGTGTGTGTGTGTGTGTGTGTGTGTGTGTGTGTGTGTGTGTGTGTGTGTGTGTGTGTGTGTGTGTGTGTGTGTGTGTGTGTGTGTGTGTGTTTTCTACTGAGATCTGTTTTTATCTCTGAATTTGACCGAGATTTTTCCGGTATGTGAATCTATTCTGCTATTTGAGGTGAATGAGTTTATCCAGATTCTGTGAGCCTCAGCTATGCTCATTTGGCTACAGCTTTAGATTTGAAAGTTGGAACACGCATTTCAATCTAAAATTGATTTGATGCGAGATTTGAAATAATAATTTATGCTGGATTACCTCGTGTTCTTCGATCTTCAAGTTCTTCCACAAAGATCAAAAGGTTTCCTTCCGGGTCTACTTTAAGCAGTGCTGAGCACACAAGATTCCACCGAGTAGCCAATTTTTTCTGTATATGTTGAATTTGAAATTTGTTTGCAATAGAAATTTTTATGTTGTTGCTTACTTGCATCTATAATAATCGGAGGCATTTTGTACTAATTTCGTTTATCCATCTGTTGATGATTATCTCAAATGTGGATAGGTACGAAGAGGATATGTGGATAGAGATTGCAAAGTTTTTGGATGGGAGATCCTTAGTGATACTTGCAATGACTTGCAAATGGTTTAATCGCATTATGATGGAGGATAGTGTGTGGAAATACGCATGTTTACGAGATCTTCAGGTTCCTGATCCTGGAAAAGTCGCCTTCAAATGGATCAAACTTTATGCCGCAGCTTTTGGTATTAGTCAAATTTTTTGATGTTCCATCCAATTATGAAACTCAAATTTAAGTTTTCTCATCTAAAGAGTTAACGATTAATCTTTGCAGATGGAAGTCACACATATATGTTTCGTCAGCAGGAGAAGCATATTGGTAAATAACTAAATGCATCTTCCTATTTAGCCTTTTGTAGATTACATTTCGTTTGTTCTCGAGTCTCTTATTTTCTATCATGGACAATTCTGAGTAATGGGAAACGGGCATAAATTTCAATGTACATAGTTTAGCTCATTATTTTCGGTGGATCTCCTGATAAGTAATGGCAATTTACTTATTCAGAGTGTTTTGTCTTATTTAGTTTATATCACGCGCTTTGCGGCTTTCGAAGATAATAAATGATCTCATTTCAAAACATGCATTCACACTCGTATTTTTCCTTTTTGATCTGATGAACAGATTGGATGCGAATTGGAGCATTCTTGTTTGATTCAACTGCAGCTCTCCTGAGTGAGAGCTTAATTGCACCCCTGAGAATCCCCGACGAAGAGACAACTGACAGAACATTGCAGCTACAAGGCTGCTGTTTGTTAAAGAATATCAAAGCTGGAATCTGGATTGCTGGTAACTCAACTATCATCACATTTAATAACTGGAATCTGGATTGCTGGTAATTCAATTATGCACGGCTTTGATATTCTAACTAGCCTTTTCTAACTGTGATTATGTATGAAGACTTACAGCTTGTCCGATGTCCTGTTTGCGACCTCGATTCCTGTGATGGTGAGTTAAGCATGACTGTTTACCCTTTCTTCTAATGCAGTGTCCTGTGTACTATATGATTGCTGGAAATTTTGAAATAACCAATATATACCACCACTTATATATGAGTTAGCTAGACTTTGAATTATAGCCTCCTTGTACAAATAATATACTACAATAGAATATTCAAGTAACGATTTGTGCTTCTGTAATACAGGAACAATGCAAACGTTGGATGCAAGGCATATTGAACTCTTTCTGAATGAGGGATACAATAATGGGAGCTGGGACTATGATGTATTAGGATCCCATAACATCAGCAAGCATGCTGATGGTGCTTCTGGTGGCATTTTCGATATTAAGCATCTCAAGGATCAAACAACCTCCGGTAAATTCTAAACTAGATTAACCTGTCAATTATTTACTTTACTCAGATTATCTATTGTGGAAGGTTATCTCAAGATATCTGCCAGAAATTGAGTTTTTTAGTCTGAGTTTATTTCCATTGCATTTTCAGATATCTTCGATCTCAAGTCGTGGGTGGGAAAGAAAAACGACTGGCAACCAAAAGCTGTGGTAACTCTCCATGCAGTTGCAGTAAACACCAATTTGCAAAACAATGAAGGTAATAATATTTCCCTTTAACTGATATAATTTCTCTGAAATGATAATTCTACCTTTGTTCTTCTTCTCTTCATATAAAAAACAAACATTATTGACCAAAAAAATTAATTGGTACTCATCGAACGGTTGAAATTTATCTTATCAATACGACTACATAAACAGGTATACAGATTAAGTACCAAGCTATGAAGGCTGGAAAAGAAGGTGAAGTTGTTGCAATTCGTATATCGCAGCAGCTGCTCTAGATTTTCTTTTCCAAGTCTAGAAATTAGAATACGAAATTTTGTTCGATTTTGTGATGTCTGTAGCTAATTCTCTCAACAAATATATTAGTCCCCGAGTCAGTTTCGATTCACTTCATTTATGGCCAAGGTAAAAAAAAATAAGTAAAAAAGCAAGCCCTGTATTTTCAATACTTGTAAGCTGTAAACAATCAAAAACTCCGGCAATTCTTTCATTATTCGTATTTCCACTAGCAACATCACTGTTATTATTCGAACGAGTCTGATTGAAATATCAGCAATGAGTTAGTTTATTTTTTTTCTTTACCATCACATTCGAACAAGTAAAATTTTCCGATTTATTTTCCCAGCCTCCTATACGACCCCGTCTTTCGGTCAAGGTTACTGCTCATCCATTTTCAGACAAACCCTCTCGCATTATAATATCTCCAACTAGTAGTATATTATTCTTGTTGAATTCTCTGCATTTGTTTTGTCCACCAAAGCATCTCCGCATCGAAATTTGACTTTGCTAAGTCTATATATATATATATATATATAACTCGTGTCACCATTTCCAAATGGCCTGCCTGCTTAAAAAATCCAGCTCCTTTTGACTTATGGGCTTTCTTCTAAGAACCATCTTCTTTGCACTATTTCTTTTTCAGACAATCCAATCACAAAATGATTGCCGATTTCAATCCTGCGGAGAAAATCAATTCCTAGTACGGTTTCCTTTCCGATTGCGAGGCGAAAAACAACCTGAAAGATGCGGCTACCCTGGTTTTGACTTGATCTGCACTACTACTACTTATAACAACAAACGCAATTCACAGGTACCATTGCTCAATCTTCCTTATTCGGGCGATTTCGTTATTCGAGATATAAACTATCTCACCCAAGAAATCCAACTCTACGATCCAAACAACTGCCTCCCGAAACGGCTACTAAATCTAAACCTCTCTTCTTCTCCCTTCTTTTCCGGTTACTCCGAAAACCTCACCTTCCTTAGCTGCCCACCGGAGCAAATTGCAAACTCCCGTTTCGCGAAAATCGATTGCCTCAGCAATTCCACGTCGTCGGTTTTGGCAACTTCTTCGATGAATCTTGTGAAAGCTTTGAGCGATAATTGCAGCACTATTGCAGCTCTCTCTGTGCCGGTTTTGTGGCCGTTGCAAAACAGTAATGATTGGCTTTCGTCTGATCTCAGCGGCGATCTTATGTTGACTTGGAATGTTCCGAACTGCGAAGGGTGCGAGGCGAGAGGTGGCGTTTGTGGATTCGAAAACGGCACGAGTGATCGGATTATGTGTTACACTGATCCTAGAACAGGTAACTAAAATTATGTTTTCAATTTAAATTGTTTTATGGTATGAACTTTGAAACTTTGAACTTTGAACTTTGAATTAGTCCATATGTGAAACATGATCCCAATTACTGTTATGTTAGTTAACAGAAAGTCAACTCTACATGTCATTTTAGAGAGAATAATTAAGTGTTAATTATGATTAGCTGTCTTTTCATCGAAATAATAAAATTACAAAATATTCATTACCACATTTGATTATTATCAATTTTATCATCATCTCTCATTTCGTAAGAAAAAAAAATACCGTGAATAAAAAATTACGAAAACGAAGTGGAAGTGGAAATTGAAATTTTCAAATTCCGCCGATTTCAATAAAAAGAAAAAAATCAATTTCGGTGGAGTATTTTTCATTTTTCATTTCTGATTTTTACGATTTTTCAATTGAAATTAGAATAAATATTAAATTTTTATTTTGATTTTTGAAAATAATTCCGAAAATTCTAATATATATTTTTTTTCCTGAAAATTACACTTGTTTTCAATTATTTAATTTTCACCAATTCCCATATGAAAAAAATCGGATTTTAATTGCAACTAACACCAAAAAAATAAAAATTTAAAAAATAATAATAATTAATTTGGTTAATCCACAGTTCAATCCCGGGGTATGAAGATCTTCAAAATAATCGCACTATCAATAGTAATTCCAGCGGTGACGTGTTCAATCTGCATTTCATCCCTCTCCTGCATGTTTGAAAGGAGAAGAGATCGCGATTCCGCCACGTCAGCAGCAGTGGCGCCGCAATCTCCTGCTGCGGGTGCACCGGAAGGCCTCGACGAATCCACCATTCAATCCTACAAGAAACTAGTCCTCGGCGATAGCAGACGCCTCCCTGGCCCAAACGGCGCCACGTGTCCCATCTGCCTTGTTGACTACCACCCTAGAGACACGCTACGCTGCATACCTCTGTGCGACCACTGCTTCCATTCTGATTGCGTTGATGAGTGGCTGAGATTGAACGGCACCTGCCCCGTCTGCAGGAATTCCCCTGCACCTACTCCACCTGAATAATACCCATTTCCCCCCCCCTTTTTTTTTTTTATTTTTTTATTTTTTTATTTTAATTTTAAGTTTATTTTGTAATTTTAATATTGAAATCTGTAAACCATAATTCTTTTGTACAGAATATATATTACAGAAAAAAAGCTGCTGCTGCAGTTTTGTCTCTAGTGAATGGATATTTAGATAATAATCCCTAGTGCAAGTTGACCTTTGACTTTGGAAATATTATTTAAGACAATATTGTAAATAGTCATGGTTCATTATCATATCATATGATATGAATTTACCTGCTAACTTAAGAGGAGTTGCATATAAATATTATTTATTTTTGCTGGATTCCAGAAATATCCAAATATACCCACATAAAGTCAACGATAAATCTTGTTGACCCAAAAAAGCGTTGACTTCAACAGCTAGTGAATACTATAATGCAACATTTGCTCCCCTTAACATAATTGAATTTTACTATTAATATTAAGGCTGGAAAAAAAATGTCAATTACTATATACCATGGTATATCTACCAAGAAATATCGAAAAATTACCTAAAGAACCAGGGGCGGACCCAGGGGGTTTTGGGTGGGGGGGCGAAAAAAAAGTTTTGGGGTTAAATGGTATAAAATTTTAACTTTGGGGGGTCTAAAGTGTATAAATTAATACATAAATAAGCCAAAATATTAAAAAAATAAAAAAAAAATAAAAAGGTTAATTTTTTCTGCAGGGGCGGGTGCCCCCCAACAGAAGCCTTGGGTCCGCCCCTGGAAAGAACGGTTACCATTGTTTACGGTACGATACTTGTACCGTACCATTACAATATGGTACGGTAGTGGTATTGTATTTCTAATACCACGGTAATACCGTACCGTACCGCAATTTTATATTTTATAATTCGATTAAGATATTTACTTCGATATTAATTATTTTTTGTACTTATAGTTTTTACTTGGAAGCTTATGAATTGCAATAATTGTTTTTACCTTAAGTTAGTGGTAGTGTATTTGTTTTTTTCCCACCAAGTTGAATTTTATAATGGGACATATATATTATGTTAAATTGTCTTTTATTTTCGCTATTGCCAACTAATTTTATTATATTTGATGTATGAATATCTTTTTTTTTTTTACATATATATACATGTATGTATAGTATTAGTAAAGTATTTATTCTATGTACTGATTATTAAGTACAATCAAGTACCTAAGATATACCTAGTTGTTCCATTAAACCACATTTATTTTGGTTTATATTCTTGTTTCATTGAAGCAAGTTATGTTAATTATTCATAATTATACACTTAGGCCTTCATAGAAAATTAAATACAAGACTAACTAGAACTATTTTCAATTGAGATTAACATACTTGTTAACTCATTTGTTCTTTAATCTTTGATACAGAGTACCACGTACCGATTGTGCCGTATCGAAAATAACGATATACCAAACATTGGTATACCGAACTTTTTGGTACAGTAACAATGTGAAATTTTTCAATACCACAATGTACAATAGGTACACGGTATTAAGCCAAATATTTGGCAACCGTACTGAATCCACCCCTAATTAATATATCTTCAATGCAAATTGAACTAATTAAATATGTGTCTCATAAATCTTAATAATTCTTGATTTTTTCAGAGTCATTCTACGGTACATTCGGATTGTTCGTCGTGACTTCCTTCCGGAACATTCTAACGAAATGCACGCAGCAGCCGATACATATAACAAAGGGCATTACAACCGTAAAAAAAGAAATCGTCACGTACGCTAATTCGACAACGCTTAGCGGCACTAATCGCCCTGCAAAAAAAAAAAAAAAAAAAATCGAATACATCCTTCATTGCCCTTTTATACGAAGGCAAGTTTCTAACCACTAAATTAAATGAATGCAATTATAAAATCATTACCTCTTAATTTACGCGGACAATTCTCGCATGGAGGTCCAATCCACCGTAAGATAAAATCAGTCTGATTTCCAATAAAATCGTTCGAACGGAACCCTAAAACCGGAACATACGAGCTCACGATCTCACTGCACATGTAAATCTCTGTCATCACCTGTCTTGAAATTACGTAAGTAGCAACCGTAGCTACCGTGGAATTGCTCAAACAATCTATTACTGTAAAATTCGACAATGCAATCGTCTCGAAAGGACACGTGTAGAAAGTGTAACTTAGTGTATACAAGGGCTTTAGTGGATAAGAAAACGAAAGATTCAAACTCATAAGCCGTTTAGGGAGACAATTTTCAGGGTCGTAAAGCTTGATTATCGAGTTTTCGTAATCTACGTAACGAACATAGAAATCTCCGGAATTTGGAAGATTTAGAATAGGTATATTTTGATTATCAATATAGGTACAATTTTTTCGAGTATTTTGATCTTCGGTTAGTAATTTGAAAGGGTATTGAATAAAAGAAGTGTTGGTATTATTACCACAATAAGAAGTTGGACAATGATTCTTGGATTGCACACTTTGTAAGAAAAAGAGAAGTAAGAAGGTGAGTTCAAGAATTTCCATATGTATATATATTAATTGCAGGTAAATTAATATATAATAAACATGCATGGTAGATTTATAGATTTTCATCGGACTTCACAAAGTAATTTTTTCGTCTTTTCGACGTGCGATACAATGTAAATGGATTTTATACTCGAGGCCTGCAAATTTATATATATTATTCAATATTTTCATACTTTACAATAGTTTAATTTCTCCAACGGGATCACTATTCTTTCGTCTTTTGAAATTAAAACGATGGAAAAAATTATCGAAACTCTCGTTCTTCTCGTCTCGATCTTCTCGAAAGCTCATTCTAGTATCAAGAATGCTTGTCCAAGTTCCTTCTGTGGAAGCTTCTCCTTAGATTATCCATTCGCACTACAAGACGAAAATCTCGAAAACGGTTGCACCTACACAACTCTTTCGTGCAACGAAACCCTCGGTATCGGAACACCGATTCTAAATCTCCCCTTTTCTAGAAGTTTCTACGTAAGGTACATTGAATATCATCAGAAATACATACGACTCTTCGATCCCGGAAATTGCCTCATGAGTAGGCTTATAAAGAACAGCCTCAATCTTTCGTCGTCTAATTTTGAGGCCGTTAGTTACGAGAACTACACTTTTTACACGTGCCCTTCGGATTCGGACATCATAAGAAAATACGTTTTTGCCATCGATTGTTTAAGCAACAAAACTAATTCGACTGTTGCTTCTGCTTCTGTCCCATCGGATTTGATGTTAGAAACAGGTTGTACGGTCGTAGGTAGTTGGCTATTACCGGTTTTTATTACAGGTCAATTCGAGTTTCACGGAATTAATAGTGATCTTTACTTAACATGGAATTCGGCTAGCTGTAGAGCTTGTGAAGAAGATGATCATCAAACGGATAACGGTAATTAACCGAAATAATTATTTATTTATTTTTGTTGTAAAATTTAATTGTTTAAAGAAATTAATTATTTATAGGTGGACACAAGGAAAAATTGTGGTCAAGATTTGCGGAATCTGCGTATTTTGTTCCGTCATTTGTAGCAACAGCCATGTTCGTTGTTATCTGTCTACTGCAGATTACAAAATCGGTAGCGGATAGAAACGAGAGGAGCTACGACCAATCAGATGCTGCCACGTCAGCGCCACAGAATGCAGATGGGCTGGATGAGTCGAAAATACGTATACGTGCTTACACAGAATTGGTGGTTTTGAGTGAGAGTAGAAGAAATATGGGGAATGATTTTAGTAATATTGCATGTTCAATATGCTTGGAAATTTATGTTGATGAAGATAATTTGAGAAAAATAGCTAAATGTGGGCATTTATTTCATGCTGATTGTATCGAGCTGTGGTTGAGAAAAAACGGCACATGTCCGGTTTGTAGGACGAGCGTTGTCGATGATACTGTCGAATTATGACATCTTCTTTTTCGAATTATGGATTCTTGAATTTTTACATTTTTTTTGTACAATAATTTGTTTTTGCATTTATTCTGTACAATCAAACTCTTTTAACTTGTAATAACAGTAAAAAATGTGGTGGCAATACAGCGCCTGTTAAGCTGTATTGCGGCCACCGCCCCAGCGGCGGAGGTTGCTACACCGCTACAAACCACCACGACAGCCGCTGTATTGCCGCCACAAATCACCATTTTCGGCCGATGTATCTCCGCTGGCGAAGCTATGACATGTCATGATAGAAGCAAGCTAGTGTACTATTACATACTCCCAAGTTCCTAAATTAATTGAAATATATGTTCTTTTTGGGAAAAATACAGTTTTCGTCCCTCACATTAGCATCGATTTCACATTTGGTCCCTCATGTTCACAAAAAATACATTCGGTCCCTCATGTTTCAAAAATTGAATACTTTTAGTCCCTTCGATCAATTTTACGATCAATTTCACGTCAAAACTAACCGTATCAAGTGTGTGTCCATCAATGACTTAACTGATAGACTAACGGTAAATTGACAAAAATGACAAAAAACGTTAAATTATTGAAACATGAGAGGGACCAAATGTGATTTTTTTAAACATAGAGGACCAAATGTGGAATCGGTGCAAACTTCAGGGATGAAAAATATAATTTCAATTTCCCCTATGTTTTTTTTATATTTACTAAATGTTGGCATTTGAGAGCTAAGTTCATATCAATCCATTATTAGTAATAACACACACACACACACACACACACTCACTAACTAAACAAGAACATGATCTTAATTTGTAACTTCTTGTATCTTTCCTATATATGAAAAAAAAGAACCAAAAAATATTGGCCCCATGTAATTGACTTCATCAATGGTTTTCCAAACATTCTTCACTTGGGAGAATCCGAAATATGACACTGTCCTAAGAAATCCTACATTTTTTGTACTTTCTTGTTTTTCCCCAATTCATATGTATACAATACACACACACACACACACACACACACACACACACACACACACACACACACACACATATATATATATATAGAAAGCACATTCACAAAGACCCCTTCATTAATTCTTACCAAGAAAAAAAAAGAACATGAATATTCTCAAATTTATTTTCTTGAATTTCCTACTTTTCCCACTGACCATCCACTCTACAGACAACAACTGTCCAAATTCATATTGTGGCAACAACAATGTTTTCCCCATAAACTACCCTTTCAAGTTACAAGACCAACAACCTCAATTCTGCAGCAACTACACAAATCTAACATGTGACACTCAGAATAACAACACCATTCTCAGCCTCCCGTTTTCCGGAGATTTTTACGTGCATGACATCATCTACGATTCAAATTCCATCTTTCTATACGACCCTCGAGATTGCCTCCCGGAACGCCTCATGAACTTGAGCCTCTCTTCGTCTCCGTTTTCAGCCATAAAATACGAAAACTACACATTTTACAGCTGCCCGATAAATGTAACCGAGGAGTTATTTTCCAATGGTTTCCAGCCAATTGATTGCCTTAAAAACTATGCGAGTTCTACTGTTGCTAGTTCTACAGTGTCTGCTGGAGAGATGAAACGAGTTTATGGCTGCAGCATAATTGTTACAGTCGAGATACCGGTCGAATACGATGGTCAGTTTGATGGTTTCGGTATTTATAGCAATCTAAGGTTGAAATGGGATGCCCCTTTTTGCAAAGATTGTCAAGAAAATTATGACCCTGATCAAGAAACAGGTGCAACATTTTCCTATTATAAATTTTGTCGATTTTATTACAGTTTCAAGAAATATCGTATAAATCTAATTCATGACAGACAAACCTCGGAGCAGATGGTCGGCGTTCATTGGATCAACCGCCTTCTTGCAATCGGCTCTTGTCTTGGGCCCTTTTTTGGGTGTATCAATATTTGCATGCTTCATGGCAATAGCAGCCAGAAAACAGGCTAATGGAAGAGCAGCCGCCGCCACCACGGAGGAGGTTGCTATGCAGCCACGAACCACCACAACCGCCGCTGTTTCGCCACCACAAACCACCGGCGGAGCTATGGCATGCTCCGATGATAAGACCTACCCTTGGTCCCACACAATTTCGACGTTTTTTGAAACTCGTGAAAATGGTATCAATAGTTCTTGCATAATATGCTTTGAAGAATACAACCCTCAAGACAAAATCAGGACCATCGATTTGTGCCAACATCATTTCCATGCTTACTGCATCGATCAGTGGTTTCAGAAGAACAGCAGTTGTCCCGTTTGTAGGACGACTTTCATCTTGGATGTATAGTTGTAATGATTATTTTTTTATAAATGTCACTATTATTATTATTAATTTATTAGTGTTCTTGGAGAGGAACTAGAAAGGTGCAAGTGCGCATGAATCGAAAATACTTGTAATAATATCAATAAGCGAGTCGTTTTCGTGTGGTTCCTGTTATACTACTAGTTTTTCGTCCCATGTAACTTGTCTTCTAAGTACAAACTTAGGATTAGTAGACCATTAATTTGTCTTTAGTCTTGTCCCTAAACAAGATTTCATCTGCCTAATCTTATCTTACAAAATAAATTTCTTACAGCATAAATAAAAATACATACCTGCAGGCCGGCCTGTCCCGATTTTTCCTCCACTCAAGAAACGAAGAAAATGAAAGCCAAAATCGTGCAGATTCTTCTCTTTCTCTTCTTCGTTTTCCCGGTAATAATCCAGTCCAAGAAATCATGTCCAATATCTACTTGTGGAATAGGCACTTTTCTTTCCATTAAGTACCCTTTCAAATTACAAAAAGACCAACCACCAAATAACTGTCAAGATTATATCAATCTGAGATGCAACGAAAAGGGCCAAGCCATAATAAACATTCCTTCTTCCGGTGATTTTATCGTAACCGACATAGACTATTACTCTCGGAAAATCCGTCTATCCGATCCTGGAAATTGTCTCCCTAGAAGATTTATGACGAACTTCTCTCTGTACCCTTTGGAGGCCTTTCGATACGAGGATTACACGTATTACACGTGTCCCAGAAATCGTATTATACGCGAATTTAGTGAGATTTACTGCCTAAGCAACTCCACAAATGCTACTATAGCCACAAGTGGATATCCTCCAGGGGTTATAGAAGGAATGTACGGATGCAAGACAATAGTTAGCTCGAAGATCCCACTTCCGATGACGAGTCAATACGATGATTTGGGTATTTTCGATTATATTCAGCTGACTTGGAATGTCTCTGGTTGCAAAGATTGCGAAGATTATTACAGTACTGAAAAACCAGGTGAATTTTGTCATTCTTGATTTAGTTGTTTTGTGAAAATTGTTTTTTTACGAAAAGTCAACTAAGGACAACTCGATTCCACAGGTGATTCCAAGAGTAAATGGGCCAAATTTTTTGGATCCTCCCTCTTCATTCCCTCGGCTGTTGTACTAGCACTATTCTTCGGAATAGCCACATTGCTGCGATTGATGAAACTCGTAGCAGGCAGAGCTAACTCCGACAGCACTACAGCCAATAACCCTACAACAGATGCCACCGAAACGCAATTCTCCGCCACAAACGCCACCCTAGCACCACCACAGACCACTGGAGCCGCCAATAGGACTGAGAATTCTTCCGAGGTCAAGAAATGTACAGAGTTAGTGGTTCTTAGTGAAAGCCAAGGAACATCAATTCCTAGTGGTGCCCCTTGCTCAATATGCCTCGAAGAATACCGTGGTAAAGATAGAGTTAGGTTCTTGGTTCAATGCGGTCACTGTTTTCATGCTGAATGTATCGATCAGTGGCTACAGAAAAATACTACTTGTCCAGTCTGTAGAAGTTCTCTTTCTAAACACTAGGAGTATATAAAAGAATTGTACTTGTTCAATCTTGTTTTAATATTCTGCTACATCATTTTCAGATTGTTATATTAAAGATAGTTGTACAAGCTACAATCTTGTTGAACAGTCCATTATTGCATGCATCTCCCCGAAACCAATTAGTTGACTTTCGAAACTTAAATAAAAATCGGAACACATATTTTTATTCTCCAATCTAAACCAAGGGGCATAGGCAATTAGAAACATGGCTATTCCTAACTTCTTCATTTTCATTTTCCTTCTCCTCTCTATAGTGCATGCTCAGAACAACTATTGTCCAACTTCCTACTGTAATAGCGTGGCCATACAGTTTCCGTTCTGGCGACAAGGTCGGCAACTGCCCTCAAACTGTCAACCAACTGGATTCAACCTAAGCTGCAATGGTCAGAACAAAGCAATCTTAAACATTCCTCGTGCTGGAGATTTTTATGTAAGTTATATCAACTACTATCTTAGAAGAATTACGCTCAGCGATCCCGATAATTGCCTCCCGAGGAAATATTTGAGCTCGAGTCTTTCATATTCTCCATTCATGGCAATTTCCAATCAGAATTATACCTTTATCAGCTGTCCTAAAGGACTGGGTAGTAGCGATATCTATATTGTTCATTGCCTCAGCAACGACACCACCGATGTCTTGGTTATAAAGAATGAGGCAGCTGTAGCGATATTCCCCGAGTGCAAGAAAATGGTCACGGTACGAGTACCAGTTTCATCGTACGAGTATTCGTTTCCAGTCAATTTTGATCTAAGATGGGATGACTCTGCAACCGGTAAGGATCTTTCACTAATTTGCAACCGGTCAGTTGAGATTAAAAGTATTTGTTGATTTCATTGGATCAAAGAATTCTTGATGATGACAGCACAAATGCGATCAACTACGAATATATTAATGAGGAATGCTAATATATTCAGCAAGAGCAATATAATAAACACATTTGACAAAGCCAATGTCAACTAAACTATATATTAGCATACTGACACGGTCAACCAAGGATATTTACCAAAAGATACTTACGCTCTATTTCTAAAATAAAATTTGCAGGTGCAGAAAACAAAAGACCTGTCTCTAGAATCTTTGCCTTGGCATTCGTCATATCGTCCATGGTTATTCCAGTAGTGATAATCGGCATAGCGTGCTGCATATGCATGATGAGACGCAACAACCTTCAGGATAGTGGCTCGAACCAAACTTCCGGAGTAACTGGTTTATCAAACACAGTGACAACAGGGCTGGGCATATCGACAATCGAAACCTACAAAAAAATCACAATTGGCGAAAGTCGTCGGATTGAAGGGCCTAATGGTATAACCTGCGCAATATGCCTGGCAGATTATGTTCCGCAGGACACGATAAGGGTCATGCCTGAATGCCAACATTGTTTCCATGTCGAATGTATAGATCAGTGGTTAGGAATCAAGGCTAAGTGTCCAATCTGCAGGGCCTCACAGGCTTAATATTGCATTTTATACTTTCCGGGCTTCGTTTGATTTCCCAAGAGTGTTCATGTAATTCTATGATCTTTCTAGAAGGTATAACGATCTGTTTAGTTACTTTGATGTATTTATTTAGACCTGAAAGTATAATTCAGTTAATCTGTATAAAATAAATAAATAAATGCATACCATCTCTTGGAAAGCACGAGACGTGTTCTTACCTTTAGTGTAGAGCTGCAATACAAGTGGCCTTCTTGCCACCACCTCGTAACGTGTAAACGATAAAAAAAAATAACTATAAAAGATCAAAAGAAAATCAACAAGACAACATTCAACTTAAACTGTACAAGCAATACAGAAAACTTATGCTACAGCTAATATGTCTTGACAACAGATGCCACTGGAACGCAATTCTCCACCACACACTGACACATACCACCCTAGCACCACCACGGACCACCAGATATTTTACCTACATCCGGAGTATATGTATACATGTGTGTGTGTATATAATATATATATGCTAGCTTAAAAGAGAAGGAAAAAAGATCATACTTGTTCAACCTTCTTTTAATATTCTGCTACAACATTTTCAGATAATTGTCTTGAGGTAGATTTGTTCAAGAAAACAAAAGCAAGAGACTTGTACAAGCTACAATCGTAGGCCATTGCATCTCCATGAAAGCTATTAATTAGTTGACTTTGGAAGCTTATATAAAACTTGAAACATATATTTTTCTTCTCCAATCTAAACTGAGGGGCTAAGGCAATATGGCTATTCATAACCTCTTCTTTTTCCTTTTCCTCTCTATAGTGCACGCTCAAAACAGTTGTCCACCTTCCTACTGTAACAACAATAGCCAGGCCATAAGGTACCCCTTCTGGTTACAAGGTCGGCAACTGCCCTCAAACTGTCAACCAATCGGGTTTAACCTAAGTTGCAATGGCCAGAAAAAACTCATCTTAAACATTCCCTATTATGGAGATTTTTATGTAAGTTCTATCTACTACCATCTTAGAATAGTTACACTCAGTGATCCCGACAATTGCCTCCCAAAGAAACTCTTGAGCTCGAATCTTTCATACTATCCATTCATGGCTGTTTCCTATCAGATTTACACCTTTATCAGCTGTCCTAAAGGGCTGCGTTCTAGTTATGTCGTGGATTGCCTCAGCAACACTACCACAGATATCTTGGCTTTAAAGTATGGAGCATCGAATTTTCCCAAGTGCAAGAAAAATGTCACGTTAGCACTCCCGGTTTCATCTTATTTTCTTGACGACCGCTTTCCAGTCGAGTTCGATATAACATGGAATGACCCTGATATAGGTAAAAATCTTTGTTTCACATACCATTTATCGTAATCATAATTCATGAGGCTGTTGGTGGACTTTCTAAAGTAGTTCTTTACTTTAATTGGATCAAAGTATTCTTGATGATGACAGCACAAATGCTGAAGAATGCTAATATATTCAGTAAGAGCAATATAATAAACACATTTGACAAAGCCAGTGTTAACTAAACTTTATATAATCATACTCACAAGGTCAACAAATGATACTTCTGCTCTATTTCCAACTTCCTTCTCAAATATGGTAGTCAGAGACTAAAGATATGTGTGATTTTTTTATTTTTCTTAAATAACTTCTATCAAGATTAATGAGCAAAATCTCATAATATATCTTGGTGGGGGAGGATATAAATATTCAAGAAGATCCACAGAATCGAGAGTTCCACACTGACATAGATAATAATGAATTAGCTAATACCATCCTTCCTTCATTGCTAAAATAATATTTGCAGGTGAAAATAAAGTAACTGTTTCTGGAAAGGGTCACTCGTCATTTAAAATAGCAGCCTCGGTTGTAGTGATAGTGATAATATGCATATCGTGCTGCATATGCATGATGAGACGCAACAACTTTCCTGACAGTGGTTCAGACCAAACTTCCAGAACAGCTGGTTCATCAAACACGGCGACAGCAGGGCTATCCACCATTGAAACCTACAAAAAGATCACAATTGGTGAAAGTCGTCGGGTTGAAGGACCGAACGGTGTAACCTGCGCAATATGCCTTGCAGATTATGTTCCAAAGGACACAATAATGTTCCTACCTGAATGCCAACATTGTTTCCATGCCGATTGTATCCATCAGTGGCTAAGCATCAAGGCTAAGTGTCCAATCTGCCGGACCCCACAAGCTTAATACTTCATTTCACACTTTCCAGACTTCGTTTGATTTTCTCTCCACCGATTGCAGTTCCAGTGTTCATATCAGTCTTCATGGAATTCTCCCCATCAATCTAGATTTTCTGTCGAGGAGAAATTTGCTTTGTTAGATTTCCCAAGAGTGTTCATGTAATTCTATGATCTTTCTAGAAGGTATAACGATCTGTTTAGTTACTTTTATGGAATAGTAGTTGCATGTATCAACCTGAATGCATAATTTAGTTAATCTGTATAGTTGGATCTAAGCCAATATAAAAACATTAAACCAAAATTAGCAAGATGCCATTCAACTTAAACTGTACAAGTAACACAACAACTTATGATACTGTGAATACATACTGTCAACACTTGAGAGGATTCTCGTATATCGAAGTGCATCAAATGATTCAGCAGATTAACTAAAAATGACGAAGCGCATTTTCTAGAGTGGCATAAATAACACCCTATTTCACGTATCGTTCACTTTGCTCAAAAGAATATGCCGAGTTTGTAGAATCTCTGTCTAATTACTAAAATTATTACTTAGTAATTTTGCTACAACATTTCCAGATTCTTATGTGAGGATAGATTTGTCCAAGAAAAGAAACAGCAGAAGGAGACTTGTACAAACTACAATCTTGTTGACCAGGCCATTGCATCTCCCTGAAACCTATTAGTTGACTTTGGAAACTAGTATAAAACTTGAAGCATATTTTTCTCTTCTCCAGTTTAAAGTAAGGAGCAGAGGCATATGGCCATTCAATTTTTTTGCGTTTTCCTTTTCCTCTCTCTAGTGCACGCCCAGAACAACTGTCTACGTTCCTCCTGTGGCGGAAATGGCTTGGCCATACAGTTCCCCTTCTGGTTACAAGGTAAGCAACCCCAAACTTGCGGACTTAGTGGGTTTAATTTAAGTTGCATTGGCGAGAAAAATGCAATCGTAAACATCCCTTATTCTGGAGATTTTTATGTAAGTTCTATATACTACGACATTAAACGCGTTGTCCTCAGTGATCCCGATAATTGCATCCCGAGGAGACTATTGAGCTTGAATCTTTCATCTTCTCCATTCAGAGCTGTTTCCTATCGGACTTACATCTTCCTTAGCTGTCCAAAAGGTTCGATTAATTCTAGATATGTCGTAAATTGCCTCAGCGACACAACCACAGATATGGCGGCTATAAATTACGAAGCAGGTCAGACGATACCTACCAAGTGCGAGCAACTTTTCACATCAACACTTCCAATTTCATCTCCTTACGGGCTTCCAGTCAATCTCGAGCTAACATGGATCACCTCTGCCATTGGTAAGAATCTTTACTAGTTTCCGTTTAGCAAACTTTTTATCCATTATGTTACTTTAATTGAATCAAGGAATTCTATGAATATATGATGAAGATTATGTTTATCTGTAACAGCAATATAATAATCATAATTGACAAAGATAATGTCAACTAAACTTTGTATAATCAATCATACTGGCATGGTCAGCTAAGAATACTTCTGCTCTATTTCCACCTTTCGTTTAAAAACGCGTGATTGTTTTCCTTTTTTTTTTTTTTTCCTTGACTTCGGTTAAGATTAATGTGCAAAATATCATAATAAATCTTGGTTGGCATAAGCCTTTCACTAGCTAATACCATCCTTCCATACTAAACTAAAATTTGCAGGTACAGAAAATAAACGACCTGTTTCTAGAACCGTTGCCTTGTCATTTGTCATAGCATCCATGGTTATTCCGGTAGTGATAATCATCATATCATGCTGCATATGCATGATGAGACGCAACAACCTTCAGGACAGTGGTTCAAACCAAACTTCCGGAATAGCTAGTTCATCAGACACAGTGACACCAGGGCTGGGCATATCCACAATCGAAACCTACAAAAAGATCACAATTGGTGAAAGTCGTCGGATTGAAGGACCTAATGATATAACCTGCGCAATATGCCTCGTAGATTATGTTCCACATGATACAATAAGGGTCATGCCTGAATGCCAACATTGTTTCCATGTCGAATGTATAGATCAGTGGTTAAGCATCAGGGCTAAGTGTCCAATCTGCAGGGCCTCACAGGCTTAATACTGCATTTTACGCTTTCCAGACTTCGCTCGATTTTCTCTCCATCGATTGCAGTTCTAGTGTTCATATCAGTCTTCATGGGATTCTCCCCATCAATCTAGATTGGCCCTCAGGAGACGATCTGTTTAGTTACTTTGATGTATAAATAATTGCTTTATTTAGACCTGAATGTATAATTCAGTTAATCTGTATAGTTGGAAGTGAAAAATAAATAAATTAATGCATAGCATCTCTTGGAAAGCACGAGACATGTTCTTACCTTTACTGTAAAGCTGCAATAAGAGTAGCATTCTTCTGCAAACCCTTCTTTCTTCGTACTAGTGTGAACATTACAAGGCTAAACCCCAGTCTTACTACAAGCGTTTCCTCAAAGCTAGTTTAGACATTCATCTTTGCTATCAAAACCAAAATCAACCAGATAGCATTCAATGTCAACTGTACTATGTTTTCTCAAAAAACCGTTGAGGGGGAATATCGTACATCATATTGCATTTCAAAAGCTTCAGCAGATTAACTAGAAATATGACGTACGTTTGTCTAGAACGGCATAAATTCAAGGTGTTTTCAGTAGAATCAAAAAAAGACACTCTATTCACATATGGTAAAATTGGCTCAAAAGTATGAACCAAGTTAGTCAGGTGCTTCCTCAAAAAAGAAAAAAAAAAGTAGTCAGGTGCAGTAGGCAATTCATTTCCCGGCAAACAAATTTCTCGGAAGCATCGTTAGTCAGGTTCAATTGCTCATTGTTACTTATATGCTCTCTTTCTACATACTATGGATATATATATATATATATATATATATATATATATATATATATATATATATATATATATATATATACTTGTTTTAATACTCTGCTACAACATTTTCAGATTCTTATATTACGGTAGATTTGTTGAGAAAAATAACATCAGAAGGAGATTGTCACAAGCTAGACTCTTGTTGAATAGGCCATTGATTCCCCTGAAATCTACTATTTGACTTTGGAAACTATAAGCCTTTCCAAACATCTGTTTCTTCTCTAATCTAAACAAAGGAGCAGAGGCATTCATAAATTTTTCATTTTCCTTTTCCTCTCTCTAGTGCATGGTCAGGACTATTGTCCGGCTTCGTACTGTGACAAGAATGGCCTGTACATAAAGTTCCCCTTCTGGTTACAAGGTCAGCAACTCACCCAAAACTGTCAGCCATATGTTTAATATACGTTGCGGGGGGCAGAAAAAAACAATTTTAAACATTCCTTATTCTGGAAATTTTAATGCAACTTCTATCGACTACTACAGTAAAAGAGTTTCCCTAAGTGATCCTGGTAATTGCCTCCCACGGAGACTTTTGAACTTGAATCTTTCATCTTCTCCATTCATGGCTGTTTACTATCAGAGCTACACCTTCCTTAGCTGTCCTAAAGGCCTGGCAAGTTCTAGGTATGTCGTGGACTGTCTCAGCAACACAACAACAGATATTGTGGCTGCAAACTACGAAACAGATGTATGGTTGTTCACAAAGTGCAAGATAATTGTCACATTACCACTCCCAGTTTCATCTTCTTATATATCTCGGTTTCCAGTAGATCTAGAGTTAACATGGAAAGTACCTCCGACCGCTACGGATCTTAGCTAACTTCCATTTCACATACCATTTACCCTGATCATGATTCATGAGGCTTTTGATCGATACTCTAATTGGAAAAAAAAAAATTCTTGATGATGACAGTGCAAATGCAGAATACAGATTAAATATGAATACCTGTCATTGCAGGTGTAGAAAATAAAAGATCTGTTTCTCGAATCATTGCCTTGTCATTAGTAATACCTGCCCTGACTACCAGCAGCGATAGTTGGCATAACCTGCTGCATACGCATCATGAGACGTGAGGACACTCGGGGCAGCGGTTCAAACCAAACTTCCGACCGAGCTGGTTTATCAGACACGGTGACACCAGGGCTAGGCATATCCACCATCGAAGCCTACAAAAGGATCAAAATTGGGTCGAAGGACCTATTGATGTAACCTGCAAAATATGCCTGGAAGACTATGACCCAGAGGACACAATAAGGCTCATGCCTGAATGCCAACATTATTTCCATGTCGAATGTATAGATCAGTGGTTAACCATGAAGGCTAAGTGTCCCATCTGCAGGACCACGCAGGCTTAATACTGACTTGCACATAGTTCATTTTATCATATATTGCAGTTCCAGTGTTCATTTCATCATCTTTACACAGTCCATAGAGAATAAGAAGTTAGTACTTTTAGAAAGCATGAGACCTCTTTTTACCTTTATGTCGAGCTGCAGTACAAGTGGCATTCTTGCCACCACCTCGTAAAGTGTAAACGGAAAAAATAACTAGAAAAGATCAAAAAAAAATCAACAAGACAACAATCAAACTTAAACTGTACAAGCAATACAGAAACTTATGCTACGGCGAATATGTCTGGTCAACAACACGACAACAGATGCCACTGGAACATAATTCTCCACCACACACTGACACACACCACCCTAGCCCACCACAGACCACCAGAGATTTACCTACAGATCCGGCAAGAGCCACCAACAGGACTGAGAATTCTTACAAGGTCAAGAAATGTACAGAGTTAGTGGTCACTCTGTTTTCATGCTGAATGTATAGATCGGTAGCTACAGAAAAATACGACTTGTCCAGTCTGTAGAAGTTCTCTTTCTAAATACTTAATATATATATATATATATATATATATATATATATATATATATATATATATATATATATATATATATATATATATATATATAGATTACTTGTTCAATCTTGTTTTAAGGTAGATTTGTTCAAGAAAAGAACAGCAGAAGGATACTTGTACAAGCTACAATCTTGTTGAACAGTCCATCATTGCATGCATCTCCCCGAAACTGATTAGTTGACTTTCGAAACTTATATAAAAATCAGAACATATATTTTTCTTCTCCAATTTAAACCAAGGAGCATAGGCAATTAGGCATATGGCTATTCGTAACTTCTTCGTTTTCGTTTTCCTTTTCCTCTCTATAGTGCATGCTCAAAACAATTGTCCACCTTCCTACTGTAACAACAATAGCCAGGCCATAAGGTTCCCATTCTGGTTACAAGGTCGGCAACTGCCCTCAAACTGTCAACCAATTGGGTTCAACCTAAGTTGCAATGACCAGAGTAAAGCAATCTTAAACATTCCTCGTGCTGGAGATTTTTATGTAAGTTATATCAACTACAATCTTAACAGAATTACGCTCAGCGATCCCGATAATTGCCTCCCGAGGAAATTTTTGAGCTCGAATCTTTCGTATTCTCCGTTCATGGCTGTTTCCTATCAGAATTACACCTATCACAGCTGTCCTAAAGGCCTGGGTATTAATGATATATATATTGTTCATTGCCTCAGCAACGCCACCACCGATATCTCGGTTATAAAGAATGAGGTAGCTGCAGTGATATTACCCAATTGCAAGAAAATGGTCACGGTACCAATACCAGTTTCATATTTGTACGGGTATACGTTTCCAGTCAATTTGGTTCTAAGATGGGATGATGTCCCTGCAACTCCAACGGGTAAGGATCTTCTACTAATTTGCATTTCACATACCATTTATCGTGATCATTATTCATGAGGCTTTCGGTTGAGATTAAAAGTATCTGTCACAGTAATTGAATCAAAGTATTCTTGATGATGACAGCACAAATGCAGAATAAAGATTAACTACGAATATATGACGAGGAATGCTAATATATTCAGCAAGAGCAATATAATAAACACATTTGACAAAGCCAATGTCAACTAAACTTTATATTATCATATACTAACACGGTCAACCAAGGATACTTCTGCTCTATTTCCCACTTCCTTCATTGCTAAAATAAATGCAGGTGCAGAAAGTAAAGAAACTGTTTCTAGAAACGTTTCCTCGTCATTGCTCATAGGAGCCCTGATTGTACCGGTAGTGATAATAGGCACATCGTGCTGCATATGCATGATGTTATGCGGCAATCCTCGGGACAGTGGTTCAGACCAAACTTCCGGAACAGCTGGTTTATCAAACACGGTGACACCAGGGCTATCCACCATTGAAACCTACAAAAAGGTCACAATTGGTGAAAGTCGTCGGGTTGAAGGACCGAATGGTGTAACCTGTGCAATATGCCTAGCAGATTATGTTCCAAAGGACACAATAATGTTCCTACCTGAATGCCAACATTGTTTCCATGCTGAATGTATAGATCGGTGGCTAACCATCAAGGCTAAGTGTCCAATCTGCAGGACCTTGCAGGCTTAATGCTTCATTTGACACTTTGCATACTTCATTTGATATTCTCTCCATCGATTGCAGTTCCAGTGTGCATTTCATCTTCTTTACAGTCCCCGCTAAAAAAAGAAGCTGAATTCATTGTGATTGTGATTGTTGATTGTGATTGTGATTGTGATTGTGCATATCAGTCTTCATGGGCTTCTGCCTATCAAACTAAATTTCCACTCGAGGAGACAATGGTTTTGTTAGCTTTCCTGAAATATACATGCCATTCTATGATCTTTCAAAGGTGTAAATGTCAGTAGTCATTTTGATGGAATATTTATGTATTAATTAGTTAATCTGTATAATTGGAACTTGGATCTAAGCCAAAAAAATGTTCGGTGATGTTCACTATCTTTTGGAAAGTGCGAGACCTGTTCTTACCTTTACTGTAAGGCTGCAGTACGTAGTTTTCTTCTGCAAACCCCTCCTTCCTCATACAAATGCAAACATTAACAAGGCTAAACCCCCCTTTTACTCTTTCTCATTTTTCCAGAACTAGTCCAGGCAACCATTCTTGCTATTATCTTGTAAAAAGTAAACGAAAAAAGAAAAAATAAATAGATCAAATCAAAATCAACCAGATAACATTCAATATAAACTGTACAAGCAGTACAACAACTTATCCTATGGCAAATATGAATTCTCAGCAACACTTGAGGGGGATCTCGTATGGTAATGCATATCAAAGGCTTCAAATGATTAACTAAATACGAGGAAGCGCATTTTCTACAATAGCATGATCTCAAGGTGATTTTAGTAACATGTGAAAATAGCTATACTCTATTTCACATATGGTCAATTAGCTCAAAAGGATGAACCAAATTAGTCAGGTGTATCAGGCGATTCATCTCTTGGCAAATAGCTTCTTGGGAAGCATCTCTAATGGTGTGGTCTTGAGCAGGAAGAGCCTGGCTGCACGTTCTTCCAGGAGCACCCCCGCACTTCAATCCCTGAGCCTTCTGACTTCAACCTTTCCAAGCCAAGAACCTATAAATTATAATTGGTTATTGCTATATAATACGAGTGGCCAACACCCACAGTATGTAAAAATAAATAAATCATTGCCTAGGAAAGAGCACGACAAATTTTTGTATAAACCAGAAACCAACCTCTTATTCTGCTGCTGAATTATACTCATCAAAGTTTATGGGATTGTCCAAGTTTTGAAGATTTTCGGTCGCAGAAACTGATTCCTCCTGAACTGCTTCATGCATGCAACTATTTTCAACTTTTCTCTCTGCAGCTTTGTTCTCTGCACCAGAGATGCCAGGTTGCTGACTAACAATTTTATCCACTTTGCTGGAGTAAGATTTGTTGGGCACCTCTGAAACAACTTCACTATGGTCTATGTGTTTCTCAAGACTCTCTAGCACAGGATTATTCCTCCTTTTACTATTATACTATCATGGGCTCTTCCATCCAGACTTTTATCTGATTTTAAAGAAACTTCAGAAACAGTGTCTTCTTCCTCCGAGCCACTCCCTGAGATACCTCGACCTAAAGAACCAGCATTAAGTCTCCCACAAGTAATTGAACCTGAGCTTGCCTCTGCTTCTCTGCTTGATTCTGAATTACTTCCATTATCTATCACAACAGATTTCGCATTGTCCTTTTCTTCTTCTTCTTCATCACTATCATCCTCATTCAGGGCTTCACTGTCACTGTCACCCATGTTTCTCTTTCCCAGCCTGGAAAAAGAATTTAAGATAAATAAATGATGCATTCACCACATCTCTCACACATGCAACAAAGAACCAACAAATAACAATGAAAACTCCACTTGTAATACATCAAAGATAATTTGTTTGTCTTAACTAAGGAATTTTAAAAAGTATATACCATATCTTCAACAGCTCGGATGCCGACTCACTTCTCTCGGCTGGACCCTTCCTCTTCGAGCTCACCAATCATTCAATTGACTCTCGGACCGACCTCTGCACCTACTCCATACACTTGGCCGAATCCTCATTCCTCCCTGTACCTGGCCACATATTTTTCATCACTGTCACCTCCATTGCTCTTCCCACTCTTCGCAAGCTCTTTCGTCTTCTACTTAATGAAATCATCAGCCATCTTCTCCAACTTCATCTCCTCAGCCTCTGCACTCCACTCTTCCAACCTCTTCTCTGCGTTAACATGCCTCATCATCCCCCCATTCCTATCCCTACAAGCATCAAAATTATTCGTTTCCTTTTACCCAGCAATAACAGGAAAAACTTTCCTAATCCATCAAAATCCACTACGCTTTCAGCCGAAACTGTAGAATGTGATCCGACAAAGGCGCCACTGTGGCGGGATTCAGCAATAATTAGGGTTTTTGTTGGTCATGGAGGACCAAGGAGTTGTTGAATAAGAGGAGATGAAGGTGGGAGGGAATGGAGGTAAGGGTTTGGATGCGGTTTTTCAGGACGGAGACGGAGATTTGAGGGTGAGTCGAGATTCAATACTCTGTGATTTCCGTCGAGCAATTTCACAAACACCTGGTGAGTGATTTACTTCGACGGAGTATTTTTGGGCCGGAGTTTGGATCTTCGTTCCATGGATCTCGTTCTGAAATAGCCCAAACCAGTCTTTTGATGGATTCCGTTCGGCCCAAAAATAGCCCGACCCGACTCAATTCTAAACTCTGAATAATTTTCATAAAGACCCCAAATATTTAGACGAATATACGTTTTGGCCCTCAACATATATCCGAATCTCACTAGAACCCTAATAGAAACCAGTATCCTCGGAAGAATTTCGTCTACTTATTAATCTCTCTTGCTTTGCTAGCAAAACAATTCATCACCCAATGTTCAACAATTATCACAGTACACGCAATCAATCAACCTATTGAACGAAGGAATTTCAATCTACAATGAGGAAAAACGGAAGTGGAAGCAATGTTGCTGACAAGGGGCGGATCCTCCCGGCGGACCCGAATCTTCCGCGGTTCCTCTGCCAGAACTGCCGCCAAAGCCTCTGCATGTCTGGCGTCGATTCTTATGCCGGTAAATTCCTTTTCCTCAGGTCGCCGTTTTTTGATTTTTCGATTTTTTTGTTATTTTCCTCAACTGTTGAACTCTGTACATGAATCACTTGTGGCAAATTATAGCTGGTGTAATACTGTAACCTAATTGTTTAGTAGAATAGATTACGTAATTTCTCAAGGCAAAAATTGTAGAGTTCGCAAAGGTATTTGCTTTGAGTAATTGAGCTTTTGTTCGACTTAGATTGATTGAGCAATTTTTTTACTTTACTCCATGACATGTGAATAGTTGTTCCCTTGCTTCGTTTATATGGCATGATAATTATATGGTGGTGCATTATTTAATTGATGTTTTTCCTTGTTACCGTTGTCGTTTCGACTAGCTAGGCTGTATTGATCTTGTAGTTTATTCCCTCTTCAAGTAATTTCCTATTATGAACTTATGATCTCGTGTGGCTTTGATATAGTTTCAGAAGGTAATACATCCTTCTTGGTTTTTTTATTTTTGCGCAATTATCTTAAATTATAAATTTTGACCAAACTTAGTGTTTTTATGCTTTACCTTAAAGATAAAGAACATGAGAACCATTGAAACATCAGCAACCCAAGATAATTGGTTTACTATGAATTCAAGGGAAATACATGGTGCTTCTGCTGAATAATTCTGTGATTATAATGTGCAGGGATGCAAGGTTCTTCAATCCTTTCGACTGGTAGTGTTGTAGGTTCGTCAAGAATGGACCATTCTTATGTTGTGCTGCCAAAGCAAAGGAATCAGACGCCAGGAGTTCCGCCTCGCCCTCGAAGTGGAATGATTCAACCTGATGCTAGTCAGTCTGGGAAAGCAATAGACGAGTCATTCGTTGTATTACCTCCACCTGCTGCTTCGGTGTATAAATGTGAACCTGGAGCTGATGGAGGTGGGACCAATTTGCCATCATCTGAGGGTGGGCCCGCTAACTCTCCTGCACAACCTCACAACTCGGGCTTTGATTCGACCATAACAGTACTCAATCGTGCATTTGATATTGCCACAACACAGACACAGGTATAATCTGTTTGAATTCGTTTTTATTGTAGAAGATAAGTAGAGAACATCATCTATATATCTGTAAGTCATGCCATGTAATGGTCATTTTTTTTTACCTGTCCTTTATCCTCTATCAATCTTTTCTGCCAGGTTGAGCAGCCTCTGTGTCTTGAGTGCATGAGAGTTTTGTCTGATAAACTTGATAAGGAGGTTGAAGATGTGAACAAGGACATAAATGCGTATGAAGCCTGCCTTCAAAGTTTGGAAGGGGAAGCAAAAACTGTTCTTACTGAAGCTGAGTTTCTTAAGGAGAAATTGAAGGTGATTACTCCACAATCTCGTTTTAGCAGTTCATGTGTTGGGTATTTTCATAGTGAAGGTGTATTACAGTCAAGTTTTTGTTAATAATTCCTGATAATACATCATGTGGGGGTTCGATTTGATGATTCGGTTCCCTCTTTGGTTTGCTGAGCAGATATTTTATGCTCGAATGCATTTGATCAGAACTTAACTTTGTGTTTCATACTTATGCTCTATCTATAAATTCTATAATCATAATGAATTGCATTTTTATGTTTGATTTATTTACTGGCGCCGCAATTTAGTTCTGACATATATATTTAGGAATTTGAAGATTGACTTATTGTACTTGTTTGTCATGAAAGATAGAAGAAGAAGAGCGTAAACTTGAAGCAGCAATTGCAGAAACAGAGAAACAATGTGCAGAAGTAACTGCTGAACTAAAGGAAATGGACTTAAAGTCTGGCCGCTTTAAAGAGTTAGAAGAGCGGTAATCCCCAATGAACTTCATATCTTATTAGACACATGTGTATTCGAATTGTTTCTGGTGAAGTGTTCTGACAAGAATATGCTCTTTTAATTCATTCTTCTGGTTTTTGTTTATTTTAATAACTCTTCGATCAACGCTGAGCTTCAGATTTTTGGTCTAATTCGAAGTATTCTCTGTTCCAGATATTGGCAGGAGTTCAATAACTTCCAGTTTCAGTTGATTTCACATCAGGTTTGTTTCAGTGGCCCTTCTTTGAGCATCTTGCTTTTCTTATCGCTAGAGTACCACCACGAATCAGGCTAAATATTTTCTGAAGATAGTATCACATTTCTAGAATATGTACTGCCTTGAGGTCATTGTATGAGCCGTGATCATTAACATCCAAAGATATCAACAGTCTGTTCTTTGAAAACTATATATATATATATCAAAGTATTTTTTTTTCTCGGCAAAAAAAGATTACTATATAAGTATTTGACTAGAAATATAATGTCACAGGAAGAGCGGGATGCAATTCTCGCCAAGATTGAAGTCTCACAAGCTCATTTAGAGCTGTTGAAGCGTACAAATGTCTTAAACGACGCCTTCCCTATTTGGTACGATGGAGACTTTGGAACTATCAACAACTTCCGCCTGGGTAGACTTCCTAAAGTTCAGGTATATAAATTTTATGATGAATGACATGTTTGCAGCTATTACTTCTTTCTTTTAAGATTTGGCATTTGTTGTAACTGTGGAATTGCTTATTAGGTTGAGTGGGATGAGATAAATGCTGCATGGGGGCAAGCTTGTCTTCTCCTGCACACAATGGCTCAATACTTCCGTCCGAAGTTCCCGTATCCTTTTGTAGAACAAATATCTCTACTCTGTTTTTGAGCTCTTTGTTGTTAGATATTTTGCTTAGAGTCTCTACCCTTTTATACAATACTGCCTTGTGTAGTGATTGGGTACCCAATTGGTTTCCCACCAATCAACTGAGTTTGAGTTTTTATGTTAACTTTCTCTTCTTTTTTTCTTCCTTTGTTATGCTATTTTTTTTCCAACGCACAAACATAATTGTGAGAAGTGGTGTTTTCTGGATTTTAAATCTTGAACGTACAGAACTGAAACTAAAATGAATATACATTGTTAGGCTGTCCTTCGAACTTTTATTCCTTAATTAATTGGTTCCAGGTATCGCATCAAAATTCTTCCCATGGGAAGTTATCCTCGCATAATGGACAGCAGCAACACTACTTACGAGCTGTAAGTTGAAAACAATTATGTGCATTTTTATTCTCTGAATTTAACATTAATATGTAAATGCTGATGTAATCCAAGAAGTAAAACCTTAAACGAGCCTGCTATTACGGGATTGATAACCGAGAGTAATTATTGCTATTTGCCTCTATGAAAAACCAATTTCAAAGAGACTTGACGATATTCTTTGGACTGGACTGAACTCCAGTTACTTCAGTTTTGCTTAATGAAATCAAAATTCCTTCAATTCCATGTCTGTTGTATATTTGTGGGTGTATGAATTATAATTATTTGTTCATTTTTAACTTTGCTGTGTAGGCTGCAAATTTTGACTGGTCTCATTGCTCTGTAATTTTTTATTAAGCCTATTGTTATGATCCTGCTTGCATATTGACAGAAAGTGTTTATATTTCCCAGCTTTGGACCAGTGAACGTATTTTGGAGCACGCGTTATGACAAAGCAATGACATTGTTCTTAACCTGCCTAAAGGATTTTTCAGACTTTGCAAACTTGAAGGATAAAGAAAACAACATCCCTCCCGAGAGATGTTTTAAGCTTCCATACAAGTAAGTCGTATTGACATGTATAATATGCTCAGGTTATTTAAAGGTGATACCAATTTATCTTCTAATTATACGAAAACGCCAACAGTTCTTGTATTTGTCATCTTAAAGTATCGTATTTGTTCTTCCGATACCGGATCTTTTCTTAGGAATATTCTTTAATTGCATGAAGACAGTGTTTGTACATCTAGATTAGCTTTGTTTTTCATAGGATTCTCGATTCATGATATTTATAAATACCAATCTGTTTAGGGTTCTTGATTCTTACAAGCGTGTTATTTGCAGAATCGAGAACGACAAAGTGGAAGGTCACTCCATAACACAGAGCTTCAACAAACAAGAGAGTTGGACAAAAGCTCTAAAATACACCCTTTGCAATCTGAAATGGGCTCTCTACTGGTTTGTCGGCAACACAAATTTCCAGCCTCTTACAGCCACTAACGTTTCTCCACATCCCGAAGTATCTTCTGGCACAACATCTTTGTACAGTAAACGACCAATCGATACCAAGTTACAATCTTAGAACACTCTTCACTGCCCAGACAAGAAACAGAGTTTGAATTAATGTGGATTCAGAGCAACAAAAAGCTCATTGTATATAGTATGAAAACCATCACTAATACCAAGTTACAGTTTTACAATTCTATATATCCCCAGATTGTTGGTATTTTTTATGCCATTTTTTATTTTATTTTTTATTTTTTTATTTTTTTATTTTTTTAGATTCATTGAGGATGACCTTATCAAAAGAGATCATGCAACTATCTAAAAATGTCTAAAATAATTATTTGATATGCACCACCAGAAAACTTTCTTACAGCACATGTTCTTGCACACATCTCACAACCTAAAACAGCAACAAGAACATGCAGAAGTAACAACCACACAGACAAAATCATTATATATATACAACCCCCCCCCCCCCCCCCCTTCTTCCATATATCTATCTATTTTTCTTGCATATCAATTCTAATAAGAAAAAATGAGCCGTTTTGCAATCATCGTCGTTGTTTTCTTGCTCTTTGTCTCGAAACCAGCGCTATCGGTTCCTACATGCAAAGAAGTAGTCGCCGATATCGCTCCATGCATCGGCTACTTGCAAGGGAACGAGCCGACAGCTCAGTGCTGTGCTGGCATGAAGAAACTGAGCGGTTTGGTGAAAACGAAAAAGGATAGAGTTGCCTCTTGCAGCTGTGGGAAACAAGCACTTTCGAGTTTTAATTACGACGCGAGCCGCCTCCCTCTTCTTCCTCAGAAGTGCGGTGTGAATTTTAACATGCCTGCAATTGACAAGAACTTCGATTGTTCCAAGTAAACAACCACTTTCTTGATCTTAATTATTGTTTTTATTATTATTTTGTTTAAATTAATAATCGTCGATCGTGTTTTATTGGATATTGTGTGCAGGGCTTGAGTGAAGGTGTAATGGAGATCAAAATTAAGGGACTTTTGTACTAGGAAGGTGAATAAAGAAAGTTCCACTGTAATAAAAATTTGAGTTCTTGAAAAGTTGGGACTTGGTTTATTTTATGTACTGATCATATAAACTATTGAAATAAAGGGTTCTTGTGGAGGAATGATTGCTGTTTTGTTGGTTGTGTAATATTAAAAAAAAAAATTATTCACGCGCGAAAACACACACACCACACCCATGTTGGTGTGTGTAGATCAACGGGAAAAGGTTATGGAAAATGGGAACCAAAATCAATTAGAGAGAATTTGCTAAAATAAAATGGATGCTAACTTTTCGAAATTAGTCGAATAAACGAAGTTGACTGAAAGAATGGTTGGTAACGTTAGTTAATTACCTGAATAATTAGGAACATCAAATTCATTGAAATTTTGTCATATATTACAAGCACCTCCTTTAATTTGCAAAATTGAATTTAAATAAATGAAATAGTAGAGAAGAAAACTAACTAGATGAATTAATGTCTTTACATCAAATTGATGAAATGCTATGTAGGAGTACTGTAAATCTAGATTGCATAAATTCATACATCTCATTAATCACTTAGGCTTGGCCTACCTAAAAAGTGGTATTCGAGCCTTTTTCATAGGAGTTCGGTGAGAAATCGAAAGTTCCGATTCTCTTTGGTGCGTGTGTTGTAAGGCCAATTTAAAATAAAATAAATTTAAATAAATAAAAATTAAAACACACACACATAACACATTGTCATTATATTCCTGCTAAAGCAAACTCCATAGTCAAAAGAAGTTGTACGTGGTGGTTGGCTTGAAATAAGTTATAACTGAAATTTTATGTGTTTTGGCCACCAATATTCTTGAAAATTATCGAAATAATTTTCGACTCTTTACTATAAAGATGGCAATTTTGATGCTTTAAGTTTTGTGTGAAAAAAATTAAAATATAAGAGAGAGAGAGAGAGAGAGAGAGAGAGAGAGAGAGAGAGAGAGAGAGAGAGAGAGAGAGAGAGAGAGAGAGAGAGAGATGGCAGAAAGAAAGAAGTACATTGTAGAGATAGAGAATGCAAGAGAAGCAAAAGATGGGAAGCCATCGGTTGGGCCAGTTTACCGAAATGCCCTTGTCAAGGATGGATTCAGGCCTCTGCCTCAAGGTCTTCACAGCTGCTGGGATAGCTTCTGGTAAGGGACATTTTCGGTAATTCAAAGAAAAATATATGTTTTTTCTGAAAAATTATATTTCTTGAAAAAACTTGTCTGCTTTCTTATAGTCAAAGGTTTGATCTTTGTGTTAAAATCACTTATTAAAATTAATTTCTTGAAAATATGTTTGAAAACTTGTGGCCTGATTGCAGCCACTCTGTGGAGACATACCCCAATAACCGAATGCTCGGTGAGCGGGAAATGATAAACGGAAAGGTTCGATAATTCGTTTATTTTTATACCTTTTTATATTTTGTATACCTAAATTTTATTATATATATATATATACTAAAGTTAATTTATATATATATATACATACAGGCAGGTGGATATGTGTGGTTAACTTACAAACAAGTATACGAATTAGTCTTACAAGTCGGCGCTTCCATTCGCTCGTGTGGCGTTACGCAAGTAAGACTAATTACGCCCTACTTAATTCAAAAAAAAAAATAAAAATGAAAGATCATATATTTTGATCGGTGTATGATGGAATAATTATAGATTTAAGTTTCGATTCGTCTAGTAATCTTTTTTTTTTTTGCTTATATATAACACAGCGTGGACGATGCGGGATCTTCGGTGCAAATTGTTCACGGTGGGTTATAAGCATGCAGGCATGCAATGCTTATGGTGTCTACTGCGTACCGTTATACGACACTCTAGGTAAAAAAAAAAGTTCGTTTAAAAAAACCACGTTAAATAAGTTTTCGATCTTAGTTGCTGAAATTTTTACACGCATTTTTGCTGTTGTGTTTTAGGTGCTGATGCAGTGGAGTATATCATCTGCCATGCCGAGATTTCGATTGTTTTCGTCGAAGAAACTAAAATTTCCGAGGTGATAAAATAATATTACTTCATTATTATTGGATTCTTGATTTTCTTACAACTGACTATCTTAACAGTTAACTGTCTTAATCTTAACCATCAATAATTAATACAGGTCTTAAAAACATTTCCAAGTACTGAAAAACACTTGAAGAGTAAGTTGTCTTTTATTTATTTTCTTTAATTTTTTATTTTTTTTGGGTAAAAAAAATAAATTTTCTAATATAATTTTACAGCTATTGTAAGTTTTGGAGAGGTTACACCAGAACAAAAGCATGTGGCTGGAAATTTTGGCTCAGAAATATATTCTTGGAATGAGTTTTTGCTTCTAGTAAGTTCCGTTTAACTTGTTCTAGAAGCTTCTTTTACCGAAAATTACGTTTTTACCGTTTAAAATTCCTCGTTTTTTCGATTACAGGGAAAGACGAGTCAATTCGAAATCCCAATGAAGAACATGTCAGATATTTGTACAATAATGTACACGAGTGGTACAACGGGCGATCCAAAGGGAGTAGTGATAACAAACGAGAGCATTCTTTCGGTTATATTTAGCGTTAATCATCATCTCGAAAGCATGAACGAAGAGGTGAAAAAAAATTCTTATTACACAATATAAATATTTTTTTAAGTAATCATATGTTTTATTTACAATGGCAGTTTACTGAGGCGGATGTGTACTATTCCTTTCTCCCGTTAGCTCATATATTCGATCGGGCCTTCGAAGAAATGTTCATTTCAAAAGGGGCTTCGATTGGATTTTGGCAAAAGGTAACGAAAAAGTTCGAAATTAAGAGATTAAAAGTTTGTTTTTTAATTTAATATTTATTCTTCAGGACATAAAACGATTGCTCGACGATATCAAAGAGCTAAAACCAACGGTATTTTGTGCTGTTCCTCGTGTTTTAGACAGGATATATTCAGGTTGTTCTTTTTTTTTTTGCAAGAATTATAATATGATACAAAATGAATACAAAAATAATAAAATAAATATGTAAAATCTGCAAAAAAAAAAATTAAAAAAAAAATCAGGTTTGCTGGAAAAGATTTCTTCAGGTGGTATTATCAGAAATGCAGTTTTCAATGCTGCATATTACTAGTAAGTGTTGTTTTAATTTCATCTCTAATTTAAATACAATGTAAAAAAAAAAAAATAGATTTTTCTAGTGTGAAAATCGACGAAAATTGCATTCGAAAATTCGCAGCAAATTACGTAACATGAGTAAAGGCTATAGCCATGCAGAGGCAGCTCCATTACTTGACAAACTTGTTTTCGACAAGGTAATGAATCGTTTGTTTTCCAAGAAAGAGTTATCGACACTAAACCTCGAATTCTTACGTGCTTTTTTATTTTCATTTTTTTTTTTAAATATTAGGTGAAAGAAGGGCTGGGAGGGAATCTTCGTCTGATCCTCTCGGGAGCAGCTCCTCTTTCTTCAAGTGTCGAAACATTTTTACGCGTGGTGACGTGTGCTCATGTTCTACAAGGATACGGTACTACTCTTAGGCCTCGTTTGGTTAATTATCGGGAAATTTTGTCCCAACTATTCAATCGGACTCTAAAAAAGTGTGGCAACCAAACAAGGCCCTGACGCTGTTTCAATTTACTGCAGGTTTAACCGAAACATGTGCAGGATCGTTCGTTGCACTGCCAGACGAGCTAACGATGATCGGTACAGTGGGGCCCCCATTGCCGGGTATCGATATATGCTTGGAATCTGTTCCCGATATGGGGTACGACGCCCTTTCGGTTACCCCTCGTGGGGAAATATGTGTCAGGGGTAAATCCGTCTTTTCGGGTTACTACAAACGCGATGATCTCACTAAAGAGGTGGTGATTGATGAATGGTTTCACACAGGTATTATTTCTTTGTAATAACTAATCTTTTAACACTTCATATCTCAGTTTCTTGATTCTGTTCCCTTCTTGAAAACAGGGGATGTTTAAAAAAAGTTTAAATTACGGCCAACCCCTGAGGTAAGGTTAAATTACGAAAAAACCCCTCATGTTTAAGTAATTACAACCACTTACCTCAACTATGAATCTTCTTACACGTCCACCCTTGTAGTGTCAAATTTAGTGGAATCTTCTAGATTACGTGGAATATTCTCCAGTTTGTACCCGTTTTACCCCATTCGAGCTCCACATTTTGAAATAAGATGATCTTAAGATGTGTCTCTTGGCTTGTAAATATCATATTGTGGTGCATCCGAAATTGCATTTTTTTGGCACAAAACGAGTACAAAGTAGAGAACATTCCACGGTATTTAGAAGATTTTGTTGAATTTGACACCATAAGGGTGGACGTGTAAGAAGATTCATAGTTGATTGACGGGGTTGATTGTAATTACCCAAACATGAGGGGATTTCGTAATTTAACATTAACTCAGGGGGTGACCGTAATGTACCGTTTAAAAAATGATTCTTGAAAACAGGGGATATTTATAAAACTGGTTTTCTTTTATTCTTGAAAAAACAGGGGATATTGGTGAATGGCAGCAAAATGGGAGCATGAAAATCATTGACAGAAAAAAGAACATTTTCAAGCTTTCACAGGGAGAATACGTTTCCGTCGAAAATCTCGAGAGCATTTACTCCCTCGCCTATTGCGTCGATGCGGTTAGTTTTCACCGCAAAACACACACACACATACATGCGGATGCGTGCATATAATATATCTATACTATATTGTTCTATTTCAGATATGGATTTATGGCAGCAGCTACGAGTCCTTTCTCGTTTCTGTAATAAACCCGAACATCGAATCTCTTCATCGATGGGCTGAAGCGAACCAAATTTTCGGAGATATTGGTACCATTTGTGAAGATCAAAGAGCAAGAAAATACATTCTTGGAGAATTAACAAAGATCGGTAAAGAAAAGAAGGTATACTGTACTGTTTTTGTTGATTCAATGCAATTCTAAAATTTCCGACACGGGTTACAAAATTTCGAGGTTGATTTAATGTTGTCGACAGTTGAAGGGATTTGAGTTCATCAAAGCCGTTCATCTCGACCCTACACCGTTCGACATGGAACGTGATCTTATCACACCAACTTACAAGAAGAAAAGGAACTGTTTTTATAAATATTATCAGGTTTGTCCGAATAAATCTCCGATTTTTCGAAATAAAATATCATATTCAGACACGTGACAAATGAAATTCATGTCTTAACTGCAGATTGCCGTCGAAGATATGTACAAGAGCACCAAATGAATCGAATGATGGGTACTAAATAACAACTATAATTACGATGAATGTAAGATTTTTTAACGGTTTTATAAGTTTTATTATTTCATTTTGTCCTAAATTCAGACAACATCAATATCATAAATGCAAGAACGTTATCCTTGTCAAGAAACGAACCGAATCAATATCCAAAGTACGAATAATTTATTACTCGAGTCAAGAAAAATACAAACACAGCATGACAAGATCTTGCTTTTCAAAGATGCCATCATTTGCTATATATCGAAATTAGGAGTAAAATAAAAAACGAGGTTTCCGTAACTGCTTCTAACAAACAACAAGAGATCGAACTATGTTATCTGAGAAAAAAACCTCTGTTGTCTAAACACTGATGTTAACTAGGCCTTCATCACATAGCCTAATATATATAGAGAGATAAGCTGATTTTTGCTTCTTCAATAAATTTTTTTATTTTCTTTTTAAATCACCTCAATCTAGACTAGTTTCGACAAACTTGATGAAGGGTGAAATCGTCTCTCACCTTTGGGATCTAGGACTTCTCTTCATCCGACAGCTGGCATGGCCCCGGAACAGAATCTGAATCGACAAAGAACTCTTCTACAAGACAAATAATATTCAGACAAACATTTGGAAAGACCAAAATTAATTGAAATTTAGAAAATGCAAATCGTCGTTCTTACCTATATCCTCTTGTTCGGGAGAATCGAGTAGAATATCTGAATCAGACGGCAAAATAGGAGAACCGGGATAGTTTCCAAGAGCTCCTAAATCTGCATATATGTTTTTTTCACCAATTAAAATATATTTATTTTGCCATAAAAAATGACAAAAAAAAAACTAATTAAAATATTTAATTATCTATTGTAGAATTGTTAAGATTGAATCAAACGGAACCTGTAAACAGATAAATATTACTTCTGGAAATGCTATACCATAATCGGTTGATATCTATACGTAGAACTCGTAAAATCCAACTTTCTCAACAGAATTTAAACGAAAAAGAGAAAAAAAATTAATTTTGAATTACCTCCCAAGTTGGATAAATCTGCTGTTAAGTCCGAAAGGCTAAAATTCCAAGGAATCTGAGCCAAGGATCTAAGGGAATCTCTCGAATTTCCGACTCCATTATCCGGTGGAAGCTGTAGCCCTACCGAACTCGCCACGTCAGATGTAAAAGCCGTGTCGAGCCCTGAAGCATCGACCCCAATGCCTGATATATCCGATGCACTAAACGGAAAATGTCCGCTCGAAGCCACTGATGTGGGGCTCACAGGCATATCAGACATTGATGACATGGCGTTATTCTGTGCCATAATCGGTGACACGTCAGCTCCACTAGTGTCGATCATCATACTGCAGAAGAAAAAACAGGATGATGAATATCAAGATTCGATTTTTAAACAGGATGAAAATCAAGATTCGATTTTTTTTACATAATCCTAAATAAAAATCTGATCTTTACTATAGTGAATAAGAGGGACTGGATTCCTTACTCGTGACCGGAATTGATGCGCATAGGATGAAAATTGCCTGGAGCGGGAATACCATTCACGATGTGACAGCTGGCAGTCGAATATCCCATGGGGTCCATGTGAGGTTGTCCTGTGGCAGGCATGTGAGGGTGCTGCATAACGGGGTATCCCATCGGTAAATTGTTGACTGCACTGCAAAGAAGTGACGCTGAATAATGATTGATAAAATAAACATCGCAACTTTTTTTTTCTTTTCTTACATGCTACTTTATTATAATTGAAAATCGAAAAATCGAAACGAAAAACGAAGATTTACCAGGCATTGGATGAATTCCATTCTGCATGGGAACTAACGGAACCTTAGGCGGCGCGGGATACTTCATTAGATGATATTGATGCTCGATCAAGTGGTTGAACAAAATAATTTGTTTCTTCAATTTTAGCCTTATGTAGTACGCCCTGAAGAAATCGGCATTTTCTTCCTCTAACTTCTGCCATACTGTCGAGAAAGAACAATCATTTCCACCATAAATAATTAAAATTAAAGTATCTACTATCGTACATTACTTCGATTAGTATCTTGAAGTTGCGTACCTAACGTTGTGAAACCAGGATCTATTCTAGCTCGATTCAGTAGGGTCTTAACCACCTCGTCTCTATTCATATACAACTGTAGACACCGTTCGATCAAATTCTGAACCTACAGCAGATTAAAACCAACAAATCAATACACAGAACTGCAGCCTAAAATTTATTAAATAGATATTGCATAAGAGAAAAATAGTAGCCTCACGAGTTCGATATCTTCACGGGATACTTTTCTGTTGTCATTGCTCGATACCGAAACTGAACCCGAGTCCTGTATAAAAGTCTCGGTGCCATTATTCGGCAGCTCGTTTTGCGAATCATGTATAATGTTAGGCTTTACGTCCGGTGAGTTTTGCTTATCCTGTATAACAAACATCCTTCAAGTCAATCATCAGGGAAGAACAATATACTGAAATTTGACATAAGAATATTCCGAAGAGAATTTTTTTCGGGTGAGGTTATATTAAGACAAAAAGATGAGCTTTAAACCTAAGAGTTTCGACCTGCACTTTCTTCATTTTAGCTAAAAGCGAGCTGGTATTGGTTCTCCATAAAGCTCAATCGTATCGCTTACAAGTCTCCACTTTTAAATAAACGAAGAACAACAAGCAAGATATGAAGCTCTTCGCCACCTGTGACAGAAAAACCGGTGTTATTCAGATTTTATTATTGACAGATTTTACTATACTTCCAAAGACTACTGAACTCAAATTAATCAGATTTTATTATTGACAGAATAGGAAATAATTAGAGCCAATAAAATAAATAAGGTGACATAATTAAATCAAATTCTACAGGGACTTCCTATAATTTAAATTACCAAGATTCGATTTTTTTATTCCAATATGCTTCTTGATAAAAATAAGAACACAGATTCAGCACATTCAAAACCAAGATTCCATTTTTATTTTCCCAATATTCTCTTACATGTATAAATAAGCTAAATCTGGCAATCTTTTTGTATGCTGTTCATAGTCACGTTCAAAATCTCCCTCCATGCTTTTCATTTGTCACTCAAAATTAAAATATTCATCAAAATCAGCAGCTCCCATATACAAATAATTTAATATAGAAAAGATCTGGAGAATCTAAAGCAGTACAATCATCAACATATACTATAGACCCACTTAAAAGATACTCTGAAATAATCAAGAAAAGAAAGAGAAAAAAAATTGAGTACCTTTTCGAATCAGCTTTCAACTTCAAATGTCAAAAAGGTCCAAACTTTACTATTATATCGACAAATTAATCAGACCCGGATGAGCAAAATCAGCAGATTTAAACCAGAGATTAACAAAAAGGTGAAAGAAAAAAAAATGAAAAAAATAAAAATTTAGTCTTGAATTCAAGAACTCTTATTTTGAGGTGAAGTTGCACTGTAAATCAAGAACTCTTGTGTTTGATTATAATCAAGAAAGTTATGGTTGGTTATAGAATCATGGAGGATTTGCCCTTTTGGTGGAAAATGGTGCGTGTGTTGAATCTTGTGAGGGGTTTTATTGTGGTTTAGTTGTTGTTGTCACGGAGGAGTGTGTGTATTTATGTGTGTGTATTTGTGTGTGTGTGGAAAGTGAAAGAGGAAAGAAGAAGAAAAAAATCTGTACTGTGGTGACCAAACAACACTCTTCTGTTTGATTGAGTTCTTGTTTTTCCCTTTGAAATAAAATGGAAATGTTTTCTCCTTTGTCATGAAACAATCTCTCTTTGTTTATTTATTGCCACCATTAAAAATAGTAACTATTAGTTAATTCACGGTAGAAATCGGATGGATCGGATTGAAATTTTAGTATTTTCGGAATAAAATCCATTTTTTTTGGAGTGGAAGACAAATTTCAATTCATTTTACAAAATCAGATTTTTTGTCCCTAGAATTAGAATTTGGTAAAAAAAAACATTGAAAGTTTTTGGATTGAACTTAATGGAATTCGAATGTTTTGTTCTTTGAATTTTTAATATAAAATAAATAACAATATTGATATTATAAGTGCAATTTTCCAAAAAAAAAAAACAAATGCTAATGTTTAGTGTCAATCATTGATGTATGAAACATAATTTTGAAAAAAAGGTTAACAATCTACATAATCAAGAAAGGTAGGTTAAAAAGTCATGTTGCACCAAATAAAGAGGGAAAGTTAAATTGAAGAAAAAAATAAATAAATAAAAAGTCCCTTTTTAGATTTAAAGAAAAATGTATTGATTGGTTGGTAAAATTAGGCAAAAATAATTAACATTTATACCTTATTTTTATATTATGTTTTGTCCGATAATTTTTCGGGTCGATCCGCCACCACGAATTGAATTCTCGAAGATTTGTACAACAATGAATTATTTTTTTTGAGAAATATAATAATGAATTATTATTAATCATTGTTTGGCAATTAAACAAAGCCAGATAGATGTTTGGAAAGTTGGCATAATTTCTTTAAACATTTATATAATAATGGGAGGAGTTTCATTATTGAAGAAAAAGATTATTTTTAATTTTATTTTTAGTATAAGAAAAAGATTAGTTAAAATAATTGTAAATTGAAATTGAATTTTGAGGGGTCTAAGAAAATGACTTTTTTAGTGCAGCCTGTAAATGCAACCTCCAATTTGTTTCTTGTTTCTTCTTCATATATATAAATAAAATAATATTCTCCCCCTTTCACAATATTCTTTATTAATTTCTTTAATAATAATAATTTATTTTATTATTCTGTTCAAAAAACAATTTATTTTATTATTTAAAACTTAAAAAAAGGGCCCCACATCGACTGTGGTCCCACACCCTAGATCTTCTTCACCTTCCAATTAAGAGACCCATGCAACCTGGACCACTGCACTTAATCATAGTGTATATATTTATTTATTTACTTAATATATATATATATATATAAAAAGAAATTGTAAAACTATATGATTAAAAGTAGTCAATATTGTTACCAATTAAGAACAAGCTTAAAAATAGTCAATATTGATCGTTAATCGTTTGACAATTTTGGCAAATATGTATATTCATTAGTCAAGGCTGTTTATAATTTATATATATATATATATATATATATATGATGATGCTAAAATGTAGCTCACCTAGGGTGGTGTAGAAAATGAACTGGGAGAGCAAAGCAGATCAGTAGCTTGACAACTTGATGATCCTGAGGTACCTGCGATCATAGAACACATAAACTAGGCCGGGGGTTGATCCGGCGGAAACCCCTCCGACGCTCAAGTCAGACGTGCTGATCATGGAATTAGTCCAGAGAATACGTATTGTAGTATTGCTCAGTTAATAGGACGTACCTTAATAAAATGAGTAAAACCTCTATTTATATGTCGTTTATTGGGTTGGGTTTGCTTTGTTGGGCCCAAGCCTTACTTGAAGGTGTTTGGGCCTCGGTGATATTGGTCTTCAATATTGGGCTCGTGGCCCAGTAGGTAAATAACTTGTAGGCCCATTGGGTTGGCCCAATTAGGCATATCATTAAGCCCCCCACTCTCGAGTCGATGTGGGGGCCATGTCGAAATGGGTTCTCAATCGTGCCGAGAGTGAAAATTGTAGTGTTTGTTCTTTGGCATATGGCCTGATGGTGTGCGAAAATGCATTGGAGCGTGTGTCGGAGGGGCGTGAATGCGCATTGGCGCGTAGCGCGACTAAGTTGTCGCTATGTAAGTTATTTGAGTCGTCGGTGTTGTCCCGCGACGATGTAGTAGCGAATTGTCTCCTCGTGGGAGTTGTCTCGTCGCGGGGTAATATGGTTGATCGAGTTATCTCCTCGTGGGAGTTGTTTCGCGATAATGTGGTAGCACGGATCAAGTAATCTCCTCGTGGGAGTTGTCTCGTCATGGGATAATAGAGTTGATCGAGTTATCTCCTCGTGGGAGTTGTCTCGTGATAATGTAGTAGCACGGAGCTAGTATTCTCCTCGTGGGAGTTGTTATTTATTGACATTGTCAATGTTTTGACGCGTTGCTTGTATGTGTTTACATATAGCCTTGTGCGTGATGTACTTGAGGAGGGGATCAGGCTCTCAAGGGTTTTTTTTTATGGGGATCGTGCCCCTTGTTAGACCTCGTGGGTCGTAAGTATGTTTGGACCGTGGCCACGTTTTAATGAAGGACCCATCGAAAACAAGTAGATAAATTTTGAGTAATCAAGCTGGCCAGGCTATATAGATTCTCATAATATCTCTAAGTGTTTCTAGGGTTGTAATCGTGCTAACTTGAGCTTGCGATTATGTAGTGCATTGCGAGCGAGTTGTCTCTTCAAGAGAGTTGTCTTGCAGCGAAGTTGTAGGAGCATTGGATGATGCGCGATTTAGGTGCGTGTGGATTGAGGTTGCTCTGAGCGAGTTGTCTCCTCGTGGGAGTTGTTTCGCAGCGAGTCTTATTATCGAGCGAGGTGGTTGCACGTGGGAGTTGCCTTGCAACGGATTTGTAGTATCGAGCGAGTTAGCTCCTCGTGGGAGTTGTCCCGCTGCGGGTTGGGGTACCGAGCGAGTTGGCTCCTCGTGGGAGTAATCTCGTTGCGGGTCATAGGATGGAGCGAGTGGTTTCCTCGTAGGAGTTATCTCGCTGTGGGTTCGTAGGACCGAGTGAGTTGGCTCCTCGTGGGAGTTTCCTCGCTCCGGGTCGTAGGATGGAGCGAGTGGTCTCCTCGTAGGAGTTATCTCGCTGTGGGTTCGTAGGACCGAGCGAGTTGGCTCCTCGTGGGAGTTTCCTCGCTGCGGGTCGTAGGATGGAGCGAGTGGTCTCCTCGTAGGAGTTATCTCGCTGTGGGTTCGTAGGACCGAGCGAGTTGGCTCCTCGTAGGAGTTTCCTCGCTGCGGGTCGTAGGATGGAGCGAGTGGTCTCCTTGTACGAGTTATCTCGCTGTGGGTTCTTAGACCCGAGGGAGTTGACTCCTCGTGGGAGTTGCCTCGCAACGGGTTATATGACTGAGCAAGTTATCTCCTCGCGGGAGTTATCTTGCCGCCGGTTGTAGTACCGAGCGAGTTGGCTCCTCGTGGGAGTTGTCTCGCTACGAGTTGTAGTATTGGGCGAGTTGGCTCCTCTTGGGAGTTGTCTCGCTGCGAATTATGGGACAGAGCGAGTGGTCTTCTCGTGAGAGTTATCTCGCTGTGGTTATGAGACCCGAGGGAGTTGGCTCCTCGTGGGAGTTATCTCACAACGGGTTATAAGACGGAGCGAGTGGTCTCCTCGGGGGAGTTATCTCGCTATAATTTCGTAGACCCGAGGGAGTTGGCTCCTCGTGGGAGTTGTCTCGCTGCGGGTTGTAAGACGGAGCGAGTGGTCTCCTCGGGGGAGTTATCTCGCTATAATTTCGTAGACCCTAGGGAGTTGGCTCCTCGTGGGAGTTGTCTCGCTGCAGGTGGTAGTACTGAGCGAGTTGGCTCCTCGTGGAAGTTGTCTCGCAAGCCCCCCACTCTCGAGACGATGTGGGAGCCAAGTCGAAAGGGGTGCCGGATCGTATTGAGAGTAGATCGGTGCTGTAGTCTTGCGTTAATCGTTGGCATGGCGTGGAGAAATAATTTTTTTTTTTTTTTGATAACGAACGTTATTTGGTAGGTGCATTAAAGAGCTCGCGGAATTTGGTGGTGCGCGTTGAAATTCTCGTGCGATTTGGAGAAGCGAGTCAAAATCTACGCGCAATTTGGTGGAGGGCGGTGAAAGTTGAGTCCAATTATATGGGAGCGCGCTCTCCAAGGAGGCCTTGGGAGGCGCGCGCGCGTGCATGGGGAGGCGCGCGCGCGTGCGTGGGAAGGCGCGCGCGCGTAAGTACTTTTTCCTTCATCATTTTCTTTTTTCTTCTATTTTTTCCTCTTCTTTTTTCTTCTCTTTTTTCATCATCTTCTTTATTTGGTTGATATTCATCCCCTTGGGGATGTTTTATTTTTTGAGTAGGGAGATTATCCTCGTTCCTTGAGATGGGATGTGCCCTCTTGGGGATGTTCTATTTTTTGAGAAGGGAGATTATCCTCGTTCTTTGAGATGGGATGTGCACCCCCTTGGGGATGTTCTATTTTTTTAGTAGGGAGATTATCCTCGTTCCTTGAGGTGGGATTTGAATCCACTTAGGATGATGCCCAACCTTAGGATGGGGATAACTGCCCACTGTAGGTTGAGGCGCTCGAGACCTATGGTCTAAGGTGGATGCGCACGGTTGTGCCATTGGTTCGCGCGTGCGCGTTTGACCCTTTTTTCTGTTTTTGAAGTAGGGACGTGAAACATTTGATGGGATGTGCTTGGGGTTGAAAGGTAAGAGGATGTACCACCATTGAGATGAGATGCCTAACTTTAGGATGTGATAGCCCCCCATTTAGGATGAGGCAATCACGAACATCTGGGGTGAGATGCCCAACCTTGGCGATATATGGTGCCACTGATTCAGTGGCAATACGAGTTGAATCTTCCGTGATCTTACGCTGAAGGTCTTCTTCGGTTATCTGAACCGTTCGAGAAATAAGTAGAAATTGATCATGTTGAGGACCCAGTGGGGCCTCACGAGGAGGAGCGTTGGCTCCTGCTATGACGAACGAAATATTTTGGGGGCGATGTGAACCCCCAGGGAGTCGATAACCCTTGGCGAACGAAATATTTTGGGGGCAGATGTAAGCCCCCAGGGAGTCGATAACCCTTGGCGAACGAAATATTTTGGGGGCAGATGTAGGCCCCTAGGGAGTCGATAACCCTTGGCGAACGAAATATTTTGGGGGCAGATGTAGGCCCCCAGGGAGTCGATAACCCTTGGCGAACGAAATATTTTGGGGGCAGATGTAGGCCCCCAGGGAGTCGATAACCCTTGGCGACCGAAATATTTGATGCTAAAATGTAGCTCACCTAGGGTGGTGTAGAAAATGAACTGGGAGAGCAAAGCAGATCAGTAGCTTGACAACTTGATGATCCTGAGGTACCTGCGATCATAGAACACATAAACTAGGCCGGGGGTTGATCCGGCGGAAACCCCTCCGACGCTCAAGTCAGACGTGCTGATCATGGAATTAGTCCAGAGAATACGTATTGTAGTATTGCTCAGTTAATAGGACGTACCTTAATAAAATGAGTAAAACCTCTATTTATATGTCGTTTATTGGGTTGGGTTTGCTTTGTTGGGCCCAAGCCTTACTTGAAGGTGTTTGGGCCTCGGTGATATTGGTCTTCAATATTGGGCTCGTGGCCCAGTAGGTAAATAACTTGTAGGCCCATTGGGTTGGCCCAATTAGGCATATCAATATATATATATATATATATATATATATATATATATATATATATATATATATATATATATATATATATATACACACAAACATATGTAGTTATACTCAATAGTGCATATATTAAAAAAAAAACATATTTTGCAATTGAATGAAGTTCGTAATAGCAAGATCTATAAAAGAATATATTTAAATTTAAATACGATGATTGATATAATTATTTGGGCTCGTCTCAATAGGTCTGGTAGTTATAATCGACATTAAGTAATTTAAGAAGACCCAAAATACAACTCATCTACAAATAATTTAGTTAACGAATTTTTCTAGGAAACAATCGATGGGCCAATTTTATTAGTTTAATGTTACAAGCCCAATTTTCCGTTTTATCGTTGATTAATAAACTTTTGGTTGTGATTTATTTAATTAATGAGCTGATAATTATTTGAATATTAGAGATTTTTTTTTATATATATATTTGTGTGATGAAGAAGTTGAGGTAGCAAATTATCTTTGCTTTTTGTCTTATTTGTCTTTTATTATGTGGTGTAATCATCTTTAAAAGTGGTTTAATTTTGTTTACAACTTTTAACCACTAATAATCACTCCCCCTCAACACCAAATTAACACCATAAGAAAGTATATAATTTTCTATATATAATATATATACTTATTTATTTATTACTAGTGAGCACATATTTTTTTAATTTTTTATTAGTAAATAATAATAATAAAATCAATTAAATTAATTTTAAATTAAGTGAGGTAACACTTGTAAATAATTTGGTATGTAGCACACACCAACCAATGAAAGTGTCTATCCTGACAACACTTGTCAATTTTGACCGACCCGTCACGGTCGGGCTGCCCATATCCACGTGTCACTCTAATAGTGGTGCATCGTGGCTGGCAGCTCACCACCCTTCCCTCCAATTCATGAGTCTTTCATTTTTTTTCTAATTATAATATTTTAATTATAAATTTGTCTCTTAATTATTAATTGCCTTTTTTTTTTGTGAATAATTATTAATTGTCTTTAATTATATATTTTTAGGGTGTATGATTTATTACATTATTTTAGGACTTAAAAAATTGAAAAATGTATTTATTTGAATTTTAAAAATCATTAACTAAGACCCCACAAACAGTGTACTGGGCTGGATATTGGGCCACTGCACTCTCCAAAGTCAAGTCCCAAAATGGACTTTTGAGTTTAAGGGCAAGTTTGGCTAAATTTATTTTAAACTGCTAATAAGCTCTTATGTCTAATAAATTATTTTCAGAGCTTATAAGTTGTTATAAATTATTTTTAGTATTAATTTTTAAAGTGTTTAAATAATGAACATAGCTATAACCTTGTTTTACTCGTTACAAGTTCTTAAATAAAAAGTTGGAGTATAAGTTTTTTTTTTTTAAATGTTATTTGCTCTTCAAAAATTCATTTAAAAATGTATTTTTAGAAAAATTACAAATACTTCGGAATAGCTTATAACCTCTTAAAAGCTTTTTTTAACAGCTTATAAGTTTAACCAAACACTTTGAAATGATCTCCGATTTATCTTGATAACATAAATTTCAATTTGGCAACTTAAAGTATTGGAAAAAATATATAGTTTTCTTTTAAACGCGTTGAGATTTGAAAAAATATGACGGCGGAATTCGAACGCAAAAGTGATAGGGATGCTTTTGTATTCGATAATTAGGTGTGAGATATGGAATTATGATGCATGTGATGGGGTCAAGATAATTAATTTGAATAGACTATGTAAAGATCAATATATGAACCTAGTATTTTCAGTCTTTCAAATAATTCAAATCATTTTATTTCTATTTATATTTTTTAATAGCCAATTGTTATTCTTACACCAAAGCTATGGGGAAAAAATAAATATCTTCTTTGACCCTACACAAAAATCACCTCTCACCCACCTCCCCTTTTAAATTATTATTTAATGTTTTACGGCTACCCCAAGGTAATGCTAAATTACAAAAGAGTTCCTCATATTTGGGTAATTACATTCATCCCTCAACTATGATTTTTTTTACACGTTCACCCTTGTGGCGTCTAATTTAGAGGAATCTTTTGAATTATGTAGAATATTCTCCAATTTGTACCCTTTTTATCCTATTCCAACTCCACATTTTGAAACAAGATAATCATAAGATGTGTCTTTTGGCATGTAAATATCAGATTGTGGTGAATCGGAAACCAATTTTTTGCAAAAAAAACGGTTACAGGATGAAGAATATTCCACTAAATTTAACACCGCTGGGATGAACATGTAAGAAGACTCGTAGTTGGGAGATGGGTGTATTTAATCAAATAAGAGGAATTTTTTCGCAAGGTTGCCATAATTCATAAAAATTAAAAGTACCAGAGGCCCATTCACCTTCAGACCGAATACTGAAAGCCCAAAATAGGCCCATTTTCTGATAAAAAAAAGCCCGAAGCCCAAATAAGAGAATAACCTAGCTGTTAGTTAACGGCGCCGTTTAGACGGCCCGACAAGCCGTCGTCAAGAAAGCTTAAACCCCTCCATTTCTTTATCCTTTGTAAATGAGAGCTTAAACCCTATCTATCTCATTCGTTCCTACTCGAAGGAAACATCTTCCCACGTTCCCCATTATACCCTTCCCGTTACTCACAATTCTCATATAATGCCATCCACGCTTTCCCCTTTTCACCCAATTCTCAGACCCATTTTTTCAGGAGTCCTCCCCCAGAAACTGCGCTACCATTTCCTGGCCACCCGCAATTTGCAGAGAAGCTTGCTTTTGACCCGAGCCGAATCCCTAATTCCGGCTCCGTTAGGTAACAGCAGCTTTTCGACCCGTTCGGGGCGAGAATCAATCGGGTCGGGTTTCGGTCAGGGCGTGCGGGCAGGGTCGTCTTCTTCGTCCAAGAGTTTGATTGACGACGAGGCCGATTTGAGCGACTGGGTTAGTGGGCTCAATTCAAAGTCATTCATGAAGACGCGCGTGTACAGCGAGAGCGAGAGGGAGGATGATGACAGAGGTAACGGTGGGAAGAGGAGGAGGGATAGCGAATCTGAAAAAGATTCCGACTTTTCGAGTAGGAGAGGCAGCAGAGGGTGGGATCCGCGGTGGGGGCGATTACAAGTTTCCTAGTAGAGGTGGTGGTGGTTGGGGGCGGGGGTCGAGTGATTTTGGATCTTCTAGTATGCGTGGGAGTAGGGGTGGTGGGCGAAGTGATTTTGGAAGTAGGGGTGGTGGTAGGGGTGGGGGGCGGGGGTCGAGTGATTTTGGATCCTCTAGTAGGGGTGGGGGGCGGGGTGAATATGGAGGATATTCTAGTAGGGGGCGTGGGGGTGGAGGGAGAGGCGGTGGTCGTAGCTCGGGTGATTACGAGTCTAGTGGCAGTGTGTTTGGGGGAAGAGGTAGGGATTCGACTGAAGTAGGGAGGGGCGGGAGGTTTGGGGGTTCGTTTGACGAGAGGAGAGGGAGTAGCGATGGTGGTTCTTTGAGCGGCAGGGGAAACGGGAGGGGTAGAGGGGGTTCTAGAGGCGGTGCTAGAGGTGGTTTGGCAACGAAGAGAGAGATTGTGAAACGAGGGTCTGCCGTTACAGAAGACGACGATTCAGAGGAGGAAGAGGATGAGGGAAAAGATAACGGGTATACGAGTTTTAAGGGGTTGGTTGACAGTGATGATGAAGTAGACGATGATGATGATGAAGTAGATGATGATGATGATGAAAGTGACGAAGATGACGAGGAAGAAGTGTCTGAGAAAGAAGCGATTAAATCGAGCTCGCATCAAAGCACGCCACACGAAAGCGATTCTTACCTTAGCGAAAGCAGGTAACTTTCGAAGCTTTCTCTTGTTTATGTATAATCTATTATCTTGTTGTTAGGCGATAATATGTTGTTAAGCTTCTCTGAATTTTGTTTGCTTATCTAGTGTTTGTTAAGTTATATTACCTTCGTTATTTTCATTTCGTCTTGTTCTTTAACAACAGTTATGCGTGTGTTTGTTCCACAGGTTTGATCAATGTTCTATCTCGCCGTTGTCGCTTAAAGGAATCAAAGATGCTGGATACGAAAGAATGACTTTGGTCCAGGAGGCAACACTTCCTCTCATTTTGAAAGGTAGATAGAAATCGTATGATGTTGTAACATTTTTTGTATTTCAGTATCGATTATTCCTCACGATTTATGTGTTCGTGTTCTTCAGGTAAGGATGTACTTGCCAAGGCAAGAACCGGCACGGGGAAGACAGTAGCATTTTTGGTAAACGCCTTTTTCGCTTACGTATTCTGGTTTTTCCTTCTATCACTGTGAAGTTCGTTAATACCTATTGGAATTGGGTTTTTAATATCGAATTACGACGATACCAGAAAAAAAAATGCTGTGATATTTCGGTATGCTTATTCTTGTTTTTTTCGATTTTCAGCTTCCTGCAATTGAAATTGTAGTGAAAACACCCTCTACGGCTGGTGAACAAAAACGCCCTCCGATTCTTGTTCTTGTTGTATGCCCAACTCGGGAGCTTGCTAGTCAGGCTGCTTCCGAGGCCACCAAATTGTTGAAGTACCACCCTTCGGTTGGCGTTCAAGTTGTCATAGGAGGTACTCGATTAGCTCTGGAGCAAAAACGAATGCAAGCCAATGCATGTCAGGTACGTTCGCTACAATGCATTAAAACGGATTTCTGTTTTATGGTTCTATATAGTGCGATGCATACTATCAGAAATTCAACATAGACTTAATATAAATAAAAGTTGCCGTTGGAATGGTAATGCAACAATGAAATCGTGGGTTTTGTACCGGTTTTTTTTTTCCATTCTTCCATATGTTTCTTTGGCAGCTTGGATAAATAGCAGGAAAATGCAAAAAAGAAAAAAAAAAAAATCCCCCTAATTTTTGATTTGTGACCACTGGATTAGAATCGAGGTAATTGATTGTTCATATTTAAAATACAGATACTTGTGGCTACGCCTGGAAGGCTTAGGGATCATGTAGAGAATACATCTGGATTTGCTACTCGTCTGATGGGAGTTAAAGTCTTAATTCTTGATGAAGCTGATCATTTGTTAGACATGGGTTTCCGCAAAGATATAGAGAGAATAATAGCTGCTGTTCCGAAACAGCGCCAAACACTTCTATTTTCTGCAACAATTCCACCAGAGGTAATAATTATTAATTCATCTTAATTTGTCGATATGCTTCGTAAAATGAGCAAGTTCTGAACGTATTAGTTGTGCAGGTTCGTCAAATTTGTCACGTTGCCTTAAAAAGAGACCACGACTTCGTAAACACGGTCGAGGAAGGAAGCGAAGATACGCATGCACAGGTATAACTATACTATTATTAATGCTATTGCTATCTTTTTCTTGCCGATTTTTCTACAGAGCACGACATTTCAACTTTTTGCAACTTGTAATCTTTCAGGTCAAACAGATGCATCTAGTTGCTCCTTTGGACAAACATTTCTCGCTTCTCTATACTATGCTAAAGGAGCATATTGCTGATGATGTTAATTATAAGGTATTTTTTTCCCGTCGATTCCTTGAAATTTTACTGTATTAAACCGTAAACTATTCCTGATCCATTGAATCAACTATAAGAAATTAAAAAACGAGTCGTAAAAATGGACCATGAAAAAGTAGGGAAAATTCTACTTGGAAGAATTAAGGGTAGTCGGGTTAAAGTATGAAGGCCTTGGATGAAACGAAAATTTAACAGCAATATTATAAGTTTGGCAAATCCTCATCAGACTACAACGAATTTGCATCAATGCATAAAATTGGTTATGTTTTTGTATAAAAAACGTTGCTTTCTTGGAAATACAATCAATGGATAAAATGGGTTTTTGCTTAATGAATCTGTGGCATCACCATGTTTCCTCACGTGTAACAGATTCTTGTTTTCTGCACAACTGCAATGGTGACGAGGCTTGTAGCTGAGCTCCTGGGCGAGCTTAAGATGAATGTCAGAGAGATCCACTCTCGAAAACCTCAAAGTTACAGAACCAGAGTTTCCGACGAATTCCGCAAGTCAAAGGGTATTATTCTAGTAACATCTGACGTTTCTGCACGTGGTGTAGATTATCCAGACGTGACTCTCGTCGTACAGGTTAGACAATTAATTGATATTTATTAGTAGTTCCTTAATAGTCTACGGCATAAATCGAATTATCAAACATAGATATTGTTCTTGCATGATGCACTTCAAAATTTAATCTATATTCCTAAATAAATGAATCCCATTACGGTATATTATATATACTGGGATTGACTTTGATTGCATTGCGAACTGTAGATGGGTGTTCCATCAGATAAGCAGCAGTATATACATCGATTGGGTCGAACCGGAAGAAAAGGAAAAGAAGGGCAAGGCATATTGATGTTGGCACCTTGGGAAGAGTTCTTCTTGTCCACTATCAAAGATTTACCTATCTCAAAAGCGCCCGAGCCTTTGGTTGATCCAGACACCAGAAAAAAGGTCACTTCTAATTTAAATTTCCGTAAATGTTTTTATCTTTGTTTAACATGAAATCTAATTGTCATGAAATCAATCTTACCTCTAAAAGTTCGAATCTTTATTATCTTACTAGTGTTCAAGAAAGTATGAAGACAGACATAAGATATTTTCTTTATTCTCGTTAATTGCAGGTTGAACGTGCGTTGAGCAATGGAGAGATGAAGAACAAAGAAGCAGCATATCAGGCATGGCTTGGTTACTACAACTCCAATAAAGGAGTCGGTCGAGATAAATATAAACTTGTAGAGCTTGCAAATGAGTTTAGTCGAAGCATGGGGCTCGATAATCCTCCAGCTATCTCGAAGATGGTGCTTGGCAAAATGGGCCTCAAGAATATTCCTGGTTTGAGGTCTAAGTAGATATCAACAAAGCTTAAGATTCTCATATTCCTTTTCGATTTTTTTTCTTCGATCACTATTTTTGTAATAAAGACTTGAAACTCATTGCAAAAAAGTGTGGATTCTTGCAGAATTCATAGGTTTGTATATTCACTCTCGAGGTTTAGTGGCAAGAACAACTTATTTTCTCCTCCCTAGTGATTTTTGTCTGAAAAATATTTGTCATATGCCTAATTGATGTTTACACCCTGTGAAAATTTCATCATATGCGATCTTATCATGCACACTACTTTGCACACTTCCACATGTATGTGTGCATGGTTTTGTGTAAATCTATGTGGTAAAATTGTTCGGTATTCGAAAATCGAAAGAGAGGGAGAACCTGTAAACTAAATTTGATCTTCGACATTCATATTGATATTAAATGTTATAACATCCTGAGGAAGATCGAATAATACAAAGATATTTTATAACCCAAAACCTAATTATAATGAAATATCCTAATAATTTAACTAAAAACTCTACTTCTAGATAGCAATATTTAGCAATATTTGATAAATTGCAAAAAATGTAAATGTTGGTAGGCTATATCTATTCTACATACTCGAACATTGCTCAATGACCATATTCTTGTCCAAATCTATTAAGACGAGGTACAAGCCCAGCTCTGTTAGACGAGGTACGAGCCTCAGGTCTGTTAGACGAGGTACGAGCCTCAGCTCTATTGGCACCGAATTCTTGAAAGTGGATCACCCTCGTCCTTCAACTGAATTTTCCTTGCGACCACCCAGAGCTTTTGCAAGATTATCAGAAGCGCTTTTGAAAGATTATCAGACCCTCCTGCTAAGAAGAACAATTATGAACATCACCAATGTTTCAACTAAATTTGTGTATTTTCGTTTTCTGGAGAAAGTGCTAACACACAGATTATAATTAATATGCCAATGCAAAAGGATCAAAATTTTCACACAATGTGTTAGTAATATGAGGCCATTTCGTCATTTCAACTTAATCCGCTAGAAGATTGTACAAACTTCCGATCAGGCAAAAAAAAAACGAAATACCTATTACTTCAGAACATTCGAGAAAAGAGATAGATGAGAAAATGCTGCTCAAAAGGCTACTCCATTTGATAAATTGCAAATGTAGCATCCGAGAGAAGTCTCTTAACAGATCCCACTCGTCGTAATAGTAAAAACCAAATCGTAAGATCTAGGTTGCATCAGTGATGAAAACTGTTACCCTTAATTCAAATTTCCAATAACTATTAACATGGTCTAAGGTGGTCATTCGTGGACAACATGCTGATTTCATCTTCAACTTAGGGCAATTTAGTTACAGTCCATTATGAATATTGCTTTAGCTAGAAATTGCATGCAGATTTATCTAAACCTTGTGACCATTATACCTCTGATGATGAGGGGAAGATGGTTGATCTGGTGAAGAACGGTGCCCAGAGCTTCCATGAATTCTACGGTCATTTAGCTGCGACTGCTCGTTTATACCTTGGATGCCTGCGGGACCCAAAGAACCAAACTCGAGTTGTTCACTATAGGTGGCATTGTGATCAAATGGATACAGCATCATAACTGGTGGGACAGGTCCATTAGAAACTCCATTTTGATTCATGGGCGCCATAGGATACATGGTGTAAGCTACATTTTGAAGACCATTTTGGTTGAAATTTGAGCGCAGTTGACCATTCTGCAACTGATACGAAGGGATCGAGTTATGACTGTATGAGTTCCATGAATGGTCAGCTCGACCTTCACTATGGGTAAACCTATCTGATCTTGAGTTAGATTTATCACTTTGGCCACGGGCGTGACCGCGTGCAGCACCTCGTGGTTTTGGATTAGCATTCCAGTTTCCATCTCTGTCACTAAAGCTATCGCTTCTGTCGTAGTTGTAGTTTCCCCTTCTGTTACCAGACGAGTGGCGCTCCCTTACAGAGACCTTCTGAAGCAATAAAGAAGCAGTTTAACATATTGTAGCAAGTGGATATCGAAGACTCTTTCAAAAAGAAAAACCATGCAGCAGTCAAAACAAAACCAAAGGACATAAAACAGAAGCAGAACATATCCCTGAAGTCAATCCAATAGCGACGCAAATAACAGTACTAAAGATGAAATCATATTAGCAACATAAGGGCAGTTAATCCCCATCCACTATCCCTATTAAATCATAGAAAACACATTGTTTCATGGAAAACAATACCCAAACACCCTTCCCCAGTAAGTGTCAAATAATATTTGTAATTGATGCTGTTGAAGTTTGAGTACAGCTTTCTAATCAACTTTCAGCAAAGCAAGTTCCACCACAACTAACATATATGGGAGCAAATATTATCAACTATGATATAGGAAACACACTGTGATGGGAACGAGATATACAAAGCATTAAAAGAAGAATCAGAGAAAGTATTTTACGGGATTAGGCAGGTAAGTTCCAGTCCCGCTACGATATCTTGGCATATCATCAATGTAGCTTTGATACATATTGGGATGCCTACTCGAAACTGACTGAAGGGGAGAAGCAACAGGAACCAGGCGTTGGCCATAATTAGTCACAAGTTGAGAGAAGAGGTTTCCATTGGTTGAAAGTGGTCTACCAGGGTTGTCGTATGGAAGTCTACCCTGTACATAACCAGGTGGAACCATTATAGGTGACGGATAGGCTAGAGGCCCTTGTTGCTGTGGGTTTTGACAGAATCTTCCAAATTGCAAGTTTTGCCGATGGCTGTCAATGTCACTATTAAGAATATCAGACTTTTGGTCTTCGCATGTCTCAATCGTAGATGTCTCTCTTAAGAAACCCGAGGAATTTAAGTCCTCTGACTTTTCAAATCCGTTGGGATTAAAATTCATGCCAGACTCACCACCCAAGGTCTCGTCACCTGATGCTTCAGAAGCACCACTTTCAGGTGGCATATTATAAAACGGAAGCATTGTTAAAAAAGGGATTGGTGGCCCTGTAGGGAAGAATGCAACGATAGCAGAGTTATCATTTGGTCTCTGCCTCGAGCCAGGACCTATGAGTATTGGAGCAAAGGGCATCGTTGAGTCTGATCCGCTAGTCTGAGCAGCTTCAAGACCAGGCATATGCTGCCCAACCGGCTCAGATCCAGGGTTCCTTTCAACCATTTCGGTTCCCACATGTAATGATGAACTCCATTCCTGGCCATGGTTGTCCATGTCATTAGAAACATTCTCAGATATGATTTTGCCTTTTCCTTGGCTACCGTTTGGATCTGTAGAAAGTACTTTCCTTCCCCTTTTTTCTTTCTTATATTTAGGTGTCTTCACTGATGACCCATCCCAGGAGCCCTCTGAAGAAGTTCTACTTCTCAAAGAATTACTATGAGCAGATGATGAAAACCTTGAACTGGCTGACTTTTCTTCCGCATAAACCTCACTACTTCTTGTATCATTATTTTCCCGCAGTGCTCCACGTTTTTCCCTCATCTGCTTCTGCTGAACTCTCGTAGCACTGCCAGAGCCATTTACTCGATATGGCGGAGGAATATACTTTAAACCAGAATACGATGGTGCTGGTGGTTTATCATCAGACTGGAGAGTGTCATGATTTCCATTTTCAGGGTCATGCCCCCCACTGGAGCTGGCATCTTGCTCCTGCCAGAAGTCATTATCGGCTTCTCTGGAGTTCATCTCCACAGGACCAACATTTTCACTACTTTGTTCAACTGACTTTTCAGGCGGATTTAGCCCAATGCCGGGGAAATAATGAGACAGCTGAGGTGATACCAAACCATGAGGAAATTGCAAATGTGAAAATGATGGATCTACCAAAGGCATATTTGTAGGAACAAATCCTGGTAAATTTCTTTGAGTGTATCCCATAGAAGCCAGAATGGATGGCGGGATAGAGTAAGGTATATGACCTTGTGTTAGGTTGAATGGGACATGAACTTGGCCATTGAACCCTTGGAGTGAAGCAGATGACATCATGTTCACAATATCTTGTTCTTCCTGGTGCATCATATGTGCTCCGGAGGAAGTTGAGAACTCTTCGCTCACGGCATCTAAGCCCAAATTTCTATGAGAGTTGTTTGAAATGCTATCAGCATCAGGGCTTTGTTGAGATGGAACATGCCTCAAGGATGCATCTTCAACTGAAGAACGACTGCTGTGGCTTGCCAAGCTTTCTGATCCAAGATTCTTCCTCCTACTAGAATCCAACCTAGAATAACTATCAAGAGCATCAGCAGTTTCTGCCTGTCTGTTCTGTTGTACTTGAGTTGAGGCATTACTATAGTTATCAGTCAATTCAGGACTGGAGCGTGTTCGGGCAAAAAGAAACCTTCCCTGCATGTCATTCGCCAAATGTTCTGCTTTCAGATCTCTCGGAATCCTATTGTTAAGTACAACCTGATCAGCGACGGCATCTCTTCCAATTTGATCAGCGGTACGCAAGCTGTTCAAATAATATTGACTTTTTAAACCATGCGTACGAGAAGGTGCCGGCAATTCATTTGTTATTGGCATCATACGAGATGAATTTGGACTATCTTGATAAGAAACACCACGTGCAAGAATACTCTCACTCTTTATCTCATAAGTACGAGAGTTTTCTTTCTCATTTTTACCAATGTTATTAGTATTCGAATTCTCATATTCATGAGGCCTATCAGAAGTAGATAATCTCAAGTGCCATGAATCAACGGCTGGTGCATCAGGCCGATGACCACTTCCATGCCTCTCCCATGTATTCATAAAGAACTGATTAACTTCAAAAATTAGGTTTTCTTTTGGGCAGTCCAACAATCTTGCCAGCCTTTTAGCTCCAAAAGCAAATGCACTTCGTATTCTAAAAAAATTACCTGAAAAATAGAAAAAGATAAGTTCATGTTACTCAGGAATAATTAGGTCAGGAAAACGAATACTAATTCGTTTCTCGATATTACAATCTACCAAATTGCAACAGATCATTTCTTTTGAGATAGAGCAAATCATTTAAAACAAGAGCCCATATTGTGAAATACATAAATAGAAACAAATTAAGAAACAGAAAATGGTTATAAGCTAATCAAATTGATGAAAGAAATTATCCCATTCTAGCAGGTTTGTCCCTTCAAAATAACAATCAACTCATATCATGAGCATGAGAACGGTAGGAACCTTTTCTGGACATTTCATGAAGTTTTTGGTTGTATTTGTTCATTTAAAGGCCTTTTTACTTATTCATCTTGGAGAGCTTCTTAAAATATCTGGTATAGCTCCTTGGATTACAAACAGGCAAGGCCTCAACCCAAGAAAATATCCCAGTGAAAGATATAAATCATGCTCTATGATCTTCCCACGACGCAATTCATGGATCTCTTCTCAACTGCAGAAGATCAACATGGCAAGATCATTGGTCATGTTGCAAAATTAGCATATCTATTGATCCAGGTGTTTGTACATTTAAGGATTTTAAAATTTGGCTACAGAAGATTTAATTAAATAAATAAGACACCATCTAGAAGATTTTAAGGATTTCATGTTTGCTTTATGAAGCTGTATCAGTCGCGTGTCATATTAACACTCTCAAGTGAAGCAATGAAGACCAAAGAAGAAGAAGAGACTAGGCTAACCATATCTATTATCATACATGAAACTAGGCTAAAAAACACTTTCTTAGAAAGTGGTCATGGAAGGCTAGTATATAAAAGCTACGACTAAATGATTGATGCACATATCATATTAAATGGTAATGAGTGACTTGGAGCCGACATAAAAACAGGAATAAAGGATCCCCATCAACTAGTAGTCTCTTAGCGGTAACAAGTAAGTTCATTGACAAGTCAAACCCTAAAATACAGTGACTGAAGGAGTTATCCATCAAGCGAAGCCTTCATGAACCAATCAGACATTATAACAAATGAAATAATAGCAAATGAGAAGGATAAATCAAGCGGTTGTTGTGAAATTTACAGTATAATTAGTATATGTGTAGCTGAGACTGATAATAGAACAACGATAAGAAATTTAAATCTTAAATAAACGAAGATAGCAGAAAAAATTTCCCTGAAAAATACCTTTATTAACACTACGTCCGAGGTTGTTGTTCACCCGTAAAGGATCAATTACGTTAAAATGTTTAGAAACAAATGGCTGTCCGTTATTTTCCTGGCTACCAGGAAAAACAGCATATGTAGTACTACAAGCATCAAGAAACAACTTGCTTAGTAGCAGTTCTCCACTGTCCTTCCAGGGAGGTTCAGCTGCAAAATCGTGCAAATGACATCAAGAAGTTCAGTGCTAACACTAATTTATACAGGGATGAATTGTATAATAAAAAAGTTCAGGGAATTAAATACCAGTTACATCAGGTAAGGAACTAATGGGGACAGGTCCCCACAAACTAACACAAAAATTGTCCCAGTCAAAATTGCTGAAGAACTCCAGGAAACGATATAGGACCTGCAAGTATTACATTGAGAGCTTCAGAAGAAAATTCAAGAAACAGAACAATTTGGACATAGGCAAACATAAGAATAAAGTCACCTCAAGGGGTCCATGGAAGGAATTGTTAAACAGGTGAAAGATGTAAAGAACTAAAGTCTCCAACGCATAAGTAGAAATGAGTCCATGATGAGCACCCAATATGCGGCTTTCATAATAGCACCATGCTTTAATCAATATAACACTGCGCTTGAACAGATGATTCTGATTTATCATAATATCAACCTATGGAACAAAACATGGAAAGTTCTATCAGACAGCAAGTTTGGCTAACAGCCTCATGAAATTCATGTTTAAGACAATTTTGTCAGTGATACAGTGAACAAGAAATAACTCACCTCATCAAGGAAGCAGAGTGTACACAACCCACCAACTTGATTAAAAGATATGTCCACCACAATATTTTCCACAAGACATTTAATTATCTTCACCTAAAATACAAAAAATATATCAAGATTTTGTAGCGGTGGGGAAAAGAAAGTAACTTAAAACACCTATGGACAGGAAATCAGAATTCATCCTAATATTGATGTCTAAGAATTTCATAGCAATTCTATCACTTATTAGGATGTTCATAACCAATGTAGAATCCAACCACCCTTATGTGCTTACATATCAAGGAGGCTCCATGACGGGGACAATGCAAAACTTTAATAACGAAAATTCAAAGAGTGAAACTATACACATGTTCTATCTTTGACTAAGCTAACCGTCTCCACCTCTCTATATGTAGACATGCATACATATATATGTGTGTGTGTGCACATATTTGTATATGTATATATATATATATATATATATATATATATATATATATATATATATATATATATATATATATATATATATATACACACACACAGAGAGAGAGAGAGAGAGAGAGAGAGAGTAGAGTAGAGATTCCCACGATGTGAGATTCTAATAGTTTAAAAAAGGAAAGACGCAACAGATAATGATGAAAAGTTGGGATTCAGATACTGAGAACATACTTCTGCCTGGATATACTGAACCTCCTTCACATGGAACTCAGCATCTTCATTCTTCTCCTCATTCTCTAGCATATCTCGAACCTGATTCGCCCATGTCTCTTTTAGATTCTGACCGTGACTGAAAGCAGTCAGATCAATGTCTCCATCAGGTAGATAAGTCTTCAAGGGAACAGAACCGAAGGTACAGACCTATAGACGAAGGATCAAGATTATCACTACAGAAAACTAATAACATTTTCAACAAGACTACCGGATTCTGTATTTTATCAACTGAATTCTGAGACACACATGAATCACCACTCAGTTTCATGATATCTTAAACCAACCAAATGTAGCATACATTTTTATATCTCAGAGAATCCATTCATTTTTACAACAAATTCATTATATGATCACCATGTGCTCACCACGATCACCAGGAGCTCTGGTATGTGCTCTAGGTCTAGAGCAGACAAAATTTCAACTCTACCGACATCTTGTCCATCATATGCAGACTTAATTTAAACTTGCATCAGAAGATGCAAATTCAATACACTGCAAATTAAAGATCGGAAGCATGCAAAAAACAATCCAAATAAAAGAATTTACATCTACGTATAAACACCAGCTACCTCATAGACAAAAAGGCAAATAAAAACCACATTATTAACAGCCATTCAAGAAACAATACTTAAGTTGCAAGACTACGATGCAGAAATTCAGAGATTGTTCTAACAACCTGGCATGGAAAGCATTTCATAATGAGCCGCTGAACATAATCTGCAACAGCATTCCTGCGCACTTCGGACAGCTGGTTGGGCTGAATGCAGGCAATGAGCTCTGCAGTCCGCTCCTCTGCTTTCATCCATCGGTCTGTATCAAGAGCCCGCATCATAGGGCTTGCCCCAGGCAAAAGCCCGTTAGGCAATTGCCCACCTGGCTCAGCCCATCCCTCATCTTTTCCCATACACAACTATCTTTTCTAAACTACAAAAAACTCAAATTCTTCCCAAACTCCAAAACCCCAAGAAAAAGTAGTTTTACAGCAAAAAAAGGCCACGCTGTTTCCCAAAATGTAATGGAGTTGTATGCATCTATATCAAAGTCTAATGAGGAAAAAAGTGAGAAAAATGGCGTCTACTTTTCTAAAAAAATCCAATCAATAGCATTGAACACAAATCATTCAAACCCCCAATACCGAACTTTCTATTATTCCCGAAAACATTTAACTAGAAAATGCAAACCCCAAACCTACCTAAAAACAGAGGAAACAGCTGATCAAGTAATCCGAAACAAAACCCTAACTGAAACCCGCTTCCGAATAGTTTCAGAAAAAAATCGCCGCAATGCGAACCAAAATCGGCTAACACCACCAAATTCCCTAATTGCAATTAAAACAAAAAGAGAGAGAGAAAATGAAGTGTGAGATCGTCAAATTGTAGAACGAATGAGGGTTTGTTGTTTAATCGGATATTTCTGGTCTAAACGATTTCAGGGAAACGACTGTATGAGGAGCAGTAACCAGAATCCAGATTCTTTCGGGGAATTCTTTTGAAAATTGTTTGACGCTATCAGGGATTTTGATTTTTGATTTTTGATTTTTGATTTTTGATTTTTGAATGTGTTTTTTTAGTGTGTGTGTGTGTGTGTGTGTGGAAATAAGGGAACAAATTTGGTGAAATGATGATGAATAGAATCTACAGATTGGAAGAAAAATGATGAAACGGAAATGGCAAATAAGTAATTATTATTAAATAAATAATTTTCCTATTAAGAATTTATTATTTTTATTTATAGTGAATAATAAAAATTAATAATTCAAAATTTAATACATAGTTTTATTTATTAATATTAAAATCAAAATAAAAATGGTTGGCCAATCTACAGAGTAGCAAGTTGTGGCAATTTAATTTGTCAAAGCCCTAATCTGTGAGGAGCTTTACTTTGGGCCTAGCCCCTAATATTTGCAATTTCTTAAATATACAAACTTTGATTAAAAGCCCACGTTTCAAAAGTGATTTATATATTAAATAAATTATTTTTCCTGTTTAAAAAATAAAATAAAAAATAGCATCAAAAAAGTCAACTTCTTTTTAGGTATGTACTAATTTTCTTAGCTTTATGCAAGATATTTAATTAATAAATGATGCAGAACCTCAAAGCGCCAAAATTCATTGCACGTCAAGGTGTATCGGTGTGTTTAGTTCCTCTCGTCGTTTTGATTCGAATCAGCTCGGTCAAGCACGATTCCACCTCCGTCGCCTCTTCATCAATGAATATTAATTTTTTTTTTCTTTCTAAAGTATAGTTATTTCAAGATTCATTGTTCCAACCCATGGCAAGATTCTTATCCAAATTGAAGATAATCATAAAAAAAAATTAAAAGAGAAAAGGGAGGGAAAAAAGGTGATTGGAGCTTTCACTACAATGACATTTGTAACAATCATAAAGAATAAAGCTCAAAAGATAAAATTTAATTTCAAGTGTTTAAAAAAGTGTTAAATACAGTTTACCTCCCCGAAGTATAACCTACGTAATATTAATCCCCTTAAAAAAATAGAAATATATTATTTCGGCCCATTCAATAGGGAAATTCTATGCTACACGTGGTGAATATAACCAGACACCCAAATTAATAAGATTCCCACTACGGGTTCAGTTATGGCCCAATGGGTTTTAGAAATATAATAATTATAAAATAAATAAAAAAGAACACATGTCAAGAAAAGAGCCACCCGATGAAAATCACCGGGTGTAGCATCGTATTCCCCCACTCAATAGTAAAGCCCAATTTGCAGGCCCGTAAATTTAAATGGGCCGAGTTTCTCTGCAAATGTGGGCCCAATGATATTTCCAAATTGTGGTGGACATGGTACAAGAAACTTTATATCTAATGTGGGAATCTTTTTTTTTTTTTGACCAATGAGGAAGAAAGCATTTATATAGTGAAGTTAAATCAGTTACTTTGCTTTTTCATGTAGACATAACATCACTACAAGAAATAGTATAAATTGCAACCACTTATCTGAAGTAAGGTCTATTTACGAGAAAATCCATCAATTTTCAAAAATTACATTCAGACTCCTGTAGTTTGTATTTTTTTTGCGTACACCCTCATACAAAGGGGTGTTAATGTAAGAAATCTGCAAATTGCAGAAAGTGGATGTAATTGTTGAAAAATGAGAGATTTTTATCATAAATAGATCTTATTTTCAGGAGGCGATTGTAACTTTTCCTGAGAAATACTATTCCTCGATGCGAAATGAAATTGGAAGTTTGTAGTATGGTGACACGTTTTACAATATTGTCTAGCACATTGTGTGGATTCACCTATTACATACATGTTCTTGTTATAGATAAAAACCTTTTGCATATATGTTTATGATGTACTATGAATTAGGCAAATTATTTATTAATTCATTGGATAATTGTAAGGGATCTCAATTTGATCCATTTATATACATGTTTTGCCATGTCAAACTCTATCTATAATTAGTGATTTATCCATCTAATTGAAAATGATTTTTCAACTAATTGCAATAAAATTCAATAAATTTCATTTTCCCATCCTCCTCCCCTTGTCTTGGAATTGATGTGACACCAATAATGGTTACCTTAGGCTAATTTTGGAACAATTTTCAAGTTGAAAATTACATAGTCAAGCCTTAATTATGTGCCACGATAAAGTTTGAATAAATAATTCAAGATCGATAAGCCTAAATAACATAACATCAGCTAGATGAACACCATTCGTTAAAGCTATAATAGTTCTCAAACCGTAATAATTCAAATAGTACACGAAAACTCTTCGATTAGATGGATGTAAACAATCCAAGTTATTATAATTCAAAATTACATAAATCATTAAGATTGAAATATTTTTTTTCTATTTTGTTAGTTTAGTTTAATTTGATTGAGTGAGGGGTGACACGTGTAATGTTTGGGTTGGTGAAAAATTCTCCCAAAATTGCAACACATGAAAAATTAAAATTGCCCAATAAGATGAAACCTAAAAATTCTTGATATGACAATTTGATTAATTAGGTCCATAACACAAATTGGGCCATATGATTAGAAAGGTTCAGGTTGATTCCTTATCCTAAGGCCCTTGTACTAAATACTAGGCTCTCTTTGTTTTATTCCACTACTGAATTATTGTCCTATTTGTTATACCATTATTATTATTTATTTTTTAATAAAAGTAACTATAAAATAACAAACAAATTCCTTCGCGCATAATAAGTTGTAATTACACGGGTCTAAGTCACTGGGTGCAACAACGACACTACATAAATCGAACCCGAATCATTAGACGTCGCGTTTTTTTTTTAATTCAACTAATTAAGACACGTTTACAATACTCTTTGATTCATTATTTGATTTGATGTGGATGCCATATTCTATCTTTTATTTAAAAAAGAAATTGTAAGTCAAGATAATGTGGATATGGTTTGTTATGCAAGGAGACAAACCTAAAAATACCCATGATCAACCCTAGATTTAAGGGATTTTAGGCAAAATAGATAATTTTATTTTATATTATATAACACTCTTAAGTCTTATCTATACAAACTTGGGGCCCATATGAATGAATTTGGACTAAATTTGAGCCTGTTATGTAAAGAAATCGAGCCTCTTTTGGACATGATAAAATAATATTTATAGGAAAAATATTGGATTTATAAAAAGAGTGGTGTTATTTCCACCTCTAAAGTATCTCAATTCACCAGTACTAAAGACTATAAGATGTCATAAATACCCCTCAAATTTATAATCCACCACCATTTCCTTATAATCACTGAATATTCATGTGTTCTAAGTTATTTCTATTTGAATTTATTTAATTTATTTTTTAATTTTTTTAGATTTTTAAGTTTTATTTTTATTTTTTTGCAATGAAATATTTATTACAAGATATTTAAACTTCCATATCAAATATAATACAAATTATGTAAAAAAAAATTGGAAACAAAATTATATCAAACTAAACTTATGAGGAGGAAGTTCAGGTTTTTCCATAAAATCAATCTTAATTTATTTATCAAAAAACGTGAATTTCTGCTCTTTTTGACTTTCGAAATTATTTTTTTCTGACGAAATTCACTTAAGGTGGAGAGGGTGAGATTTCCAGTAAAAATAGTGGGGTTTTTTTTTATAAAATATTTTAATTAGTTCAGTGGTAGATGGTTTAAAAATTTGTAAAAATAGGTGAAAAAGAAGAAATAGGTAAAATGGAAAATATATTTAATTTAATGGTGAAATAAGATATTTTGAGAGTGGAAATAACAAGTCTCTATAAAAAATAAGGGCAAATTAGGGCCAATTCCCTAAGATAATGTTGAATTACCAAAAACCTATTTCTGTTTAGATAATTATAATCAGCCTCTTAACTATGCATTGTCTTACACGTCCATTATTACGGTGTCAAATTTACCTACTAAACTGAGGGTTTTTTCGTAACAAAATACATAGTCGTAATTTGGCCTTACGACAGGAGATAACCGTAATTTATCCAAAATTAAATAAAACTCAATTATTTAATTAATAAAAAATTAATGTCCCAACCAAACGAGGTATCAATTAATTAATTATATGTCAACCAATCTTCCAACCAAAATCTGTTTTTTTGTTGTCACTGAAATATAAACTAGACAAAATTAAAAAAATACAAAAAAAAAAAAAATTATATATATATATATATATATATATATATATATAAAATGTAAAAGTAAATGGGCCTAAAAGGGGTTTTAGTGATCGAATGTGGGCCGGGTCGGTGCGTGCTGACAAAGACACACACCTTAAATATTAACGCATACTCACACCAGATGCATGCACTTCTTCCTTAAAGTCTGGGTTTTTATTTTTTATTTTTTATTTTTTATTTTTAATTGTATAATCCAAATTCCAACCACACACACACACAGAAAAAAACCAGCTTCGATTCAGGGATTTTACATACTAGGGTTTCTCGATCAGAAATTTGATTTCAATTTTATTCGAAAAATGGAGGCGCAGTACATCAGCAAATACCACGAGCATCAGCTGAGTGAGCATCAGTGCTCGTCTTTTGTTGTGAAGCACATCAAAGCTCCTGTTGACATTGTAATTTTCTCACTCAACACATCTTAGTGTGTGCGTTTTCGATTTTGATATTTTTTATTTTCCCCCCTTTTTTCACTATGATGATTAGTAATTTGTTTTGCATTTTGGTCCCTGAATTCCGATCTTGTTTGTGGTGTGTTTATTTTCAAATCACTTACAGTTGATATTCGTTGATTGCAATTGAATTTAAATTACCGGACAGCATAATTAGGTTTCCATTTTTCTAAATTTGATTTTGTCGCTCGATGCTGTGAATTGTGATGACAGATTGACTTCGATCCGATGTTTACAATTTGAAATCGAGTTCTAAATGTTGAATTTTGAGGTTATCAAATTTTGTTGCTTTATTTAATTTTTCACTTTTTTTAGGTTAAATGTGAAAAGGTTCACATCTTTGGAAATACCCGTATGATCTGCTCGTATTTCTCTCATTGTTAAACATTTAATTGAATAGCTAAAGACTGGGAAATTATATCGATGTTGATGGAAGGTCAAAAAAAATGGGGCGAAAATTTTCCACGACTAATTTCTTCTAGTCCTTTTGTTACCAAGTCTCGTATAATTTACGTTCCCTAGGCTGAAAATTTGAATGCGATGTTATCTTCATTCTTCAGGTTTGGTCATTGGTCAGAAGATTCGATCAGCCACAAAGTTACAGCCCTTTGTTAGTCGGTGCACTGTGCAGGGCGGTGATCTCCAAATCGGTAGCGTTAGACAAGTTAATATCAAGTCTGGACTCCCCGCCACCACCAGCACCGAGCGTTTGGAACTTCTCGATGACCAAAAACACATTCTCGGTGTCAAATTTGTCGGTGGTGATCACAGACTAAAGGTAACATATATATACACATGTTTGTGTGTGTAAATCCGGCCCCATTTTTACCACCGGATATTTGCCATCACGGTAAAAATTATTGTGGCCCTTTTTTCTTGAAAGGTTGATTATCGTATTTGCACTAAATTTGCTAATTTTTTTAATTTAATTTTTTAAATCAGAATTACTCGTCGATAATTACGGTTCATCCAGAGATAATGGAGGGTAGGCAAGGGACAGTTGTGATAGAATCGTTTGTGGTGGATGCGCCTGAAGGGAACACTAAAGACGACACTTGCTACTTTGTGAGGGCTCTGATCAGCTGCAACCTCAACTCCTTGGCTGACGTGTCCGAACGAATGATGGCTATGCGGGGCCAGTTTGACCAGGTCAACCGACTACGTTCGGTTGAAAGTATATGATAACCGTATTAATTATATCTATGTTAAATCGTCACATAAGCCGTACTCTATTTAGGCTTTCGGTTTCTGTACTAGATTTAGAGGAACATCCTTGTACTTTCGGTTTTTTCTTTATGTTGGATGGTGTTGATTGTAACTATGTTGGGCTGTATGTAAATATTCCTTTGTGAAAACTGAATTTCGGTCTCTGTTTCCAATGTATCATATATGTATTGTATATGTATATAATGTTGTCATTTAACCGTGACATTGAAAACTGATCTGCAAACAAAAAGATCAACACCTTCATCTGTCGAAGTGTCGTTCGTTCTTGGTTTTTTGTTTGTAGCCTAAAATTCGATATTCTTACATAGGGGTGGAATCGAACGGATCTCATCGGAATAAGCACTTTCGAAGTGAAAAAAACTAATTCCAACTCCATTAAAAAAAAAGTGTGGAAATTGAAATCTGAATTTCGAAAATTCGAATGAAAAAACTTGTTCCAAAATTGGAAAATTTCGGATTGGAATCAGCCGAATTTGGGGAATTTCCAATTTAGTAGTCACCTCAACATTCAAATGTATAATGCATAATAATATTGATACTATGAGTTTAATTTTCGGAAGAAAAAAATCGAAAAAATTGGAATTTTTTTCAAAAAATTAAAATTGGATTAAAATCCTAAAGAAATCGGAATGAATTTTGGAATTCCGAATAATTTTTTAAACGAGTCGGGCCGAGTAAAATTTCTAATTAAACCGGCACAGAAAGAAGCCCATTTACTGGGCCCGCTAACTTTTTCTTAATAAAATCGACAAAAGAAAGCCCGAATATACACTGAAGCAAAATTGGCCTAGAAGAAGAAGAATCGAGGAAGAAGAAGAGAAGGGGGCCGAACACGAGGAGGAAGAGGAAGCTGGGGAAAGAAGCACAGACGAAGGAGACGAACGACGCCGTGATGCAGGGCGATGAAGCTGATGCGGGCGGCGCCGCCGCGGAGGAAGGCCTTCCCGGTACGTGCTTAATTTTTAATTTTATTTTTTTCCAGAACCCTACTACTGTCTTAGCTTTCCTGAATGAGTATTTGCTTTAATTTCTTCTGAATTTTTTTTCCCTACTGAATTTTGTGCGTATGATATATTGATGCTGATTGTATCTATTTCTGAATCCATTCACTTTTTTCTATTATTTTGAGTTTCTGCAATTCGAACGGAATTTTGTTTTGCGAGTGGGATATTTAGAAGAAACCCTTGTGAACATTCTATTGTATGCGTTTGATTATATCACTTCAATTTTCCTCGTTTGATTTTGGGTTTACGTAGCTGACTGGGCTGTTTCTTTTTACAGTATGTAATTTCTTCAGAAAGCCAGCAAAGAGCAAGAACGTAAGGAAACGAACTGCTATACAAGAGGGAGAAGACGAAGACGAAGATTCTAAACTTGGGAGCTCGGTTGTGTACAATAAGAAGAAGCCACCAGCTGGTGACAACAAGCTACACTTCTCCAGTGGGTCCCAAAAGACTTCGAAAGAGTCCGAGGTGGAGAAATCAAAATCTTCAGTGTTCGAATACGAGTCCTCCAAGCAAATTCAGGTTCAAAACGATAGTAGAGCCACAGCCACATTGGAAACAGAGACCGACTTCTCCAGAGATTCTCGTGCTATCAGGGAGAGAGTTCTCAAGCAAGCCGAAGAGGCTTTGAAAGGGAAGAAAAAAGGTGATGGTGATGAGAAGTTGTATAAAGGGTTACATGGATATACTGATTACAAAGCTGGGTTTCGAAGAGAGCAAACTGTTTCGAGTGAGAAAGCTGGTGGCTCTCATGGACCTCTTAGAGCTTCCGCCCACATAAGAGTGTCGGCGAGGTTCGATTATCAGCCCGATATTTGTAAAGATTATAAAGAGACTGGTTATTGTGGGTATGGAGATTCGTGCAAGTTTATGCACGATCGTGGTGATTACAAGTCCGGGTGGCAGCTTGAGAGGGATTGGGACGAAAAAGAGAAGGCGAGGAAAAGAAAGTTGGCTATGAAAGCGGAGGATGATGATGAGGAGAAGGACTCTGATGCAAGTGACGAGGAAGATGACGAAAATGGATTGCCGTTCGCGTGCTTCATTTGCAGGGAGCCTTTTACCGATCCGGTTATGACGAGGTGTAAGCACTACTTCTGCGAGCATTGTGCGTTGAAGGTACTGCTTATCTCTTTTTTTCATTTGCATTGTCATTTCCAGAATATAATTTTCATGAACCACAGGAACTCAGGAATGATATTTCTTTTTACTTATTTTTGTTCTGCAGCATCATGCAAAAAACAAGAAGTGCTTTGTTTGCAACCAGCCAACAAATGGGATATTCAACACCGCCTTTGAGATACGCAAAAGAATGGCTGCTGAAAAGAAATGACAGGTCAAAATGCAGCTCAAGAGAATCATGTATCGGAAACTCTAGTTTTTTTAATCTCCTCAATGTAAGCTCTTTGTTGTTAGTAATGTTCTTTTTTGACAAGATGAATTGTATTTTGAGCATTGCTCATCGTTTTGTATAAAAGAACCTCAAACTTTACTGCCGTTGCATATCTTCTTGTTGAGATTGTGAAATTTTCTTTTTATGTTCTTTCCTTGTGAAATCTCTGTATATCTAGTTCGAGTTGAAGCTAAATGATTTTTCATTTGAAAAGAAAAAGAAGCAGATATGCTATTCAGTGTGCTAATCTTGTGGCTGATGTGAGACAATCGTTTCAGATATTTTCTTTACATGTATTGTTCAATCTGTAACCAATCAATATATTACCTGTCCCAGAGGCTCGAATTATTTACATCTTTAGTAGGAACCCTGTTTCAGAAATGTGTCTGAGAAATGCTGAACATGCTTCATTACCAGAAATCGTTGCAGGAACATTTGCCTTCCACAAAGTGGTGAAAACGAATGCCGTCTTTGAGGATGATATGCCGCCGTCTCACTAAGGAAATATACTTTGCAAACGTGTGACAGTCTGCACAGGTTCTGGTATTCTTAATCACCCTAATCGGGGTATTTCCTTTTGTCTTGATCAGGCTATAAGCAATTGCCATCTTTTCAGTGTGAGAAAGCAGTGCCTTCTCCTTCTCCTCCTCATCAACGTTCTGGTGAACACATGTAGTATCCGGTTCGTATCCCTTATCCTTAATCTCGGACATCAGTTTATACAGTTGAAAATAAATCTCTGCATCTAAACGTGGGTCCCCCATTGCAGAGAAGACGTAAACTATCTTGTTGATCTCAGTCCAGCTCCAGACATGTCCTAATTTCACAGACCTTCGATCCATCAAATCTTTGACCTTATCCACATCATCCCATCTCTTTGAAGCAGCGTATATGTTCATTAGCATGATATAGTTAGCTGGATTATGTGGTTCTTTTCTGAAGAGTTGTTTTGCAGCAATCTCCCCTAGCGGGATATTATCATGGATTTGACACGATCGAAGCACAGCTCCCCATATTGCAGAATCGGGCTCTGTCGGCATTTGCTCGATGAAATCCCATGCTTCGTCTAGATATCCAGCTCTTCCAAGAAGATCAACCATGCAAGAATAGTGTTGAATTGTCGGATTTATCTTGAATTCCGTCTCCATGTTGTCGAATAATCTCCACCCTTCATCAACCAGACCGGAGTTTCTGCACCCAGACAAGACAGCTGTCATGGTTATGGCATCTGGCTGCATTTTCTCTTCTTTCATCCTATGAAACAGAGAAATGGCATCGTTCCCTCGGCCATATGTCGAAAACCCTATTATCATGGAGTTCCAAGAAGCCAAGGTTCGCGTGTGGGCCCTCTGGAAAACTCTGTAAGCACTCTTTAAATCCCCACACTTTCCATACATGTCGATAAGTGCTGTGCACACAAACGCATCTTCTGTGTAATCCTTTTTAATACTAATGCAGTGCACTTCTTTCCCTTTCTGCAACAAAGATAAGCCTGCGCAGGCTCTGAACAAGCTTGCAGTAGTGTTCGAGTTCGGCTTTATACCTTCTTTCTGCATCTCGTAGCAAAACTCGAGTGCGTTTCTATGGTATCCATTCTGAGAACTGCCCGATATAAGAGCTGTCCACGAGACCACATTAGGGTTCAATCCCGAGTTCTTGATTTGCCTAATCGTGGCTAAGGCTTCGTTTATTCGTCCAATCATCGAATAGCCAGAAACCATGCTGTTGTATGTCACTAGATCAGGTTCAATTCCCTCTATCCTCATTTGATTAAAAAGAATCGAAGCATTTTCCATATCTCCGTTATACGAATATCCAGAAATCATCGAGTTCCAAGCAAAGATGTTACTCTCCTTGATATCATCGAAAACAGATTTAGCACTCTTTAAATCATAGTTCTTCACATACATGTCTAGTAATGAAGTTCCTACATGTAGATTTGAGACAAGCCCTCTTCTTACAACATAGCAATGAACCGACTTTCCGAGATTCAGACAAAACAATTCACTTATTGCCTGAAGAACAGTTGTCACAGATCTCGTGTTCGGCTCAAAACCTGCATTTTGCATCTGCTGAAACAACACAAGTACTTCGTGATACAATCCACGGTGGAGATTACCCGATAGAAGGCTATTCCAGGTAACAATATCTGGTTTCAAATTACAATTTCCCATTTCATTCATTAGTAACCATGCATCTTCTAGATAGCCAAACGATGCATAACCCGAAATAATCGAGTTATACGTAGATAAGTTTCGATTTTCCATCAAATCAAAGATTGCTCTTGCCAGTTCAAGAAAGCCATTTTTCAGGTACATGTTGATCAGTGAGTTGGATATCAGTAAATTCGACTCCATGGCGTTTCGTATTACGTAACCGTGTATCTGCTTCCCTTGATCAAGAGCTTCCACTTTCCCACAGGCTTCTAGAACCTTGGCGATAACGAAAGTATTGCTAGCTTTTACCGATGAAAAGTTCATTTGTCGAAAACGTTGTAGACCATCTGACCAACCTTCGTTCCTCAAAGCTACCAAAACAGCTTCATTCCACAATAGAGAACTACTACGATCTGAACTTTCGTCGAACACCTTGTTAGCAGTTTCTAAATCCCAACATCTCCCGTAGAAGTTCATCAATGCGCATTTCGAGTGCATGTCATGATCGAAGCCTTTCTTGATCAAACAGACGTGAATCTCCAAACCTAGTAACGAATCACTTAGATTGGCTGAGAGTTTAAGAACTGTGGCCATCGTTTCACTTCCGAAAGTCACTCCCATATTGTGTAGTCCGGCAAAAATTTCAAGAATTTCACGAGGGTTTCCTCCACCGTAAGTGGTGAAATCCTCCAAGAAAGAATTCCAGTGCAGGTAGGTTCTCTGTGGGGAACCCATGAAGAAAACCTTAGTGGCGGATTGGAAATCGCCGAGTTCGAAATAAGACGTGATCAAAGATTGGACCTTTACGTCTGAATCTGCGCTGTTTTCGGGGATTTTAATGATCTGGGCATGTCTTGATTTGAGTGAAGTGATTGGGTTAGAGCTGCGATACGAAGAAGTTTTAGAATATGGAGTTTCAAGAACACTTTGCAGGTTGAATTTAGCTGTGGCAGTTGGTGGGCTGAAGTTTAAGTGGTGCAGAAGATTGATGGCTTCCATTTTACAGGTTTATTACATGTAGATTACACAATATGAAATTTTTTAGGACACAGAAATCTGATGTAATAAAAGATTTTCAGAGGATAAGGTTATCCATTTCCTAGGTTGAAGAGAGAGAGAGAGAGAGAGAGAGAGAGAGAGAGAGAGAGAGAGAAAAGCTGTGTTAATCTGTTTTTCCCGCACATATTAAAAAAAATGCGGAGCTTTCAGTTGATGAAGAGGAGGTACTATGACCATCGATGATTAAGTTATGTGTAATTACATTTAGACCCCATCAAATTTAAAGAATTACAGAAATCTGTCTTGAAGATTGAGTTATATTAAATATTCAACTGAAATTCAATCAATGATGTTTATAGCTTTACTCATATATTTTATGTTATAGGAAAAAGTTGCACCTACCACCCTCGTTTGGTTCCTTACTTTAAGTTTAGTTTATTTACATTTAGGCCTTTCAAGTTTATAAAATTATACAAATCTTCTTTGAAGTTTGTTTCAACTGATATTTAATCCTATTTTGAACGTGGATTTGTTGAAAATCGACAACATTTTTTGTAATATGAAGTTAAGATGATGAAAGGGATGATTTTTAAGATTATGACAACCGAACCGTACTGGAAGCATATTTTATCGCAATTTGATGCAACTGTACAATGAAAAATAACAATCGCCATCAATCTAAGTTTCTTATCGATAATGGAAGTTCTCAAGAAAAGAGAAGTGCGGCGACGAGGTGGATAAGTCGGCAACATGCAAGAGTAAAAAGGTGAACGAGACTGCAACGCACACAATAAAATGTCGTTTAAGCATCCAAAATCATCTTCCGAAATTATTAAAATGAGGGGTCTATGTGTACTCGTACAAAACATGAGAAGGGTGTGTTAGCTAATATAAAATCCCAAGAGAAATATATATATATATATATATATATATATATATATATGTGTGTGTGTGTGTGTGTGTGTGTGTGTAATTTTCTAAACAGAGAGGATCAATCAAAACCAACCACCCTTTAAATTGCAATACCATAACTTTATGGGGATCACTATTTTAAATACTAACTTTTGCTTACTTGAATACCAAAAAAATAAAAAATAAATAATTAATTGTAAATTACTTTAATGCCCTTAATAAAAATTAAAACCAAAAAAATATTACAAATACTATTTTTCTTTCTTAAATACCAAATAATCAAAAACCTAAAAACAACATTTCCCTCCTCACTCACAAACCCCTCATCTCCTCCACCTCCTTCTTCTCCCTCCCCAAAAACCCTCCTAAAAAACCTCAAAACAAAAGAAATC